ATAGATAGATAGATAGATAGATAGATAGATAGATAGATAGATAGATAGATAGATAGATAGATAGATAGATAGATAGATAGATAGATAGATAGATATCCGACAGAGGCCCTGCGGCCCTATGTTACGGCATGGCTCACGATCATCACTGGAATTCATAACGTGGTATACGATAAGAGCAACACGGAAAGTAAGGCTACCACTACGGCCTCATGTACAACCACGAGCCGACCATCGTTCATTTCTTCGAATCCGCATCCGCGTGTACATGTATCTCCGTCGCCGGCGCCGTATCCTCCGCAAGAACGCCGTCAATCTCAATAACCGGACCACGGTAAATATGCCGGGCGCGGAGAAGCCAATCACCGGACAGCAACAGCGTGATGCCAAGGAAGATCGGTCCGCTCCAGTTCATGTTCACGGGTGTGACGGGTAGCTCGGGCGGGAAGGGCAGGATGACGACGAAGAAGATGCACCAGCACAGCGCGAACCCGTTGACCAGCGGTCCGTACCAGCCCATCCGCCACGGCCCATAGCGGATGTCGGTGTGCGTGAGTCGGTACCAGAGGAAGGAGGCGATGGGAAGGGTGTAGGATGCGAAGGCGGCGACGGTGCAGAGGGACACCACGGCGTCGATGGCGACTGTGCTACCGATGACGATGGTCGAGAGGGCGATGGCGAAGGTGAGGGAGGCGATGATTGCGTTGAGAGGCACTTTGAACTTGGGATGGACTTTGCGGAGCCATGCGGAGCCCGGGAAGCCGTTTTCACGGGAGAAGGACCAGGCAAGACGGCTGGAAGCTGCGCAGAGGCAGAGAGAGCAGGTGATTTGGATGGAGACCATCATCAGGTCCAGAATGGTGGTTCCGGCGTAAGATTGCGTGGCATTGTAGAAGATTTGGATGATGGGAAATCCTGTGCGGCTGTCGAGGACTTGTTTCAAGTCTGTGATGCTGTAGAGGCAGACGACGACAATCACGAACGCCATGGTTCCGTTGATGAGGAGTGTGTAGACAAAGACACGCGGAATGTTCCAATTCGCGTTGCGCACTTCTTCCGCCATGTGGACACATCCATCGGCTCCAGAGATGGAGAAAGCAGGCAACAGCAGACCAATGCAAAAGCTGATACCATTGTTGGGCCAGCCGCCGTTATTCTCGAACTTGGTCCAGACGAATGAGCTGGGTGCTTTCTTACTGAGAGCCAGGAGAACGATGACGATGATGAGGAAGAACAGGATATGGGCCACTCCGGATGCCGCTTGGAGCATGGGGAGGATTCTCTTGCCGTAGGTGTGCACGACCAAGTTGAAGAGGGAGAAGAAGACCATCCACAGGAAGAGGTGCCAACCCTTGGGCACGTACGAAGGGTAGTTCAAGACGATGAGTCCGGAGATTTGTTCCGTGATGAACAGGGTTGTCGAGACGAAGCCCACTTGCCATGCACAGGAAGTGAACCATCCTGTTGCAACGTCAGCCTGTCAGCCTTGTTGCGCGATACGAAAGTCGCGACTTCGACATGGCAGGCAGTACCTTGAAGATAGCTCAGAAAGACGCGGATCTTTGGCGGTGCAAAGTAATACGTCCAATAATATTGACCTCCAGCTACGGGATACCTGCGTGCGGATATCAGCAATGAGCAATACTCCGCCATCGAGCCGGGCCGACTGCTCACATCGATGCCATCTCGGCAAGCGAACAGTTGATGGCCAAGATGCCAAAGAACGTGCTCAAGAAGCCGTAAACAAGCGCGACGGGGCCGCCATTGAGGAACGCAGAGCTGAGAAGGCTGTAGTGGCGAGATACAACAATTAGCGACGAGTGTCGTTGGCAAGTACTCTTCGCGACTGGACTTACGGCACTGCGAACTCCCATGAACAAAGATTGGTGACCGCAAATCCCAAGATTTGCCAGAATCCCCAATTACGCTCGAGCTGATCTTTTCGACCGAGCGCCGCAAGGACGGCAGCGTCTTCGAGCTGCGTGCTCTTGGTGGGCTCGTCCACATCTTCAAACGTCGACATAGTGGCAGACAAAATGTTGTCTCTTGGGTTCACAATGTGTACAGTAGTCGCCTGAGCGCAATCAACGCAAGACGGAAGTGGGGAGGCATCGACTGCAGTCTTAAGGTTGGCCTTATCGCCGACCGCGGACAGGCGTTCCGCGGTGAAGGATGTCTGAAGCCGAGAACTTCCAGATCTGGCCGACTTCGTTCTCCATTCATTAACCGCTTCGGGTATCGCGGGCGCCATGAGCAGGGTAAGGTTACAGCGCACGTGGCCATCCGAGGGAATTGTGGAGTTCAGGGCACTACGAACAAGCTTCAGGGAGGGAGCTCCGGCACAGCAGTCCGGCTGTTTGAAGTACGGTCATTTATCCTTCCACATGCCAATAATTTCTTCAACCTTGGTGGTCTTGATCTCCGGGAATAGCCTGTTGAGAGACCCTTCCTCGGGAACATCAAACAACCCGTACGCAACGTACAGCCCGAACTTGGACTGGATATCATATAGGGCAGGCCTTGAAATGAACGAGTACGCCGATGCGTGAGCTGGTAGTTCGGTAATCTCACCACTCCGAAGCCTTTCGATCGAATCGTAAGCGACCTGGAACTTGGTACCTGCAGTCGTGAGCTCGGACATAATCTGCACCTCCGCGGCGTGCATACCTCTGTATTCTTCGGCTAGGCTTACAGCTTTATTCCAGGTGGTTTTGTCACTGTAGCAGATCATCGGATACGTCCATTTTTGCAGATCAAGCGCCGCAACGACAAATTTGGCCAAGTCTTTGGAGTACGTGAGAGTCATGGTCTCGTTGCCAGTTCCCGGAATAGATGCGGCCTTGTTGGCGACGTCCAAGACAAAAGTCAATGGTTTAAGATTCGATTCCACGTATGGCATGCCATAGTAGTCGACAAAATATCCATTCTGGAATTGAGTCCATTCCAAATCGGTCTCCTCAAGCGCCCGAAGAGTAGCCATACGAAAGTGTTGGAAAGGAATTCGTAACGACCTACGACATCGCGAGATGAGTGGATCATGGTTGGACATGGTCTCGGGAATGATGACTTACTCATCTGCGGGAAAAACACCACCCCAATTGCTTGCAATGAAGCGTTTGGTTGCGGACGACTTGGCTGCCGCGGCCACCAGGTCAAGCTCCGACTGGCCAGTAGCCGCATTCAAGACGGCAATAGTCGAAATGACCGTGTGAACGTTGTTGGTGTCCAGTACCCTGGTCACTTGCTCAACGTTGCCATAGTCGACGACGATCTCGGGAATGACTGGGTTGTCGGGGCGGGTGCTCTGTTGACGGTTAGTGTTGTAGTCTGGGCGGCTATCATTCCCTCCCTCTCACTGTACGACTCAACACAATCACTTTATGCTTGTGGCTGTTTCTCAACTCTTCAACAATCGTTTTGCCCACATGGCCAGTGCCACCGGCGACTGCAACAGTAACCATTGTGAGGTACTGGTGGTATGTGATGATAGGGACCTTAGCCGGATTCACAAAGAGCCGGTGTCGGTCGACTTGAACTTATACGTCCATTTGTTCTACGCGTGCCGGGACGAACGGACTTGATGATGCGCATTGTGATACGACGGCTTATCGCCTGTCTACCTCATCATTCAATTCATGTCATGTGCAAGACTCCTCGCCATCACCGTGAGACATGAAGGAATCGCGCGCGATGTCTTAACACGGAATAGTGTACTTTGTGCGCGCGCACTAAGCCCAATGAAGACCCGCGCGGGTTGATCCACCGTACTAAAGCAACGACGTCAAGTCAGCCTTAGCCGCCCTCCGCTCTCCTCCACCACTCACTGCCATGAAGAGCTTCGACGGCTGTTGGACGTGCCGGTTGAGGAAGAAGCGGTGCGATGAATCACGCCCGGCATGCAGTAACTGCTCCTCTTTGCAAATCACCTGCCACTTTGGCGACGAAAAACCAGCATGGATGGACGGTGGAGCGGAGCAGCGAGCGAAAGCTGACGAGATCAAGCATGAGCTGAGGCATGCCGCCGCGCGCCGTCGTGGAATCCTGCCGATCGAAGTCCTGGCACCGTTGCGCGCGGAACCGATTCTAGAGTCTCATTGTGATCGAACCTCGACGCCCACGGCACCGAGCACGACGCTGGCACCGAGCGATTATGACCTCATGTCCGCAGAGAAGCCGGAACAGTGCTCTGCGATCAGCTCGTCGGATGGCCAATCGAGGGAATCAGGTCTCGACCGCCGGTTCATGATGTTCTACTTCGACCATTTTTTCCCGTTCCTATTTCCCTTTTACAAGCCATCCCTGCTTGAGGGCGGGCGTTCCTGGATCATGGAACTCATCTTAGGCGACCGAGCGATGTGGCATACCACCCTATGCCTTAGCACATACTTTGTTTCCATCACCCTGGATGGTGCTATTTCGGGACCGAACGTGTGCAAAGACCTTGCTTGGGGACGGCTTTTGGAGCAGATGCGAGTAACTTTTGTGATGCTTCAGAACGACATTCGCGAGGTTGCTTCAAGTGGTACTCAGGACGTGATAGTCAAGACTTCGCGGATCATGGGAAGCATCATTCAGCTACAACGGTTTGAAACCACGGTCGGCAACTTCGACAATTGCCAAAAACACCTCAGTGCAGCCATCGCGCTGTACAGGCAGGTTTTGCAGGCCACATCTAACATCATCGGTCGTGATGGGCGGCCTGCTTTCCGGGACATTCTCAGTCATATGGGACAGCGACTCTGGGCGACCACCTTCGAACAGGGTGGAGCGTGGAACTCGGATCAAGCCGCTTTCCGCTTCTACTCTGCACTTCTGATCGTGGACGACATCATCGCCAGTACATGCACGGGTACACCACCGAGACTGCAGGAGTATCACACTGAACTGCTCACGAATGACCACCGCTCCGACGAAAGACCCCCGTTAAACCTTGAGGATTTTGTCGGCTGCGAGAGCTGGGTCTTGTTACGGATTGGTGAGATCTCCGCGCTTGATGCGTGGAAATGGTCGACGCAAAAGGCGGGGAAGCTCGACATGATGGAGTTGGTGGCGCGCGCATCGACCATCAAGCAGGCATTGCTCGCTGACCTCGCACGCCTCGATGCCTCCACACATACACCCGAGACCAACCTACTCGGGCTGTACGCCGTCTACAACGACCATTTGCCCCCTATGCCGGGCGGCTGCGCCAAATTCGTGACCAGGGTTTGGGCGCAGGCCGCATTGCTCTACCTCTCCCTGTCGGTCTCGGGTTGGCAGCCCGGGAGCGTCGGGATCCGGGAGAACGTTGTTCGTACGCTCACACTTTTGGAACAAATGCCGGCGGCTGCGCTGCTGCGGACCATGGTTTGGCCCTTTTGCATCGCAGGCTGTCTGGCTGAGCCGGGAGAAGAGTGCCGCTTCCGAGCGTTGGCCGATGCACTGATGCCGCATCGATTGTTTGCGGCCGCGCGGAAGGCGCTGGAGATTATGGAGCACGTGTGGAGGTGCAGAAATGAGCTGACCGTCGATTCGGACTTTGCGGCGTGCATGCGCCGCTCGGGGTATACGGAGAGTTCCATGCCCATATTAATCTGATCCCTTGGCACCGTTGAAGCCGCGCGGGTTGTGGGTCTTGGGATTCTCACGATGACTGCGCTCCGGGTCAACATGGATTGCGGTGATGTGATGCTTGGAAATCAGCACTGGCTAACCTCGGACCGAAGGCTGATTGGCACTGCTCGGACTTTATAAGCAGCGATGCTGCCCGGAGAGATCTCTCACCTGTACAACGGGGTAGCGATTCCCTTCCTTCCGTACACACATCAACCGCCGATCCATCAACATGACTTCCAACAGACCTGTCGCCCTCATCCTCGGCTCCGGCCCCCGAGTTGGTGCTGCGGTCGCGAAGAAATTTGCCACTACAGGCTATTCGGTCGCCATCGTTTCTCGCAAGGCCACGGAGACCAAAGACGCCCACGGGGTTCTATCGATCAAGGCCGATTTGTCTGACCCTTCATCGGTTCCCAGGGTCTTCGATGCCGTCAAGAGGGAATTTCAGAGCGCGCCGAGCGTCGTCGTTTACAACGGAGCCGCGTTCACGCCACCTCAGGGCGACGATCTGTTTTCCATTTCGGCGGAGCAACTTGCCTCCGACCTCAACACCAACACCGTGTCCGTCTGGGCCGCAGCTCAACAAGCCGTCAAAGGCTGGGACACGCTCACGCATCACGCCCACAAAGTCTTCATCTACACGGGCAACAAGCAGAACACGGGGATTGGCCCGATCTTGCTCACGGCAACCTTGGGTGTAGGCAAGTCGGCATCCGCGCACCTGATTGGTACCGCGGACGGTCGCTATTCCAAGCTTGGCTATCGGTGGGTTCGACGCTTGTTTGCAACGATAGGCCAGAAAATTCACTCATGCTCTCTCTTTACAGCTTCTTTTACGCGGACGAGCGCACTGCTGATGGTGGCCCGAAGGCCATGCAGCTGGATGGTGACGCGCATGCCGAATTCTTCGCCCAGCTCGCGAGGGGAGAGGGAGATGTGCCATGGCATGCGACCTTTGTCAAAGGCAAGGGCTACGTCAAGTTTTAGACGGATGCAGAGCATGAAGAAAGGACGCCGCAGTCGCTCACCGTTATGCGGCAATGCGGTTGAGTCAATCATTCTCCATTGAGCTTGCATTTGTCAAACCGACTGTTTCCTACGACGCGCATCCGACCACATCGTTGAATTCGTTGACGCCGCTGATCTCTTACCGTAATGCCAGTCGTTGAATGTTGATACTGGTCAGTTGTCCTTCAACCCCGCGACTACCTTCTACATCCGGCCGACTTCGTTCTCCATCCATTAGCCGATTCGGGCATCGCGTACTTCTGTAAGCCCTAAGCAAGGTAAGGTTCCAACGCACGTGGAAATGTGGAGTTAGGGGATCGGCGACGTGGGCCGCTGTGGGGCTTTATCAAACGCCGCCTTGCCGCCTTGCCCTTTACCCGCGGATTGATGCCGGGAATGCATCCCTCGCGAGCGGAATGGAGATCCTTTAGATTGTGCGAGGGGACAATGTGTGGGTAGAGGCTCGCCAGCAACAACAAAAATCGGTAGACGAACAGGCCATTGCCATGCCTCTTTCAAACACATTCAACCTCCTCCTGGACCGGCTCAAGATGACCGCGCCCAAACCAAACGTCCGCGTAAAGACTCACGAGCCGATAGCGCTGAACGATGGCTGCGTCTTATCTGCAATGACCTGGATGCCCGAGGATGCCGCCACGAATCCCGTTCCCGCCATTCTCGAGTATCTGCCGTACCGGAAGAAGGATCAAACGGCTATTCGCGATGCACTCAATCACCCGTATTTCGCTGCTCACGGCTACGCCTGTGTGCGGGTCGACATGCGAGGCTCTGGTGACTCGGAAGGCGTGCTTCTTGGCGAGTACTTGCAGCAGGAACAAGATGATGGTTTGGAAGTGTTGAAGTGGATTGCGGCTCAACCTTGGTGTACGGGCTCTGTTGGAATGATTGGGATCAGCTGGGGTGGCTTTAATGGGGTTATGCAAAGCGTGTATCATCCGCCGGAGCTGAAAGCGGTCATCTCGATATGTTCCACCGCGGATCGGTATGCTGGCGACATCCATTACATGGGAGGTTGTTTGCTGGTCGACAACTTCACATGGGGTGCTTCCATGTTCGCCATTGCTCCCACTCCTCCGGATGAAGCAGACTTTGGGGATGGCTGGCGGGAGACATGGCTGAAGCGCCTGGAGTCCGGAAACACTTACGTAGCGGAGTGGCATGAGCACCAGCACCGCGACACTTTCTGGCGACATGCTTCCGTCAACGAAGACTACAGCGCGGTCAAGGTCCCCACATATCTCGTCGGCGGCTGGTCTGATCCATATTCGAACTCGATATTCGACATGATGAAGAACTTCAGCTGTCCGAGGAAGGCGTTGGTTGGACCGTGGGGCCACTTGTATCCCAACTTCGCATCTCCCAAGCCTCGGATTGGTTTCCTCCAGGAAGCATTACGCTGGTGGGATCAGCATCTGAAAGGAAAGGAGACTGGCATTATGAACGAGCCCGCAATCCGGTGCTGGATGCAAGACACTGTACCTCCGCAGAGACACTTTGAGGAGCGACCTGGACACTGGGTGGCGGAGAGTTCGTGGCCGAGTGACAACACAGAGCATCGCAGTATGGCACTTGCGCCTGGCAAGTTGGTCTCAGAGTCAGATTCAAGTGCTAACAAGGAGCACTTGTCGATCCGCTCCCCTCAGACTGTCGGGTTTGCCGCGGGCAAGTGGCTCATCTTCGGTCCATATCCTGAAGGGCCCGGAGACCAAAGGCAAGACGCTATCGGATCGTTGGTGTTCGACACAGATGTATACGACCAGCCCCTGGACATCCTTGGTGCTCCAGTCCTCCAGATCAGGGTATCGAGCGATAAGAAAGTTGCATCAATCGCCGCTACATTATCCGAGGTCTTGCCTGATGGTGCTGCAACGAGGATATCGTATGCTGTGTTCAACCTCTCTACCCGTGAGAGCGATTCTGCTCCCGAATACCTCCAGCCCGGAAAGTTCTACGATGTCACGATCAACCTGAACGAATGTTGCCAGCGGATATCGGCAGGAAGTCGACTCCGTGTTGCCCTTTCAACTACCTACTTCCCAATCATCTGGCCTGCACCAGAGGCGCCGACATTGACGATTGACTGCGGAAAGAGCTCCATGACCTTTCCCATCCGGCCAAAATCCCCTCTTGATTCCGAACTGAAAACCTTCCTACCCGTGGAACAAGGCTCGCCGCTTCCAACGAAGAGTCTGCGCGCACCAAAGCAAAACAACACCCTCTCAACCGACTACGACACCGGCGTAGTGACCGTCCGCTACGACAGTGATACCGGTTGCTACATCAATCTCGACACCAACTGGTGTTACGGGGCGCACGAGGTGGTGACCTGTTCAATCCACCCGGACGACCCGCTCTCCGCTCGCGTTGAGCAAACGTTCCGCAAAGAATATGGGCAGGGAAAGCCGAATCTCGTCATTGAGGGATGGCTCAGGATGAAGGCCAGTAAGACGGACTTCTTCATCACTGCTCGCATGGATGCGTACGAGGACGAGAAGAATATTTTTGGGAAGGACTACTCGTTCACGATTCCCCGGAAGTTCGTATGATGGTGTCCACGGCTTACAGGTGGCATTTGGAGCAGGTTGTTTAGAAAGAGTTTGCAGACTCTTTTCCATTTTATAGCTTACTTACCTATAGAGTTCCAGAATGCTGTTTCATTAACATGTCATACGTCGAGGATGTGATAATCTGGTGTCAACGGGGACATGGATGACATATGCCGATTAGGTCAGGTGCCAAGTTTCTGCTGAGGCTGACAATGTGAAGTCCACTCTTACACCATTGACTCTCATCTTAGACGTCACGAATAGACCGCCGCCAAAGTCCAGGAGTCTCTTTTGTACGACAGGGCTGGCCTAGCCTGCCCCTTTCGGCACGGGCAACCAATTCTTTTGCCACCTGAGTGTGGCCTTCGACTACACGCTTCTACCCGTGTTGGCTAGCGATCTCATGAGCGCTCCATGTGGAGGGCGAGGCTGATTCATCCGTCTTACCATGTCAGAGCTCAATCGCAAGAAGGATACCGGGGTCAAGGCCCCCAAAATCGGAGATGCAGACCGAAGAAGGATTCGGTCGCATGCTATGCGACATGTGAGACGCATGCAAAGGCAAGCTCGCGATGACGGTAAGCTTCATTCCTCGCCACCACGCCCGCATGCATTCTAACGCCAAGAATTGCACGCGCAGAAGACCGACTCAGTCATGTCAAATCGCCAGCGTTCCACCCAACCCAGCCGGCCGGCATCGACAGCACGCGAGCCGCAGTTCAAGGCCAACACCGTACGCCCCTAACGTCTTCTCCGCAGCATGGTGATACTATCGCCAGCACGCATGCATTCAGCAGCGGCGATGGCGTCCGCGTGCAACGAAAAGCTCGAATTCTCGAAGCCTCCCAGGGTCGCATTCTCCCTCAGCCCGGCGGGATGGCATTCCACCGCTACATCCTCGCAGAATTATTTGGTGCGAGCTTGATTGGGTCGAGTGTGCAGCGCCACCGTTCTGTCGCCATCTCTGACTACCGCAAATTTGTAGCGACGACGCGATCGGACGTCGTCCACGCTGTCGACGATACCGTATGCTTACTGCTGCCCGCCTGCACCCTCAACGACCCTCGGATCCTCCTGGAGGCTCGGCAAAGACATTTGGCAGCCGTAGGGCACATGCGCAAGGCCCTCGAAGCTGACGCATGCGACGTTGACGCCACAATCGCCGCTGCGATGGAGCTCCTCTTCACGGAGATCTTTCAGCCCGTGTCCCTGGGCACGAACAGCTTGTACGAAGGCGTTGTTCACCTGGCACGCACTCACACGCTACATCTGACATCGTCGCAAGCACCCGTGACCCGCTTCCTGCTGGTCCAGTTCCGGCAGATCATGCTGCTGCAAGCTTTGGCCTCCCGCGCTCCCTTGCCGCTCGGCGTAGAGACGTGGCAGCACCTACCAGATACCGGCCCTCTGCTGCCAGAGATGGCTGAAACCTTGATGCGACTGGCTATTCGACTACCGGGCCTTCTCTCCGACGCACGTGATGCTATATCGTCGATCCCCTCGGATCCTTTACGCATCGACGTTGCCATATCGGAACTGCTGGTGCTGCAAAGCAGTCTGTCGCGGTGGCAGACTGGGTACTGTACGCAACCGACGGATTTGTTTACAGCCGCTCCATTCGTGCGGACTCCACAAGCATCCTCCAACCTGGATGGAAGCTGCGTTGTTCCCGACATACGTCTATCCTCTCACAATCCTTCGCTCAGCATTCAATGTCAGACGCTGTGCTACATTTGTCTTTTGTTGATTCGAGAAGCTCTAGCGGACCTTGCTGCGGCTCACGGCGAAGTCACTCTGTCACATTACTACTCCTCGCGTGCCACGCTTGCCGCCGATGTGTTGTGTCGACTAGCGGCTCATTTCGCGCAGGAAACAGACGACTTGCTCGACAAGGCTTTGTCCATCTGCGCTCCGCTTCACTTTGTGCGCCAGTGGTACATGACCAGCGGCGATTGTCAGGGAGCGGAGTGGGCTCGGCAACAAGAGGCACGAGTACAAACAGCGATACCATTCTTGTCATGGCCGTCTCTGCTTCCGCTTAGTCTCGTGTCCTTGTACATGCAAGGATGAGGACGGTCTATCGATACGCCATTACATTACATGCAGCTCATTCGCCCGCTTGCGAACCAGAATGGGCATGCCAATCACTGGGACAGTTGGAACGATATAGTGTAACGACATTCCCGAATCTCCTACCTGCTATTCCCCTATTGAAACTGCTCCACGGCCTCCGCCTCAATCACCGCCTCATCAATACCAGCCTTGGAAAAGATGGCCGTGATTCTATATCCTGCAGACTCCAGCAAAGCCTTCCACTGATCCTCAGTCCTCTCATGTGACGAAAAAGCAGCCATCATGATCAGATCCAACGCCGCCGGCTGCGGCTGAACGCCCTGCTTCAGGAGCACGTTTTCGTTCAGCAGTAACTTCGGCGTGCGTCCATCGGGTGTCTTCTGGGACAAGGCCGAGTGCATCTGTTCGAGGATCCGACGAACCTCGACATCAGGCCAGTCATGCAGCACAGAGTGCATGAAGTATGCACGAGAGCCCACGACTGGGGACTCTTTTGTGAGATCGATTGGAACGATTTGAATCGTGGCCGGCAAATCCCCGTGGCTTTCCGCCTGCTCGGCGACCTCTGGCAACTCCTGCAGCACGAGGCATGGTCTGTGAACCGAGCAGAGAAAGTGTGAAGCAAAGCGTTTCAGATCGTGGCCACTTCCGCCACCCAAATCGACCAGGATGGTATCCTTGATCTTCTCCACGTCCTCGCCATGTTGAAAGAGTCGGTCCCCGATTGGGTAGACATCCTCCCATGTGCCTCGCTGCGAAGTGTACGCCGCCATGTGGTTGGTGAACATGTCCAGGGCTTCAGAATTGCCGCCGAGCCAGTCAAAGAAGGAGAGCTTCGTTTGGAGAGCATGCTGCCACGAACTGTTGAGGAGCTCGCTTGGGTTCTTATAGTTCGTCTCTTTCAAGAAGCTCGGGAGTTGCTGGAACATGGGGTTGGCGACGATATATCTAACTCCAATGGTTAAAGCGCCGGTCAGCCAGCGCCCCGCCTCCTCGCACTCACCGATAATCGACTGTTGAGCTGCAGGGCCGTTCAATCAACGAACTCGAAAGCTCTGTTGCAACGAATGCGTCGTCATCGACTTGCCCGATGGCTCCCATACTGACGAGCAGGCGGAGAATGCGTTCTGCACTACGTGAGTCCAAAGCTCCAACACGACAGAATGAATAGCATCCTCACCCAGGAGCTTCGGATCGGTCTTGGTCGACGTGGCGAGTCCCTCTGCCGTGTACCTCGAGCCATCAACAGGCTTGCCAAGCGCCTCGAACAAGCCGACGTCGACGGCAATCTTCATACATGCGGCATACGCAGGCTCGACCCATGCCAAGCGAAGGAGAGTCTCCATCGGCTTCTCTAGTTGGATACACCGCGCTCTTGCCTCGGCCAACGCTTTCTTTCGAGCCTCTTCATTTGTAGGAGGAATCATGTTGCCGTTCGTGGAGGCTTGCTGTTGCGCAGGCTTGAGCGAGGCGGTTGTGGACATTGCGGACGTCGAGCCAACAGTAAGGACGGGAGGGAGTGGTGTTTGAGAAAGCCATCGATGGCTGCGTACGCTCTTATATTTGAAGGTGTCGCCGACGCCGACGTGTCTGTGCCGTCTTGAGAAATCCTTGGTATTGCAAGGCTGAGGGCTGAAGAGCAATGCCCGGTTCCGGCAGGTCTGCCGATCTGCGTACAAGCGAGCCAAGCTCAAGCCAGCAGCCGGTGGACGGATGATTGATTTATGATTACGACCTTCTCGACGATCTTCTCTGCCTATTACGTTGATAGCGCTGAGGCTGATAGTACCGTTCGTGTCGCTCCACCAACGTTAGTTGCTCGGCGATCTGCCAAGTCTGCTACCAATCTAATGAATTCAACATCCTCCCCCGTCTTCAAGTTGTCGGACCACTCCATCCCAAGTAGAGAGCAGCAGCTCACCTTACGAAGCTGCCTTGCTCGCAGCTTCAGCACCCTCAGGATCATGTGCCGACACCTCGATCTCAACCACCCCTTCGGGCACGCCCAATCCAGCCACGCCATACGCAGACCAGATGGGCCGATGATCCGGCATCCACTTCTCAAAATTGCGCACCATCGCCGCCAGCGCTTCCTCGTTCAGTGGGACGTGGTACGAATTCACCCGATACACCTGCGCCCAACCTTTTCCGCCGGCGTCCTTGAGTGTCAAGTCGACATTTGCAAACGTCTGGTCGATCTGTTCTGCGACGCCCGTGAGGAATTCGTAAGTCTCCGGATCGACTCCGCCTGCTACCTGGTCAATGAATGGTCGGAGATGATGGGCAGTTGTGGACCCTTGCCTTGTCCAGCAATTTCAATGCGGTCTCCGATTCGTACTGCCTGGCTGTAGCGGAGCCTTTCCGTCATCATCTGTCCAAATCCTTTGTAGGAATAGTACTTTAGGTGCGACATGGTTCTGAGGCTTTGGGTATCGGTTCACAGCCTCAAGGATCAATTCTGAGCGTTCGGGATCAGACAAGCGTGACAAAGAGGTAAGAGGCAGGAGAATTACAGTCGACGAAGAGCTGAAAGCGTCATTTTATAGTGATCTTCCGACATACATGTACTTTGTAAGTCTTTGCTAACCATCCGCTCCGATCCTCCGGTCTACAGTAACAAAAACACCTGGTTCTGCCGGGCAACTCTAACTTAAATTTGCTGTCAGCTTACAGTACAAGGGACAGCGAATTTTAAACAGCTCCAACAAGTCCTACCTCCATTCAACATACGCTTTTAGTCTCCTCAGGGTCAGAGATGAGCTTTTGCCTGCAGAATGTCTCTTTGCCGTTCGGATGCCATTCTTGGAACAAGGTGTCTTCTTGCAGGGTGGCTCGACGTCTTCTGACTCGCCTGGCTGTTCCGAGTCCATCTCTGCCTGTCACGTTAATAGGGATGAGGCAGGTAGTACTATTCGCGATGCTCCGTATGCTTCAATTCGGCCGGCGTCCATGTCCCCGGCCCCCCTTTTCGCTCGTCCATCCAGTCGCGAATGGGCTGCCACTTGCGACAGGTGTGTGCTCCCGGTCTACCAAGCGCAATGTTGAATCCGTCCCAGTGGTACATCGGGCTAGGCGTCATGTCGCCGAAGCAGATGATGGCCTGGCGAATGCGATCCATGCAGTGCTCTGATCAGGGTACGTCAGTCGCCACCTTCGGAATAGAACTGATCCTGTCACGTACCGAGATGCGCGGTATCATCCCACCGCGAGTCGAATTTCTCGTAGTGATGATCGTGGCCCTTGTAGGTGGCATTGGGATAGAGAACCTTGGCCATGCGCGTGCGGACTTCGTTCAGGCAGTGTAAGGAATGGAACATGTCCGGCTCGAAATGATAGAGCCCATCCCAAGGCAGAGGATGGAGCTCGGGCAGGTAAGGAGCAGCTTCCTCCTCTGTCATCGGCGGGAACTCGTCTGCAGTCGAGATGCGATCTTGTTAGCAAGTGTAATTTGGGCTCACGAGGAACGAATGTCCGGCGGAATCTGAGTCACCCACCTCTCATCATGTCGCTCCATGCATCGTCGAGCTCTTGGGAAGGTTCGCCAAAGTATTCCACTTCCGCGTCCTTGTGGCGGAACATCTTCTGCTGGTCCGGATCGTACATCAGAGCTCCGGTAAACGTGCGCTGCTCGTACTCAATTGCTTTCCGGCTGTCTGGGAGATCTGTTGGAAAGATGCAACGTTCGTCCGTCCGCCACTGCAGCACGTTGAATATAAGAGACGCCACGAGAAGAATGGTAGTCACGCTCGCGACGATCCATGGAAGTTTGGTGGGGCGGCGGTCGGAAGCGTGGAGATAGTCCTTGAAGAAGGCGGCGTCGAGCAGTCTTCCCTTCTCCTCCTCTGCGTCCAGGGCTTGGTCCTCATCGCCATGGCTTTGCCGGCGCTCGTCCAGCGGGGTACGATCGGTGTATAACGCGGTCGACATGGTCGACAGTGCAGCACGGTGGATATCACGACAGAGTCGAAAGGTCGAGAGACAGAAAACGGTCGAGCGACAGGAAGACGACAAAATCGTTACTCGATCACGTCTGAAGCGCCAACTCGGCCCCTTCCCCCTAAAGTTGGTCAGGGGGTTGGAGGATCGTGAGGCGTGCGTCGATCCCAACCCATAGCCTCGCGTGGCGTCGGAGCAATTAAAGCTTGCATTAAAATGAGGCTGCCATTTTAGTACATCACACACCCTGCCGCTTGGCCCCTTCCTCCCACATCTGGCGAGAAATCGGCGGGCTAGAAATCGGATGGGCTCGAGCGTAGCGAAGCACCTGCATGCATCCGCCAATCCATGGCTCGTATCCCATTAACTGTCGCTTTTTAGTGCGTGGAGTAAAGTGTGGCGTAGGGGGCAATTAAAGCTTGCTGAAAGGTTATCAAAATGAGGCTGCGACCTCGAGCATCACTAACCCTGCCGCTTAGGCTCTTCCTCCCCCATCTGGTCAGAGATTGGAAGACAAGATACCAAATGGGCTCGAGCGTAACAGCGCACCTGCCAGGCTGGGTGCGTCGATGCCAATCTGTAGCTCGTATCCGTAACTGTCGCCTTTGGTGGTGTAAGCGTGGCGTAAGAGGCAATGAAAGCGTGCTGAAAGGTTGTTGATCAGATGAGACTGCCAGAGGTAACATGGGGGGCGACGGAAGTATTTGAGCATCGAGTCTCCCTGTTACCTCTGTGGATTCTTCTCTCTGATCAACTTGCAATCTCACATTCTTTGATCAACTCGCAACTCCACATTCCTTCATCAACTTGCAACTCCACATTCTTTGATCAGAACCAACAACCATGCAGTTCTTCACGTTCCTAGGCCTCGCGACGCTCTGCAGTCTCGCCGCAGCGGGCGCCGGGTCAGGGTGCGATCCCTTGACCGTAACCGTTACCCTTCCGCCGGTTACCGTAACCGTCACGGCTTTGACGACGAGCACGATAGACACGACATCGACGATCGATGTGACGAAGACGAAGACGAAGACAACCTTCGAAACGGAGACAGTCACTGGCGGTTACCACCACAGACACGGTGGCTGGTCTTAGGTGCAATAGACACTCACACCAAGCGGGCCATCCAGACTGGCGTCCGCAGGTACAACGTAAGTCGTCCGTGCCGTGAACTCTTCTCGTGTACTGGCTAATGTGTTTCACTTGCAGTACTGTGCGACGGAGAGCACGCCACTTGTGGGCAGTGATGAAGATGTGGCTGTGATGGGATGCGTTGGTCGCTTCTATTCTCTGTTTTATGCAGTCAACTTTTTTAGCAAGCTATTTTTCGTATCGGGCAAGAGTGTTCAGACTCTTTCATGTTACCATAGTTTACTTGTAGTAAAGGCATATACTTTTACGGTGTTCGTTGTACGTCTCGTATTCACAAGCTTGATGTGCGCAAACATGCCCCAACGAGGACGCCCGAGGCTTGAACCTTCTCATTCATTCGCGTGGTTAACTTGAGGCAGCGTGCACGTTGATGGCTTCATGTTGATTCATTGCGAGTCGCATTACCTCACGTTCCGCGTACTGTCATTGACAAGCGTCCATCCTGATCCGTCCGCCCCAACCCAACGCCGTTTCCAAGAGACGCCTTGTGAACACAGAGCAGAGCGATCACTAAGTGTTGATCCCGACGACTTGATCCTGTTCAATCAGAACATTGTTATGCTGGCCAAGCGTTTGCACCGTCTCCAGTGCCTGTTCAGTCGCCTTTGCGGCGAAGCCTGTGATTCAACCATCGTTAGCATCAACAACTTTCCGGGGATGAATCTAACCTGAAGCAATGTAGATCTGCTCACCTTTGATGATGCTGTATTCGTGCGTGATGATTCCGCCCTGCTAGATGTAAGCAACACTGGCCTCAACGAACGATGAAGTGGCACATACGGCTTTCTTGATCGCTTCCATCGCCTGGTCAATGACGGATTGCGGTGTATCCTTTGGGTAGCTGATGACCACTGCCTGGAGGACTGTTAGCCTGTACAGACATGGAAGGGGAGATGTCGCCGGCGCGAATCGAGTAGATGCATACTTTTTGCGTCGCCTGGCCTTGCGCTAGCGCAAACGCAGCCAACAAGGCCATCAAGAGGGCGGTGATATAGAGCTTCATGTTTGCGATGTGCTAGTCCGTGAATTGAATCTGATATTGGCGATAGAAGGATATGTTGGTGTAGACGGCGTGGTATGTAGTAGGGGAAGGAGTCGCAGAGTTGAGGGCCAGACCCTTCCATGACGTAGCCTTGGCGGCGGCCGTTTGCGGCTTACATAAGACAATTCGTTCTTGGCGCAACCGAAGATTCACGAGCGCAAGTCATGTTGACTTCCTTCCAGCATTCAACATCCCCTTTGTAAGTCACACCGCCCTCGCCGCGTACTACAGACACACTACTGATGCACAAGGCTTGTGCCTTCAGATTACTCCAACCCTCCACGAGCGCCCTGGCGCACGAGATCGCGCCTTCTACGGACACGCGTCCTGCTGACTCTCACTTGACTCCGGTCGAGTTCCTTGCGATCTGAAAAACACCGGGTCAAGCATCGCAACATCGACTGTGAACGAGTGACAGCGGCAGCTTCTGCCGAGTGCGGAACCACATCGGTGGCGGGAGCGAGTGGGAGGAGCGGGCAGAAAGAGCTGGGACACTGCTGCAAACCCTCACTTCTATTGTGGCCCCAATCCATCCGGGGCCCCGCGTGAGCTCTGCTCAATAGCTAGAAACAGTCACTATTGTGCTGCCCTTGTTCCAGTGCTGCCCACCAGTGCGAAACATTTCACGCTGCGTGCTCCCGTGCGCTCGCTGCTGTCCGCTCGCTGCAGCACCCCTCGTGTTTACAGGATCTGCGCTCTTCTTACACGACGTGTGCTCACCCTCACTCCGTCTTGCCTAGATAGCATCTTGCTTGATCCGTCAATCTTCTTCTGTGATCGAGTGAAAACGCTGTCCTCATGTCTGCCAGATCTCCCAGGGGTTCGCTCTCCGGAGCCTCCTCTGCCGAAGTCGCGGAGGATTTTGGGGACTCGCTGCGAGACCTCCAGATCAACAATAGATATGAGATCAGTAACCTCACGGTCATTGCAAAGGAGAACACCGAGCATGCGCAAGCAATCTCCAAGGTGCTCGAAGAGCACATCGGCATGGTAAGAATTGACATCAGATCACGTGATGTGATCTCTCCCAGCCATCTCGAGGGTGTACATGCCATACATACCACTAACATGAGTCTTTCCTTCTAGACATCACCTTCCAAGAAGCTTCCTGCTCTCTATCTACTCGACAGCATCGTTAAAAACGTGGGCACACCTTACACTGTGTATCTCGGCCGAAACCTCTACAACACCTTTATGCAAGCCTACACTCTGGTCGACAGCAACGTTCGGAAAAGCATGGAAGGCATGCTGAAGACGTGGAAAGAGCCAGTCCCCGGCTCCATGGATCCCCGACCCGTCTTCCCTCCCGAGACCGTGCGACCGATCGAGAACGCCCTGATCAAGGCGAAGACGGTGGCAATGCAGTCACATCGACCGATAGCGCCAGATTATCGAAACACTCCCACACCTCCCAACTATGCGAATCGCTTCGCGCCGCCGCCTACTCATACTCCGCCTCAGCCGTATCAGAATTTCCAGCCTGGGTTTCAGTCACTACCGAATGCACCCACTCCTCAGAGTACATACTATCAGCATACGCCCCAGCAACCTCCTCCAAATAACGAGCTGGATGCAGTGAAGCGGGAAGTATCTGGACTCATTGTCCAGCGTCAAGCTCAGTACGATGCGAATCGGCACGATCAGAGATTAGGAGGGGAGCTGAAAGCTCTACTGGATCTCCAGCAGCTCCTCAATGCCGGACAATACATCGATCCAGCGTCGCTACAGCAGATTCGAGATCGTGTCTCCGGGCTGGCGAATGGGCCCTCTGCACAGTTAAGACCCACGCCGCAACCTGGCACTCCTCAGTGGCAGCCTTCGCCGTCTTTCCCACAGGAGGCCTCTCAATTTGTACGACCTGCAGCACCTTATTCACAGCCACCCCCAGGACAGCAACCACCCGCAGCACTTCTCGCTCCCGGAGCCCTGGACGGCCTCCAAGCTCTACTAGCAAACGGCCAGAAACCCGGCACGCCTCAGATCCGTGCAACGGCACCAGCCCTGCAATCGGCCAGCCATGCCCAACTCTCCAACGTGCAGAACCAAGCAGCAGCTGCGCCCCAATTCAATGGAGCCGACCTAATCGCATCCCTCACGCGAAACGGTCTACTACCAAAATCCCAGCGACAACCACCACCCCACCCTCAACCCACACCCGTGCCAAACAGCAGTACCCTCCCCTTCCAACCCTCCGCCGACCTCCTGCGCTCCCTCTCCAGCATCTTACCCCCAACCTCTCAAACCGGCACCCCAACCTTCCCCGCAATCAACCTCCCCCCAACAACCAGCAAACCCCGCATCCCCATGACCGCCGCAGCCCTCAAACAATTCCGCCCCGAGCTCGTCACGACCCTCTACGAAGCCCAACCCAACCAATGCAGCACCTGCGGCCGCCGCTTCCTCTCCACAGACGAAGGCCGCACGAAGAAAGCCCGCCATCTAGACTGGCACTTCCGCACGAACCAACGCATCGCCGACCCAGCCATAAGCCGCGGCGCGCACCGCGACTGGTATCCCACCGAAATCGACTGGGTCCGGCTCAAAGACTACGACCCCTCAACCACCACAGCAGAAGAAGCGAGCGCCCTCGCCGCCGCTTCCAACTCGCAATTCTCCTCGCCTACAAAGGGCAAAGCGCACAAGCGGCCGGAGGAAATGTACGTGCGCGCGCCCCCCGGCGTCACGCGGAACACGTGCAGCATTTGCTTCGAGGAGATGAAGAGCGCTTATGCGGAGGAGTTGCAGGAGTGGGTGTTTTGGAATGCGCGCCTGGCGCAGGGCAAGATTGTGCATGCTACTTGTCTTGCGGAGATGGCGAAGAGTGGCGGCGCGGCGGGTTTGGGGGCGGGGCAGAGGCAGAGGAGTGCGACGCCGGAGTCGAGTTTGGGGAAGAGAAAGGCGGATGGGGTGGGGTTGGGAGGTGGTGGGGGGTCGAAGTTGAGGATGGAGTAGGTGGGGATAGGTCGAGGATGTTGTTACTTTTGCGATGGGAAGCGTTTCGAGGCAAGTCTTGCATTTGTGGATGGTGTATATATGGGACTGAAGCATTCTCAAGTACTGCATCATGGCATGGTCGTTCTCGGCGATTGATCAAGCAGCCCTACTTCCATTCCCTCCGTGACTTGTTGTGTGGATAAACGCCACGCTCAACCGACTCCCAGCAGCTTCTTGGCTGCAGCAGCGTGAGGCTGCAGACGTGAGCGAGAGAGCGTCGTCTACAACATAAGACCACATGCCGTCAGAAACACAATGTCAAGCACAACACCACTCCCCACACATACCTTAATCTTCGGTCGTTCCCCCACCACATTCTCTCTCCCTTTTCCAGCACCGACCATGTTCGCCGCAACCGGACCCCCCTTCCCAAAAGGAGACACACCCCCCGCCGCCAACGACCCAGCAGCAACAGCATCCTCCACATCCCTCATCGCATCCCCCCAATAGCCAACATCAGGATTCTGATCCAGCTGGCGAAGCCGCTTATCCAGCATGGCAGTCGACAGCGGCCCCTTGAGTTCGGGAAAGTAGCCGCGCATTTTGGTGATGGCATCTTTGAGGTCGTAGCCGCGCACGTCGAGGTAGCAGATTGCGCGGTCGTGCTGGTCGGACCAGCCTTTGGGCAGCTCGGGGGTGTCCTTGGGGCGGTCGCCGTAGGCCGTTTGGCCTACGCGGTTGGTGCGGGCGATGCGTTTTTGTTGTGGGGGGTCCGGGGGTGGGTGGATGTTGGGGAGGTCGGGGAGGGAGGGGAGCTCGAAGGTGACTGGTGGGCGGTTGGCAGTGAAGCGAGGGTGTTGTGGTGTTGGGGATGGAGGAAGCTTCTGGAAGGAGGGAAGCGGTGCGGTGGACTTGATGTGAGCGAGATGCCAGTCGTTCGTGCGATCTCTCAAGGGGGTGCTTGTTGCGGATCGGTTGACAGGCGATGCCGACTTGGCCTTCTCTCCGCCAGGTATGTCGCTCACTGTTCCTGTCTTTGATGGCAACACCTTCGCCTCTGGTTAGCCGCGTCGTGGGGTGCAGATCAGAAGAGAGGACGCAGGAGACTTGCAAGCAGCTCTTGCTGGCCCTCACAACGGCCCAAGGCCTCGGTGCTGTCTTTGAGGTGCATTCTGCTTCGATATCGACAAACAGAAGAGTGCTGATGGCGATGTGGGACTTGGCCGGGGTTGACGAGGACGGTCAGAAGGAAGAGGTGCAGGCTACCATCCGAGCGATCACTCGCTCGGCAGGGCAGCGTGGCGGATAACAGCCCGACAGCGTGTGGAAGTAGAGTCGAGGTAGCGTGTAATATGAAAGGAGAAAAGAAGTGGTTTTGCAATTCTTGGCCCGGTGAAGTAGGCACGAGGGATCTCACCATCGGTTGAGAAGGAAGGCGCAAGTCTGAATTCGATCAGTTTAGGTGAGGTGAAGTTTGGGCCTCAGACGCCATCACAGACCAAACGAAGCCCGCATAGGACGGAAGGAACAGCATCAGGTTTGAAGGAGGTGAAATTAGGAGTGGGTTAGCTGGAGCACACCAAACCGATGCGTATGATACATTACGCTTTTGCCCCCTTTTCCGCTCATGTAACTACACTTCTTTTCCTTGCGCCCCGAAGGCAGTTTGCAGCGCGGATCCCGTAGCCATCACCAGTCCACAGTATCCAAGCCCGAGCGACGCCGGAAATGATCATAGACCTCTCCGTCCCCTCGCAAGCCATGCGCGGATCTGCGGAGGGACGGCGTGACAGCCGCTCAGGGCCGCCTAGGAGGATCGCAGGCCTATCCGGCTCATCAAACTGCCGCCGCTCTTCTGGTCCTGCTCGAAAATGCCCAGCAAGCTCTTCCACACCTCGCCCGGCTGCTTGCTCGCATCCACGCCGCTCCAGATGCCCGTCTTGCGGTAGTAGTCGCTGACCGGTGCCGTCTGCTTGTGGTACGTCACCAGGCGCTTCTTCAACGCGTCCTCGTTATCGTCGGATCGCTGGATGAGGGGCTCGCCGGTGACGTCGTCGGTCATGTCCTTCTTGGGGGGGTTGAATTGCTTGTGGTAGGTGCGGCCGGAGGAGGGGTGGATGAGGCGGCCGGTGATGCGCGCGACGAGGAGATCATCCTTAATCTGCAGCTCGATGGCGTGTTTGAGGTTCTGCGATTTGGCCTGCAGCATTTCGTCGAGCTTCTCCGCTTGCGCTGTGGTCCGGGGGAAGCCGTCGAGGATGAAGCTGGTGGTAGAATGTCAGTATAGCTCCACATCGGAGAGCGATGTACCACTCACCCATTCTTGCATTCCTTGTTGCTGTCCAGCTCGCTCTTGATCATCTCCACCATGATATCGTCCGACACGAGCCCGCCCTGATCCATAATCTTCTTCGCCTCACGACCCAACTGCGTCTTGGCGGCGACTTGAGCACGCAGCATGTCGCCGGTGGCGAGATGGCAGCATGAGTACTTCTCCTTGATCCACGGGGCTTGCGTGCCCTTGCCTGTGCATCACATCCGTTAGACCGCGGGTTCGGCATTGCAGCGGCATGGAAGCCCCATTGAGACACGTACCGGCTCCCGGCGGACCCATCAAGATCATGCGTATGCTCTCACTCTTCCCACCGCCCTGGCCGCCGGACACCTCGCCCTTTAATCGGCTCTCCAGCTCCTCGACACGCGCCTCGAGCTTGTCGACGGTGCTTTTCAGCTTGTCCACCAGTTCCTGCGACATCTTGGCGGCTCCCTACACACAACGGGTGGGTTAGAAACGGAGCACGGCGGGATTGGGAAGAAAATGTGTGGTGCGCGCGCAGGTGAGACGAGGGTGGGTGGAGAGGGAAATGGACAATGGCAGAGCTCAGGGAAGCTTGCGGGTAACAATGCAGCTTTGCGTTGTAGGAGAGGTGGAAAGACGCTGTGGCTGAAATTAGAGTTGCCGGCTAGCGCGGTGCCTGACGTCGCCGCCCGGCCATCCGAGGCTACACAAAACCACCCAAGACGTTTGGGTAAGTGATGGAACAGGAAGACACCGTGGATATACAGTACTCGGTAGATTTGTTCGGCGCGGATCGTAACTGGAGGTTGACAGAGGCGGCATCTGAAATCGCTTCCGACTTCGTCTCTTCTGAATACGCCGGTAGCAACCTCTTGCTTTACCACGGACCCATCACCTGTGGCTACAACGCCTCGCTCCCAGTCCAAGCCTGAGTTCACCTCATACAATTCATGAGCCGCCAATGAGAAACCCCCTCATGACACCTCCATCGCATCCCCATTGCTGAGCCCATTCGAAAGCGTCACCCCACCATCCTCCCCAATGAACCTCTTCTCAAACTCCGCAACAAACTTCACACTCCGGCTGGGGTCGTAGAAGAGCTGAAAACTGCGCTGCACATCGTGCACCTCGACTTCTTTCGCCCGCCGCTTTTGGGACAGCAAATGTGAAGTCGTGATCAAGTTGCCGGCGTACCTCAGGCCCGTCTCTTGCCCGATCTTGGTCAGCAAGGCCAGCGCATCCGGCGAGATGTCAATCTCTTCTTCCTGGGCGCGGATGGATAGGATTTCCCGGATCTCGTCGGGAGAGTATGGATGGGTGGAGATGATGACCACACGGTCGAGGAAGTCGAGGGGAAGACCGTGCGGAGAGCGGTAGCTTGTACCTCTGATTGTTGCGGAGCCGCGATTGGACGCCATGATGACGATGGGTGCTAGTTCGTCCTCCAGCGCGCGATTGATGAAGCTGAAGCATTCAATGTCGAGCATGTGCACTTCGTCGATGAAGAGCACACCCGGCACAATCTCGGCCTTGCCCTCTTCCTTCCACTCGGCGACTTTGGTGTTGATCTGTTCCCGCACCTCCGATCGAATCTCGCCCGTGTCGCCAGAGAAGAGGGCGAGGAAGCCCTGTGTGCGGCTGTTGATGACGTCGATCTCGTGAAGGCTGACCGTGTGCACCGTCTCGCGCCGTACTTGGAGCTCGCCATCTGGGCATTGCACGAATTTCGTGTCCGCTCCCATGGCATCGTAGTCCCTACTTCTGGTGTAGCTTCTCCCGAGCTTTGTAATCCGCCCGCTCGCCTTGTCAATGCTGATGACATCGCCCGCCATCACCTTCTCCTTCGTCATGCTGTCAATCATGCGCGTGCCCATGTCGTACAGCGTCTCCATATCCGTGGTCTTGAGCGTCAGCTTGCCGCTCTTGTTATTACCAGTCACGCTGCGGTCGATCTGAATCTCCACCACCTCGCCCTCAATCACCTCACTCTCTTCCCGTATCCGCACGCCTATGCTCTTTCGGAAGGCCTGCTCCAGCGCCTCTGTCTTGCTCATTTCCAGACTGAAGATCTCCGACGAGGCGAGCATGGTGAAGGGCACGTCCTCTCCCAACCCTTTGCTCATACCAATTGCAATCGCCGTCTTGCCCGTGCTGGGTGGCCCGGAAATCAAAACCGCTCGGCCCGCGATCTTGCCTTCTTTGGCCATTTGTAGGATGACGCTAGCGGCTTTGCGCGCCTGTTGCTGACCGACCAGGCCATCTGCGACGGGCTTTGGCGTGAGAGTGTCGGGTGTTACGCCGAGGCCTCGAATGTGTGAATGCGCGGCGATCAGGTTGAGGTTGTTTCGGTCTTTCGAGTCGGAGATGGTGGTGATTGGCTGCGAAAAGACTGGTCAGTCCGGTGAGAGTCCAAGACGTGAAGGAGACATACTGCCGCCATGATGCGAGACGTCGCGTCCGAACGCGACAATGCTGGAGTTGACTCCTGCTTTGATCTCTTTCCACAGCTGGGACGATGGGGTTGTAAATGGTGCTTAAGGACAACGGCTGTAGTCACGCGGAATGCCGTTGCTGCTCGTTGCTTCCCAGGAATTTACTGCTGGAGTTGAAGAAAGCTCAGACCACCCTTAATTATTTAGCGCGAGCCTAGCGCGTTTTCCAACAGACCTCCGAAGATCTGCCGACGCGCTCTAAAGATTTCACACCAACCTACCCCTCCCACAAACCCGGTCAACCCGACTCTTGCAGCGGCCTGCATGATAACAAACCAATTGCAGCACTCGCACCCGACCACCGCGCAGAAACCTGCGGTGATACCTTGCGGACGAATGAGATCGAACGTCGCTGAACTCTAACACACCCGCACTGTTGACACCGCGACCAAAGCTCCATGCTGGGTCAAATGATTATCTTGACGGCAGCAGCGTTTGAACGAGAGGTGAGTGTTGTACATCCCCCGCCGTTTCCCTCGCCTCCTCCTTCACAACACCTCTACCTTCACTTCCCCTTCTCCTTATCTTCCAGTCTTTGCCTCAACTCAAACCTCGATCCCCCATTCCTCTATGCCCAACCTCCTCCTTCGCACCACCAGTTCGGTGCCCTCCCTCCACGGTGGCTGACTGTTATCGCCCAGGAGCGGGACAGCAGCAGACACGACGATTCTCACAACCGAACGCGGTAGGGCGAGACAACACATCTCTCCCCGGCCGCCCCCCAGGCCCTCAGAGGTACGTATCTTCTGGTCACGTGCAAACGTTGCGAGTGATTTCACACGCCATCGTTACTTCTGTCTTACTTCACGGAGTGAACGGCATCAGGTCATTTCTTAGATCAGATCAAAACCACGGGCACCGTTCATCTCGATGAAACCAGTCTAGGAAGTTGCTGACTAAGGCGACAGAAGTGTGACCATGGACCACAGAGTAGATGCTCTTGCAAAGCGAAAGAACAGCAGGTCGCCCGAAGGTGGCCAGCCCCGCAAGATGCGTAGGGAGGAGCCGATCACCACTAAGGACAACCCCGTTCGGCCTCAGACAGCGGCGGAGCCTGCTCGAGACCCACGGTTAGCGAAACAGACCAAGAACCCTAGTCGACATGCATCGCCACACGCGTCGTCGCCTCTCGCCCCTGGCTCGAGGAACGGCTCTAGCGGGAATTCAACTCCTATCGACGGGGGGCGCGTCAACGGCACAGTAGACGAACCGGACTCCATCCTCGGCCTACTCACTACATTCAGGGACCAGATAACAAACCATGTGTGTGTGAAACTGGCGTACGATGAGGCTTCCAGACGGCACGATCGAGCTTGCATAGAGTACGATGTGCAAGCGAAGCTCGGCACGCTGAAGCAGTTCCCAAGCATCGGAGAACAAAAGACCAGGAACAGGGATGTTGCTCGCAAAGAAATGGAGCAGCAAGAACGCATTGTGCAGAAGCACAAAGCCTCCCACGCACTAACGATGAGCAAGCTTGCCAAGATGATCGGCGAGACGCAGCAGCCTGCAAGCGCGGATTTCGTGTCACGTGCGGAATTCGCTGAACTGCAGACCAGCGTCACTGAATTGAAGGCCACCGTGCAGGGTGTGCATTCGACCGTCAATAATATGCAAGTCGAAGTCGAGACTGCCCTACCCGCGGCTCAGGAGGCGCGTGATCGCGTCAGTAAAGTCGAAGCAGCAGTCACTGAAGCGCAAGAAGGGACAAAACGACTGGCTAGTGATGTGCGAAGGGCTACAGCGGACGCTCAGTCTGCACGTGACCGCATGGACAGACTTCAAGCGCACGAGCTGTCGAAATACGCTACTAAGGAGGCCATCGAAGGTCTGAAAAAAGAGTACACCGACCTCAACCAAGCAGTCATCGAAGTCAGTAAGATGGCACGCGGTGCGACTGCCGATGTGGGTCGGATGAAAGCCGAGCAAATTGGCTCTCGCATCACCGCACAATCTGCAGCGGCCGCTAGTAAACTCGATGAAGGGCTTGAGACGAAAGTGCAGGCTCTCCTAGCAGAGGGTCCAGCTTTGATCGCAAAGGTCACGGAGCTCGAAGGCGCCGTGAACACCTTGTGGAAACACACTAAGGGTGTGCAGTGTGGCGTGATCGAGGCTGCTGAAGATGGTGCGAGCTTAGAGGAGCGCATTGGTGATCTTCAAGGCAGGATGACGTCTATCTCGACGGCTGTCGAGACGATGAAAATGAGCGCGACGAAAGAAAGCACAGCGAGCGACGCGACTTTGAGGGACCGCGTGGAGAAGATCGAAGAAGAGCAAGGCACGTTGAAGCGTGATCTGAAAAACGCGTCATTGATCAAGCCGGCCTCAGATCAGTCTCCTAGGGTGGCAACGAATGTTGGACGATTGACGACGCGTCTGGACTCAATCGAAGAACGCGTCGCTCTCGTGAACGAAGAATTGACGGCGCGTCTGAACTCAGTCGACGAGAAAATCAAAGAGGAACACGAAGACTTTGACTTCGAGAAGGGAGAAATAATCAAATTTGTCGAGGAGAAGGTCGCCGCTGTGAAGAACAAGATCTCACCGATGGACGAGAAGATCTCAGGTGTCGAGCAAAAGATCCTGCAAGACATCAATATCAACGCCATCCGAAACGAACTCTCCAGGATCGACGACGGCCGGGTCCAAGAAGGACAAGCCTTGAAAGCGACGCTGGACCGCTTGGCGCGCGACATCGATGGCCTTCTGAAAGCGCAACTAACAGACATGATTCTTGTGCCCTTCCAGAACGAGATTCGACAAGAGATCACCCAGGCCAAGAACCGGCTCGGCGCCTTGGAGATGAGAGCGCCGCACTCTCCCGCTTCCCAGCAGCAGCTTGCACGCGCCTCGCAATCCCCAGCCATTCAGCAAGGGCAACAACGCCCACCTCATTTCCCCTCACCCAACACCCAGCCAAATGGCGCCGGTCCCCCTCCGCATATGATGGTCAACGGCTTCCCGCACCACTCGCCACACACCCCACCCGGATTCGCCAACAACCCTCCCGCCATGCCCGCAAACCAAGGCGCGATCCCAGGCGCGATCGAATACCTCACCCAGCGAGCCGACCACCTCGCCATCGTCACTCAGCACCTTAAGCAGCGCATCGACAACCTGACGACCGACGAAGTCGTGGAGAAAATGCTCGACCAGTTGAGCGTGCTCTACCCGCACGCTAAGAACGTGGACGCCGCGATTGCGCAGTTGCAGGCGCAGCTGCACTCCCTCAAAGGAAACACGGAAGCGGAGCTGCAAGACGTCAAGGCGCGGATTGCGCGCTGCGAGGCTGCGAAGCCGACAGAAGGCTTGAACGCGGACGTGAAGGCAGTCTGGAGCGCAATCGGCGCCATGACGAAGGAGGACCAGGATCTCTCCACCAAACTCGACGCTGTGCAAAAAGACATTAGCCGCGTGTCTGACGTCGCGACGGCAGCAGACTGCTTGTCTAGGGAGCACTCTTCGCGCTTCTGCAAGATGAAGCCGGAGACTATGCTCAAACAAATCGCCCAGCTAGAGGAGCAGGTCGAAGGCCACGAGCAGAAACTCACGACCGGCGAGGCCGAGCTGAAACGTCTAGCGGGCGAGCACGTGGAGTTGCAGAAAGAAGTGGCGGTGTGCGGGGGCAAGGTGGAGGGGATGATGGAGGCGTTGCTGTGAGCAGAGCAGAGCAGAGCGACGATGACATTGCGGCTGCGCTTTTGTGATGGGTGCTTTGCCCCGATAGGTGCTTTGCAGCGTTTAGCGGCGACGGCATAGATACCCCCTTTTTTTTTGCTTTTGCTGTTTTGATTGCTATGGGGGTTCTGGGAGCGTGATGAGCGTACTAGCGAGCAGGCGGAAATGGGTATCAGGCTTCCTATGGCGGATGACTGACAGTAGAAGAAAGGGGAAAGCGAATTGTCACGAGACTTGGAACTCGTTCATCAGGTATCTAGAAGGTAGATCCACAGCCGTGCACAAACTCATCTGATCATTCAAGCACCTTTTCCACACCGTCGATGTAAATGCCACAACGCAATCGCTCGCTGAAAAACGCTCAAAACTCGCTAAAAGCAGGAGAAGAAGTGCCAAAAACCACACATGCAAGAATCACGATCGCTTCGATGCACCCTCCTCTTTCTTTTCCTTAGGCTCCGCCGCCTTGGTCTCGTTCTGTCTCCTCATTCTCGCCTCTGCCGCGCGCGCCATAATCTCCCTCCGGTCCATCAAGCCGGCACCCGGGACCTCGCCCCCGAGCACAAAGTCCCCCTCCCAGCCACCGCCATCCGCCTCTTCATCCACACCCTCGTCCTCAGGGTTGTAGAACTCCTCTCCGCCCACGCTATGCCCGCCACGCCGCCAGTCATTCCGCTCGACCTCCGCTTCAATCTCGCGACACAGCTTCCAGAAGTTCTGGTCGTGCTCGCCCCACACGTTGTGCGCAAGTTCGTGGCACAGCGTTTTGCGGATGACTTTGTAGTCGCGGTAGCCGTCGTAGGCATCTGTGCGGAGACGCAGCTCGATGACCTCGCCGCGGTTGCGGTTGAGGCCTAGTGTTCGCGACTCGTGCGTCGTGTGCTCGGCGGGGTTCATTTCTGTGAGGAGACCGACGGAGAAGCCGTGTTTGCGCATGGAAGACTTGACGCCGGCGTCGTCGCGGAGGCGCTCGAGGAAGCGTTGCGACTTCTCCGGGTTGGGGAGGTAGGTGAGAGGTTGGATGGTGTGGAAGGTGTAGCGCGCTTCGTCCTGCGTTCGCTTCCAGTCGCGGCTCTTGTGCGCCTTTACTTTCCGGCCGGCTTGCAGGGCTGCTTTCCGCCGGCTGATGCGGTCTTTGCGCGCTTGGATCTCGGATTCGAGCTCGGCGACTTCGGCGGTGGTGGCGCCCATGAGGACAATTTTCTTGTCGAGGAGCGTGTTAAGGAGGAGGGCGGGGTTCTTGAAGGGCGGCTTGAGCAAGCCGGTTTTGGGGGAGACGAGGAATTTCTGGTTCGTCGGGGGGATGTGCAGGTCTTCGGCGACGGTGTCGGAGAGGTCTTGGATGGTGGCGTCGGAGTGGTAAAAGGGAACTTGAAGGGGTTTGCTGTGCAGGTGGAGGGTGAGGGTGAAGATTGGGTTGGCGTCTGCGGCGGTGGTGGCGGCGTCGTCGGAGTCGTGGTCGGAGAGGGAGTTGATGTAGCTGGAGTTGGAGATGATGTCGATGTCTTTGGGCGAGCCGGAGCCCGGACATACGCCGGCCATTTTGGGGATGCAAGGTCGGAGGAAGGATAGAGGACAGAAGGATTTGGAGAGGGGAGAGGGACCGTGGGGGCCGGAAGGGCGAGTGGCGGGCTGTAGTGTTTTCGCGGACATTGAAATGGCAGACAAGAGGAGTAATGTCTGGCGATGCAGGTGGATTGGGAAAAAAGCTCAGATGCAGAGGAACGACAGCCGTAGGCAGGAATATGTATAGTGATCTGCATGCGCCTCAACACGGAGGAATCCTCATCCATTGCGGCAGTTCGCGTGGCCTGACGAGGCAGGGCGAGGGCGAGGGCGATTACCAAGACGTCAGCGGGGGGCCGTGAGGAAGCGCGGCGTGGATGGAAGACGCGGGAAGCCTCCTCGCCCTTTCTATTGGCGGACATACTCGATCGGGCAGGTACAAGCCCCCTCGTACCCCCGGCTTGTGTCATCTTTCGCCACTTTCAGGCCCGAGAATCGCTTTTCTTACCTGCGTGCTCCCCCGTCCCCTCGATTCCGAGGCGCTTGTACGCCGGCTGGGGGAAAGTTTATCTGGGGCGCTGTATATGATCTCCTCGATCCCCCGTATTGTTTGCCTACACCTGTTCCCTTGCTCACACAGACTTGCGTATCGAGGAGCAGTGAATCCTCATACATGTATCTGTCACTCTTGACGGTTGTCGCATTCGGTGATCGGCACTTTACAACCCCCGGGTTTGCAATAGTCCACACTCGAGTCGACTGCTTCGATACAAGGCTGCATCCATAACGTGCTTTGCTTACGAAACGCATAACTTTGTTCATCGGCGCTATTCTCGTGGGTATTCTCGTGGGTATTCCCGTACTGCTTTCATATCCTCACTCCGCTCTCTCCCTTCATCTCTCTCCTCCCTCCTCTCCGATCTTTCATTCAAACACCCTCGTGAACGGCAACGTTGGGATCCGCCTTGGTATGCCCACGACTCTGCCCCCGTCCCCGCAGCACAAACATTGTAGCCATAGCAGTCGTGATCGTGAACAGAACCCTGCACGACCCCAACAACATTAGCCCACGCACTCGATCCCAATCAACCGACGCAACGAAAACGGATGGTGAACATACCACTCAAACGCAGCAAAAACCACCGCCGCCTCCGCCGCCCGACACACGCCCCCAGCACACCCCCTGCCACTAAGAAACACAGCCGCAGCAATAAACCCCGCAAACCAAAACAGCATCGTCACCGCTTCCACCCCCAGGATGGCAAACTTGTGGTGCGCGCGCGTCTCGGAGAAGTGCCAGGGCACGACGATGAGGTAGGCAGCGGCCAGCAGCGTCCAGACGGCATCGAAGATAAGGAAGTTGAGCGAGCTGGGGCTCGAGGCGTGCCAGTAGTGGCGCCACCAGGAGACGACTGTGGCAAATGTTAGTTTTCGTGGGGGGGAGTGTGTATGTAGGGAGAGGAAGACGGACCGTATGCTGCGAGGCCGAGGACGATGATGGCGAAGAGGATTTGCGCGATGCGCAGGCCGAGCACGACGCCGCGCGATTCCAGGGCGGACATGGTGCGATTGGGTGGAGATTGGAAGATCGATTGTGTGTGTATGAGGAAGAGAGCAAATGTTTGAATGCGCGTTGGGTGTTGTGGATAGGAACAATCAGGCTGGAATGCAAACAGAGCTCGTATCGCAAACGGAAGTCGCAAACACGCACCGGGTAGCTACACTGCGCCAATTTATATGAAGACGCCAAAAACAAAAAATCTCGCCTCCATCGTTCCACCATCCTCCTCGTCGTCGTCGTCGTCGTACGCGCATAACTCGCATCATGCGTCCCCCTTCCCTTCCAAGTTTTTGTGCCCGTTTGGCTGCGGCGCGTGACGTGGGCGGAGGCTTGGCAGCTGCCGCGGCTGCGCAGCCGCCCGCTGCAGTCCGGCTTCGGATTGGTGACACTCGCTGCCGAGACGGCGAAACCTGAAACGGCGTTTGCTTGCTGGGTTTCAATGTGCATGACGGTTGGTAGAGGCTGTGGATGATGGTTTTAGACAGTTCATTGTGGGATTGTACATTCGATGGGTCTAGATTGCTAGAATTCGCTGCCGCCGCTTGAGTGCACTGGTTTCTTCCTCTCCTCCAATACATATGCTTCCATCGAGCGCAATGCTCACAGCTTCGCCCTTGGTTTCGCCTCCCCCTCAACTTCCGCGTACATCTCGTCGATGGTCTGGCGATAGAACTTTGCCGTTTGCGGCCGCTTGAGTTTCAACCTGTCGTCAAAGATGTAGTCAGCACAAGTCCACCTCAAACTCGTCTCCTCAACGAAAGTGGAGTACTCACGTAGGGGTAAAAAGCTCATTCGCAATGGAGAAGGGCTCCAAAAACAACCTCACCGCCTTCACATGCTCGTAGTTGTTGAATTTCGCCTTCTTGCCCACCGCCCTCAACTCGCGCAGCACCGCCTTGCGGATCTTCGGGTTCTTCCCCGCCGCTTCCAGAGCCTGAAGATCCGTCGGTTTGATCTGCTGCCCCAACTCCTTGCTAGCGAATGCGGCGAAGAGCTCGGGGTTGATGCCGAAAATGGCCACAAGACTCGACTGCGTGCTGTCGCCGTGCACGTACGCCACCGCCAGAAACGGCAGTTGCGCCAGGTACACGTTCTCGATTCGCTCGGGCGAGATGTACTCGCCCTGCGCGAGCTTCAGGACATTCTTCACGCGGTCGATGATGCGGAAGCGCCCGAGCTCGTCGACGGAGCCGATGTCGCCCGTGCGGAACCAGCCGTCGTTCGTAAAGGCCTTCTTCGTCTCCGCCTCGTTTTTGTAGTACTGCTTGAACACGTTCGGGCCGCGGATGAGCACCTCGCCGCGCGGGTGCGGTTTGTCGGTCGACAGGTACTCCATGTCGGGCACGTCCATGAGGCAGATTTCGGCGCACGGCACGACCATGCCGCACGTGCCGGCGCTCAGGTCGGACTCCGCTTGGATCAGGCCCAGGGCGTACGTCTCGCTCAGACCGTAGCCTTGGTAGAAGTTGTTGCCAAAGGCCACGCGGAGGAATTGCTGGAGGGACGGGTCGATGGGGGCGGAGCCGGTGATCATTGTTTTGGCGCGGTCGAGGCCGATCGAGGCCGCGACCTTCTTCGACCAGATTCGGTCGTAGATGGCGTGCTTGTTGGTTGCTTTGCCGGGGTTGGGGTTGTTCATGTTGGCCGTCTTGGTGTCCACGATGTAGCGGGAGAGCGCGCCCATGACTCCTGACTTGTCCACCGTCTGCGCGCGGATGCCGCCGCCAAAGCGGTTGTACAGGCGTGGTACGCTGATGAATGATGTCGGCCGGAGGAGCTTGAGATCATCGACGAGGGCAAGGATGTCGCCGTGGAAATAGCCAATGGCTGCGCCAGACCACATCGACCCGTGCTCATTGACTCGCTCGTAGATGTGGGCGAGGGGCAGGTAGGAACAGGAGACGTCGTCTGTTCCCTGTTGGCCAACACACATCGAGGAAGAGGTGGCGGCAATGGCATTACTGTGGGTCAGCACCACGCCCTTGGGGTTTCCAGTCGTTCCGGACGTGTAGTTGATTGTGGCAATGTGCTCGGGGCGAGGAGCGCGGTAAGGGAGGGGGTTGGCCGCGCCGAGCGCCTCGAGGTCCTCGATGTAATGAATCTGGAGGCCGAGATCGGCGGCGAGAGCAGTGAGCAGGTCCTTCTTAGAGGTGCCTGGCAACTCGGTGCCATTTGACAAGGGGTCGAGGCATACAATGGCCTTCAATGCGGGGCATCTCGGGGCCAGCTTCAAGAGGGTGGGAATATGGCTGATGGAAGTGCAGACGGTGGGGAGGGCGGCATGGTTGATGATGTACTCGGTCGTGTCTGGGCCGAGGGTGTCGTAGAGGGAGACGGTGTAGAGGCTCTGGGACACACACCCGAGATCCACAATCTGCCACTCCGGCCGATTCTGGCACCACAAGCCCACGCCGATCTGGGAGTCGTGGATGCCGAGCTGCTCGTGCAACAAGCGCAGACCCACGCCAAAGTTTCTCCTCCGCTGCTGGACCTGTCCGTAGGTCTGCCAGACATAAGGGCCAAAGGTCTTGGTGTGGGAGTCGTAGGGCCGGTGGCCGAGGAGCTTGCTCTTGGGAGTGCGGTTTGCGGTCTGCTCGAAGAGGTCGTGCAGAGTCCTCACTTCGGGGTCGAGGGCGTGAAGGATGCCATTCTCATTGCGCCAATGCCGGTAGATGGGGCTTCTTCCCTTAATCGCGCTGCCGGGGACGGTGATGGAGAAGGGTGCGCCGGGTGGAGGGGGCTCGTGGATGCGGGTCGCCTCTTCTATCGCTCGACAGGTCATGGCGGGCGGATGAATATGGAGGATGAGGGAGGGAGATGGGAGATGGGCGTGATTTCGAGGGGATCGGACTCTCTCAGTCACCCTTAGTCAAGGTCTGCGGTGCGGCCACGGAAGAGGGTAGATGGCGTTCACAGTGTGCAGAGGATGAAGGCGAGGAGCACGGAAGAGACGGGCAGAAAGAAACGAACACGCTTGACCACGCGCGCTCGGACGTCTAGCTGCACCTAATGTACCGATTCTATCACATGCCGCCGCGCGAGGGTGGTAAAAGGTCGGCGGAATGATGTAAATCGGGAGGCAAGAGCGAGCCGAGGTTCCTTCCTTCTGGGGTGCACTATTCCGATTTGGTAAGCTTCCCCGAAGCTCCAAGCCCAAGGTTTACGGGGCGACGGGGACTGGGGAAATCACGGCGTCGGCGAGAGCGAGTCGGTGTCGCCGATAGGGGTGTTCGACGGTATGTCACAGACAGCATCTCACCCCAGAAACCATCATGCATCGTGAACATGGGGACAAGCTGGACTTCAACGCAACGTGAACACACCCTATAGAGCTAAACACGTGGGCTGGCGGCGTGGGCGACTTCATCTCTCCGGACAGCCTCGCTCCATCCTCCCTCATCCCTTCTCACAGCCTCATCCCTTACACACTTCCTTCCCTTTGTCTGCTTTTTTCTGAACCATCACCTGAACAAGACTACATATTGCGGTAATGGCGGAGCTCCTCGACCTCCCACCGGAGCTGATCGTGCTGATTATCAACTGCATGCACCCCTCGTGTCATTTCAACTTTGCCCGGGCGAATAAACTCTGCTTCCAACTGTCCACCGATGTTCTTGCTCGCCATGCAGTCTATCACCAGCGCGCGCAGCCTTGGTCGGATACTCTCCCTCTTACGCTCCCCAGGCTATTTCACATGGTCCTCAAGGACCCTGTCGCCGCCTATTACGTCCACCACCTAGCATTCTGGGGATCGAGGACATCTTGGGATCTTTGGCAAGACTTGCCGTTGCGAGATGATCGGGCCCCTAATCACACATTACACGCGGCCATGAATACGTCGAACGCAGGTCCAGCCTGTCACATCTTCATCCCGCCGCACATCCATGCTTTCCGCCAGATTCTGCGTCGATGCCCCAACCTCTCGGAAGACCTTTGGATACAGAAATTGCTCGAAGGCGACGAGAGCCACTTCAAGGTGCTCCTGCTCGCTATGCTTCCCCACCTCACGCACCTCTGGTTAGCCGCCCCCATCCCAGCCCTCCGCCTCTTTCTAAACTCCTCCTTTCCCCCACACCCTCTCAGCCATTTACGCAACGTGAGCATCAGCATACAAGACCTTAGGTATCTGCTGCCAGCCCAGTGTTGTGGTTTCGAAACAATTGCGGATGTCTATCTTCTTCCAGCTTTGGAGTCGTTGTACGTCTTGTACGACTATGCTCCTGACCAAGCTCCTGACCCCGCCGACCCTGCTTGCATACCCATTGGGAAGTCCTCTGTCAAAACGCTTCTCTTGGACGGCACAGAGCCACCGTTCTCGGACCTGCTACAGATGATCGCCGGGGCGGCAGCCTTGCATACCTACGTTGACAGCATCGGGCCCGAGAACATCTCTGGGTGCCTGGGCGCTTTGCAGCAGCACCACTCCGATACTCTACAGAACTTAGATTTGGGCAGCCAACGCGATGATTTAGATTTCCTCCAGGAGCTCTACTCCGACAGCCCCAACCAAAAGAATCTAACCGTCTTCCGAGACTTGAAGCAGGTCAAGCTGAATGCTGTGGCAATCTTGAAGCAGATCACAAGGCTGCAGTACGACGGCGTCTACGACGGCACTTCCGATCCGTTTCGCATTTGGGTCGCCAGCAAGTACGGCCAGGGCTCCAGCCCACGCTTCCTCAATTTCGCGTCCATCCTCCCCGAGTCTATCGAGATTCTCACTTTCACCCCCATGGAAGATAAGTGGGCAATTGGGGTGTGTGCAGCCGATATGTTGGATGCCCTCGTGTCCGCCAATCTGCATGATACAACCCTTCCAAACCTCTCCGCCATCTTCTTCAACGATCTCATCGAAATGCGTCATTGGCGTTCCGCAGGCCTTCGCGAACATTTGCCGAGGAGCTTTCCCGAGCTCGCACAAACAGCCTTCCTTCCCTGGTTCCAGATGAGCATCGCAGCCGGGGCGCAGCGGGGGATCAATGTCTACACGTCTAGCACCCACGACCCCGAAGAGATAGAGCACATCAGAAGGGGAATGGGGATGCCCATGCCATTGGCGGAGCACGACGTGAAGAAGTACGACGATTTCGCCGACCTTCGCTCATCGGCGCAGAAAGAGGCAAGCCAAATGCAGGCACTCGCGACTGGTGGAACTCTGTACGATGATGACTTGTAATATGATATATATCTGGCCCACTACGATTTCTGACAATCGTGCAACCATGTCCTCACCCCGTCCATCCCGACTGCACCGCCTCTTTCATCTGCATTTTTGACTCTATACGGTGGTTTTGGCGGGCGCATCGGTGTTGCCGGTTTGGGGCTTGCTGTTGTCCTCCTTCTCGTTGGGCTTGGTGGCGGAGGCCTTGAAGGATTGCTCGAAGTCGGCAATGATGTCGTCGATGTGCTCGGTGCCGACGGAGATTCGGATGAGGTCCTGTGAGCAGCGTTAGTGGGCTGATGGCCAGGGAGGTGCGAGAAGGATAAACATACCTCGGTGACACCACTGCTGATGCGCTCCTCCTCGCTCAATTGCTCGTGGGTTGTCCTACAATCAACTTCGTCAGCTTCCGTTCTCTCGTCTGCACAAATCCAAGCGGGATGACAATGGCTCACGTCCACGGGTGAATGGCAAGCGTCTTCGCATCACCAACATTCGCCAAGTTGGAGATGAGCTTGAAGTTGTCCACCACCTGGCCACCCGCCTCCCCACCGCCCTTGACGCCAAACGACAGCACGCCGCCAAAGCCTCGGGGGAGGTACTTCTTCGCCAACTGATGGCTAGCATGCTTCTCCAACCCCGGGTAGCTCACCCACGACACATTCTCGTTGGCATCGAGCCAGCGGGCCAGCTTCAGCGCATTCGAGGCGTGTCTCTCGCAGCGCAGACTCAGCGTCTCCACGCCCAGCAGCAGCTGCTGCGCGGCAAAGGGGTTCAGGCAGGAGCCGAGATCACGCAAGACCTCGACGCGAAGTCGGATGATGAACGTGATGGCGCCAAAGGTGTCCCAAAACTTGAGGCCGTGGTACCCGTCCGACGGCTCCGACATTTGCGGGAAGCGCTTGCGCGCCGCCGGGGTGCCCCAGTCGAACTTGCCGGCGTCAACGACGACGCCGCCAATCGTCGTACCGTGTCCGCCAATCCACTTGGTGGCGCTGTGGATGACAATGTCCGCGCCGTGGTCAATGGGACGGCAGAAGTAGCCGCCCGCGCCAAAGGTGTTATCGACGACGAGCGGCACGCCCGCGTCGTGGGCAATCTTGGCGATGCCCTCGAGATCGGGCACGTTGTACCGCGGGTTGCCGATCGTCTCGATGTAGATGGCCTTTGTCTTCTCGTTAATCGCCTTCTTGAAGTCCTCCGCGTTGTCGCCGTCCACGAAAGTGGTGGTGATGCCCAAGCGCGGCATAAACACCTTGAACTGGTTGTACGTGCCGCCGTACAAGTTGGAGGTCGAGACGATGTTGTCCCCGGCGTGGCACAGGGCGGCAATGGTCATGAACTGCGCGGATTGCCCGGACGCAGCGGCGAGAGCGGCAACACCGCCCTCGAGAGCGGCGATGCGCTTCTCCAAGACGTCGACGGTGGGGTTCATGATGCGGGAGTAGATGTTGCCGAACTCCTTGAGCCCGAAGAGGCGCGCGCCGTGCGCCGAGTCATTGAAGGTGAAGGAGGTGGTGGCATAGATGGGGACAGCACGGGACTTGGTGTGAGGGTCGGGTTCGGCGCCTGCGTGTCGTTGTCAGAGACAATTACCCTGAGCTCCCAATGGCCGAGGACATCACGAGAGAGGGGCCTCCTTACCAGCGTGGAGCTGCAACGTCTCGAACCTCGGGGCAATATCTTCACCACCCATCTTGACAATCTGTTCTCGTAGCTGCTGAAGACGGCTTTTCGGGCGGGACGAAGGCGATGAGGATCTACTGGGCATATACTAGCAGGCACCTCTAATGACAGCAGAGGAGCGGCCGGGGAGAAGGAAGGGGGACAAAGGCTTTATATTTGCACGGCGGCATGAAACTAGCTTCAATGGCGAAATTTCCTCCTCCTCCACCTCCACGGTGATCTGCCTTCTGCCAAGTGGAGCGCCGCGGCAGCAGCCCCTCCTTCTGTTGCCCCTCCGACTGCTGGTCTTATGGGGGAGACTCGACCACGGCCACGGCAGTGATGAGACCCCGCCGGCCACTAAAGCTTACTGAGCTCCGCGAAAAGATGGGGAAGCGCGAGCACGTCATTACTCGACCCGGCGCCGCTAGCCCGCTTTCGGCCGCAGTGCTGCTCTCCTTTGCCCCATCTTTGCACGCTCGGCCGACTGCTGGGCTACCCTGAAGGTTTCCAACGCTCCGGATCGATGGACCGGTGTCGTCTCCGCGCCTATGCCTCCGCTGTAGGACGGGAAGTGTACTGTGCAATGCAGTGTTGGAGCTACCAGTACGTCTCAGGATCGTTCACGAGCATGCGCGGCTGCGCCGGCACCTCCCACTCTGTACTTTCCATAATGGCATACGCCTCGAATGACGTGCCCCGCGGGCGTCTTCGCAACTTGCCCGTCCGGCTCGGATCCACCTCGGGCTCCATCCAGGGGCTAGGCTGGAAGCCTTGCACCGATGCCCAGCCGCGGAACAGGGCGCGCCAGTAGCACGACACCGCAGCGGGCGTCAGGTACTGTTCGCGGAAGACGCGGCGCGCATTGTCTGCGATGCGCTGCGCTTCGTGGCGGTGCGCGGGCTCGAGCAGGCGCCGCATTGTCTTGCGCAGGCCGTCGAAGTGCTCGAGCAGGATGTAGTTTTGCGCCTCGCCGCTGGGCGCGAGCAGATGGTGGTACCATTCCAGCCAAGCCATTTCGTGCGAGATCATGACGCTGTGGCAGTTTAGGAGTAGCTTGAGCCGGCCACCCCAGGTCATTCCTTCCGTCATTGCAGTGAACATGTAATCGCAGTGCTCTTCCATGGAGATGACGTTCTTCGTCGGATCCTCCTTGTTCAGCCAGTCGATGCCGCGTACATTGCTCCACGGCTGGTCTTTGGACAGCTCGGCAAGCTTCTTACGCGCCGGGTTGTTGTCGATGGAGCCTCGCCAGACGAGCTGAGGCTTCTTGTCGAGGAAGGCCATTTCGCTGTCGTCGAGCACCGCGCGAAAGTCGGCGGCGTAGGAGGGCATGCCGAACTGCGGCCAGCCCCAGAACACGAAATCAGGCATCAGCCAGACGCTCGGTTCCTCCGCCCGCCGCGCATAGGCCAACACGGTGCGGTTCGAGTTCCCTTCCCCGATGAGCGAGTTGTCCTGGACAGTAAAGGTAAACTCGACCGTGGGTAGGGTGCCTGGATAGCTTCGCAAAGCAGCGTTGATGCTGTTGAGCGTCGCCAGGTAGCGCGTTCGATGGCCCCGTCCGACGTTGAGCGTGTCGACGATGTAGAGCTGGTTTTCGTGGATCAGGATGCGCAGGATGCCGTGGCCGCGCCACTTGATCTCGAGATCGTCGAGCGTGATGTTGCCCGCTACATTGTGCCTGTACTCCACCGCTCTGTCGATCTCCATGGTTAGGAGCGGGAACGCAGCCGTGCATTGCTCCTCACTGAGGCCATGGTTGTTGCCATCGCGCGTGTATTCGAACGTCCAGGGCGGTGTTGTGTTGTCGACGCCGTTGCTGCCGGCAGGACTGGTCGAAGACGCGTCCGACGGCGTCGACGCCGGTTGCGCGCGACGATGCCATGCGAACGCAAACGAAGGCGTGCCGGCTTCGCGGAACTGCAGAACTACCAGGCCAGCGAACAGGCCGGCGAGAAGGTAGATGCAAACGTAGGCAGCGGTTTGCGCAGCGCTCATGCGCATCGTGTGAAGCGATAGGGCATCGAGTCGCACGCGAGGCTCTCTTTCCCCATCATCAAGCAGAAGACGCGGCGAGGTGGGATGGAGGACGATAACATGCGTCGATTTGCCCCAACGATGACATGGGGGAGGTGGGATTAGTGCGCATTTATCGAATCCTACGAAAAAGCGCCGCCAGCCTAACCCTCGTCCAGCGCGGTGGTTGTGGCGGTCGGCAAATCATGTCTCTTGGTTCGTAATAGCGCTGACTGCTGCTTAGTGAGTGTCGCCCTTGGACCCCAGCAAGGGAGCAGGCTACGTAGGACTTTCCGGCCGGATACCTGCTAGGCTTCGACCGCATGGAATGTTGGAGCACGGCTGCCCAACATGAGGACAATGTGTTTTGCCCCTGGTTTGAACAATGAGCCAACATTGAGGCATGAAGGCTTTCTCCGGGACTGCGTGCCACCCATGCTGACGGGCCGCATTGGGGGTTGTGGCGAAATGGCTGTAGTAAAGCCAGCAGGACCGCGCAAGCCAGGCCCACTTTTTATTACCGCACTAGGCAGGAACGAGATGGAAAGCAAGCCTGGGTTAAGCATTATTTGCGGGTCTGCTCGGACCTCGCTCTATTTGCTTGTCGGCCTGACTCATGTCGGGCCAACGTTACATGGTGTCTCTTGAACTCACTCGCCGGGCTCTGCGCGCCAAACAGGCTTACTTCTTCTCAATAGAACCGCAAGTGGTGGCGCGGGACCCGTAAAGCGAAGATGAAGATACAGAAAGTGTAAGGTATCAATCGAACAACCTTCTCCCTAACCACACGCACAGTGACTCTGGATGCAATCGTCATAAGTCATAGAAGAAAAGGCCCAACACCATCGCCAAATCGATCTCATCAAGCAGCCTCGCTCCCCTTTGTCCCCGCGGAGCCCAGCCTCGACACCGGCCTCGTCGTCGTCGTCGTCGTCATCGCCTTCGCCGTCTCCGGAATGTCCACTCGCGTCGTCTTCTCGTTGCGGAAAACCTGCACAACCTCCGCGCGACTTTCGTAGTGCGTTTCCGTCGTGATGGTAGCTGCAGCATCACCGGGCCCCCGCCCGTCCTCTCTCGCCCCTTCGGTCCCCTGCTGTTCCGGCGCCTCGGGCTGCACATCTATGGACGGAAGGGAAAGAAATCCGAGTCGCAGTGGGATCAGAACAAGCTCGACGAGCGTCTCTCGTCCTTCTTGGAAGACGAAGTGGCCTCTGCGCTGCCCTCCGACAAGCCAGGCGTCAGGATCGGCGAGGAGTTCGTAGTGGAAGTTCTTCGGCAGGATTTTCTTGCTCGAACCGCTTCTCGCACCATCGCCGCGCCGACCCCAGATTCCCGTGCTCGCGATTCGCAGCTGCGCGTGGATCGGCTGGCCCACAGGAAGAATGGGCGGGTAGTGTTTAATCTGCCGCGGCTGCTCGACCAACGCAAGTGAGACTCTATGCACAACGTCGACGCTAGGCACGTCGACAGCGATGGAGATGGAGCGCACGCAGCCTACGCTTCCCGTCTCCGGGCCGAAAGCGATGCGCGTATTGTGGGCGTGCCAGTCTTTCAGCCATGTGGTGATGTCGTGCCGCACTTCGCTCGGTAGGCAGGGGATGATCTCTTCCCAGCCGATGTCGTTGAAGCTCGGGATGCTGCTCTCGTGGACGAGAAGGGCCATTTGCGTGTCTGCAGGGGTCCAGTGCTTCTTGGCGTTGAGCGTCATCACCGAAGTCAGCAGTCGCGACAGGTGGGCAAAGGGACTGTTGGCCACGGCGTCTTGAAATCTCGCCAGAACGGTAGTGTGCAACGCTTCATCTACCAGATGATAGGTCACATCCAGAGCCAGTGAGTCCTTCCGATTGCCGCCCTTGAAACTGTCATTCGGTACCTCGCGACGTATAACTTTGTAGGCCAACTTGGCAGGCTCGCCTTCGAACACAGGCATGGGAATGGAAATCGCGGGCGGCCCGCTGACTTCATACGCGGACGAGGACTGCAGCGCGGCGTGCGTGACGCAAAGCGGCGACGTCGTTGTCGTGCGGATAGTGAAGCCCGATACGAGCGCATCGAATTGGAAGTTGTCGTGCACGTCGACACTCAAGGGTAGTTTTGTGGGAAGTCTGAACGACTCAACGAACGTGAAGGCTCCCTGAGAGGTGCGGTAGGAGGCCGTGAAGCGGATCAGGATATCCCGGTCCGCGGGTTGCTCAAAAGAATACGGCACCTGCACCACGGCTGACGTGTGAGGCGGAAGTGCTGCGAGAGCCAGTTGGCCCGGGGTCGACGCTTCCTCCTCGCGTGCGTCGACATTGCCGTAGACAGCATCGGCGAGCCGTAGTCGTAGTCCGGCGGAAGCAGGCTTAAGTCTCAGATCGAGGGCATCGATGTGATTCCGTCCGCTGTTCAGGCGGACCTCCACCCACCGTGTTGCCTCGAGCTGGATATCTGATTGTAATGACAACTCCGCTTTGAATGCTTCCTGCGCCGGATATAGGAAGATGCGATTTTGGTGGGGGTCGTCAGGCATCTCAAGAATGTCACTCTGTGCGCCAGGCTCGCCTTGGTTCTGAGAGAAGTCGTGTTCGAATCGAATCCTTCCCGCCTCAAAAAGTAGCCGGTCGACGCGGTATGCACCGAAGGCTACCGCGACGCTTTCGAGGAGGAACTCGTTCGACCCTCCTCGCATGTGCACGGGACCGGTGACGGCAAGATCAATGGTCTGGTTTGGATCTGCCACGCTCGCCAGTCGCGCGCTGACGCGGTCGAGCTGCAATGACTCTGCCAGCAGGGAATTGAGCGTCAGTGGCACCGAAAAGCCGTCGCAGTCGTCATGAAGTTGGATAGCTCGATCCAATCGGACACGGTTGACGAACTGCTCAGCTGGAGCCACAACCTCCAAATCGAATTGTCTCGATGCAACAACAAGCGTGTCCATGAGGCCGACAAACTTGCTGGACGTTTCGTCATCAACATCCGGCTTCGTCCACCGCGTAGCTTTGGTTCGGTTCTTCGCGCACACCTTCCCAAGCAACAGTAGTGAAGTCCTCACGTACTCTTCACGCTTGCCAAGCTCCTTGAGACACGTCGCGTAGATGCTCAGCGCCTCGATTTCCATAAGATTCCATCCGCCGTCTGTGTACAGCGGCAGGACGTGCTGAAAGTAGGATACGGCAGCCTCGTAGTTGCCTTGATGGTATTTGAGGATGGCCAGGTCGCCAACGACTGCTTCGGCGGATTTGGCTTGCGTGGCGGTGATGTGGTAGCGCATTGCATCCTCGCTGAGACGCTCGTAGGTTTCGTGAAAGGCTGCCTCAGATGATAATGCTGATTCCAACCCTGGACTAAGCAAGCTCGACCCTGCCGTGTGATCTTGACCATGGCCGTTGACTTGCTCCTTGATGGTGTCGTTGAGCGCAACTTCACTCATCTGTAGACGAGCACTCCGCTTAATAGTCGTCCATCCAGTTTGCCATCCTCTTTGTTGCGCGAGCAGCTCGAGAGCCTTTCTTTGCATCATAATCAGGGATGCGCGGTAGCTTACGAGCTCGGCAAAACCAGGCTGTGTGTCTGCAAATGTCGCATCCTCGGATCCAGAACTTGGAGGCCGGGCCATCAGATCAGTCTCCGAAGCCGATTGCAACGACGGCCGATTCCGTAGCTCGGCGAGTCGTGAATTCCGTGGAGGAAGACTGTTGGTGCGAAGACTGCTCGTGCGGCTGGGATAAGCACTGAGACCGCCAGGCACACGCAGACCGGATGTGGGGCTCTTCAAGTGCCCATTAGTCGGGTGATTGCCACTGCCCAATTCCGGCAGGTTCTCCAGGGCGAATGATGCTGTCTCCTGAAGCACCTTTCCCGCCGCTTCATACATCCACAGATACACGAGACTCTCCACATCTGCGTCCGAGAGTTTCATCGTGGTCTCAAAGTCTCTACACATCAATAGGTCGGCCCTCAGGATGCGCGCATTGTTGTGAATGAAGCTTGCAGCGCGCCAACAGACCTCGGAGATCAAGATCAGATCCTCGCTGCCGCCTTTAGGAGAGAGGCCGAGCTGTATCCGCGCGGCCTTGGCGTTTGCCAGTCGCAGAATGATGGTTTTCTGACGCGAGAAGAGGTAGATGTAGAAATCGAAGACGGAGATGCTGCTTCGCACAATCTTCTCGCGGTAGTCGTCTTCGATGGTCTCGCTGATCGTAATCGTGCCATCGAGGCCCTCTGGCTCAGTGCCATTCGTTACTGGTCTGCTCGCTCCAGTCAGTCGCTCTTTGATATCGTCCGTGTAGGGTGCGAAGGTCGTAGCAGTGCCTTCCGCCCTTCCTGACGCGATGTCTCGAAGGACCAGTTCGAGGCCGACGGCTAGTTCGTCGTAGATGACCAACGCATCCTCGATGAGCCCGATGCTCTCCAAAGCTTTCGCCAGGCCTTCCTTGTAGATGAAGAAGGTGCAGAAGTTGAACCCAGGCATTGACCGCCTCGATTCTTGTTCGGTGATATCGGCCTCATATTGCCTCACTCGCTGATCAAAGGGGTCGAGTATGAGTGTGCGAATTTTGCCGATCAAGTCAATCCAAGCTTTCTCGCGCTCTTCCGCCGTCTCCTTGAGTGTTGAGGAGATGCCTGGGGTGGGCAGGAGATCGGCCGGGAAGTTTTCCTTTGGCAACCTGATCTGAGCGATCCGATCTTTCGCATTCTTGCCCGACTCGTTGAAGTCGGCCCTGAGCTTATCGAAGACGGTCCTGGAGCTCTTCCCCGGCCATTTGGCGCCCTGCTTCGGTCGCTCTTTCAAGTCGTCAATCTCTTCGGACTTGATCTCGCGCCAACGAGGCTCACTGGCGGCTACGGTGTCGGGAATGATAACGTGCAGAATCAAGTACTCGAACGCATCGTGTTCGCCTTTCTTCTTCGCCGCCGTACTTTGCCGAATCCACTCGCGCACTTTGGCGCGCTCCGACTCCTTGTATGTCACTTTGTCGTCGCATCTTAAGATGTAGATCTTCAGGTACGGACTGGTCTGGAGGCCTGGGATCTGGTGTCTTCGCTCGCGCGCATTGGTCTTGCGCTGATCGCCTCCATTGCCCACGATGTCGAAGCTGGTGTTGCGCTCAGAGTTGTTCTGGGGCCCGGGCGGCTGCAAGGATTTCTTTGTGAGACTGTCGGGCACGAAATCGAGGTGGAGCGACTTTATCTGGCGTAGAGGTCGGTTTTGCGAGCGCCAGTTGAGGTTTCGTAGCGGTAGGCGGGAGGAGAGGTCGCGCGAGATGAGGGGGAAGATTCCAGAAGGATCATGATACTCGACTACAGATTTGGGGTCAGCGGTGTGTAGAAGGGAGGCGTATCGCGGCGTAGAGTGCCTGCTTACCGGTGACCTTGCTCGAGGAGTCCATCCCTCGCGATGTTGCAATCTGAAAGCGGACGTACAGTCTGAGGCATCGCGAATGCTACACCGTGGATGCCGGTGCTTTGCCCTCGCGGGAAGAGGAGCGTGTGGTGTGTGTACGACTCCTGATCCCTGCCATGCGCCGACCTCTTTCCAGACGAGGCGGCAGGTTAGGTGGATGTGGTGCAATGTGACGCCACGACTTTTGGCAGCGAGGCCGAGGAGAGCTGTGCTTTCCCGACGTCAACTTCTTTCGCATTATCCGTCGTCTTCCAGCATCCAAGCCATTGACCCCGACAACATGCAGTCCACGTTGCTGAGAAGAGTATGTATCGCTGGAGTCGCTGTTCCGACACTCGCTCACCCGTCCACAGGCCCAATTCGGCACCCAGAGTGATGGGTTCGGCGGGGTGCACCCCTGGCAACAGCGCCCGGACTACAGCGTGTTCAGGAGCAAATATGGCCCTCAGTGCGCTCCATACCGCCTTCCGATGCCAGTAATTCCACAAGCGCTGACAAATAGCAGGTACAAGATCACGCCTCACGTCCACGGCCTGAACTCGCGGAGGCTGGTCCGATAGTAAGCCCTGCCCACCCCATGTCGGACCGCTCGCTCGCTGACTCCTCCTCTCCAGTGGAATCATGTCGAGCCTGTTTGGCGTCTCCGCCGGCGTCTTTGCCCTCTTCTTCTTCAACGGCATCCCCCGAGTCCGACAAGACATCTTGGAGCAGATGCCGTTCATTGGCGACTACTTCCACCACGAGATCCCGCCGGAGGATGACCCGTTCTAGAGCGCTTGTTGGGATGGAGGGGGTCGGGAGAAGTTTAGTCTAGGGAAAGAGATATCAGCAATGCACTGTACAGAATGATTGCGCCTGGGACTCCTGCCGCTTTACAAATCCTGTTGCATCCCCTGTTCCCTCTTCTACCGATGACCTTCGAAGCAGAGCGCGGTTCTGTTAGCTCCCTGCTCACCAACGGCCATATCATAGTTATATGGGCCACCTATCGCCGTAGGTACTTTCGGGTATAGGTCTAGGCTGACAGGTCATACCAGACTTCACTCTCACCTGGACATGCACGTGATTGAGGAAAGGGCGTTTCCACGTCAGCCACGGGCCCTTCCGCCCATGGCCGTACATGAGGAAGGAGCGATGCACTCGCTTGCTAATAACAACGCGATTCGAATTTGCAAATTTGCCGTCGTCAACAACTTCGCTTCAGCTTTTGTCAGGCGGCACGCCAGCTTTCTCCTCACTTCCACACCGCACGTTCAACGCAGACCTTCTGTACGCCATCGTGGAGGGTGAGAGCCTGGATACCGTGATCATGAAGATCCTGGCAAAGACGTACATCAATGAAGCCAAAGATGTGCAGGACTTGGTGGCTGCGCTGCCCCTGCTGCTCGACAAGGAGCGTACGACAGCGAAAGCTGAAGTGGAGAGCGCTAAGTTGCAGGCGTTGCAGAACCAGGCCCCCGCACCGCCTCGTGCACCCAGTGCAGCTGGTGACATGACCTGCCCGTCCGCCTCTTCTCAAAGCTCCGCTAATGGTGTAACAGTATACAGCGAGCTTCGCCAGGCTGAGGCCGAGATTGCCAGGCTCAAGGAGAAGAAGAACGGGAATGACGGCCAGATTGGCCAGCTCAAAGCACGGGTCACTGAGCTCAGCGCTGAGATCACGGCTTTCAAAGCACAGCTTGCGGAGAAAAACGAAGCGGCAGTCGTGGACTCCACAGCTTCTGGCGCGACAACGACGCAAGGCCAGCCGGGCAATTACAAGCACACGAAGAAGACCAGAAAGGCCGCATCTGACGCAATGGTCGCAATCAACGAGGCCCAGAGACCGAAATCCAAGAAAGAACGCAAGAAGGCTGCACAGAATGACGCTGCGAACGCGAAAGGAAAGAAGGGTGGCAAGAAGGGTGGCAAGAAGCGTGGCAAGAAGGGCCTCGCAAATCAGACATCCGGCCTGGATGCGCAGGATAACGAAGTCCAAGAATTCGCCGATCAGGGCGCATCTGTCACAGCAATCGGAGACAATGCTACATCTCGCGACGTCATCAAGACCTTCAACACCGATGGAAGCCACATTGCGTCGAAGAAGGCCCACGGAGCAAGCTCTTTCGCTGACCCCCTCGGCGCAAACTCAGCGTTCCGCTTTGGTGGCTTGGGGAAGGAGCCGTCGTATCCCAGATCAAAACGTCCGTTCGATGCCGGCTTGGGCGAATCGGGCAACACGCCGAAGAAGATCAAGACGGAGAGCACCGCGGCTGCCGGCGGACAGGCACCGGCGGCTACGCCCAAGTGTCGTCGTTGCAAAAAGTATGCGCTGACGTGCGACTCACGCTCGCGGTGCTGTCACTGCGAAGTGGCGGATCAACGTTGCATCTACGAGGCGTGCCCTTTGGGGCTGTGGTGCAAAGGGAAGCGTTGTGATGAGATCCATGACGGCCAGTGGACGCATGGAGATGTTCCGGCATGGAACATCGAGAAGCCGCGCGCGCCTCTTGATACCCTGGGCCCTTATCATACATCAACTGTAAGTTAAGGGGCCAAACACGTGGCGGTTGCTATGTCGTCTGATGCATTGAACGAGGCTTGGGTGCCGCAGACAACACGCGAGGCATCGCAGACGTCTTCTTCGGCGCATGAGACTGCTTCCACCGGCAACAATCTCAGTCCGACGGCGTAGCAATTTGATCACGACGGCACACACGGAAAGACATATGGCTTTTGCCAAGAATGTCAAGTACAATGACGACGTGCTGATGAGAGGAGGAACGGGGGAAGGGAGGGAGTGGGAGGAGTCAGGCTATGGACATGGATTATGCGGAGAAAACTGGACTGATTGCGTGTGTAGGAGTCATAGCTCTCTCCCAATGAAAGCGTGCAAGTGTCTGTATTCCATCAAGATTGCATCAATGTGAGCGTGTTTGTCAGCGCCCTTCGCACAGCCTTCCGCTATCGGCTCGCCTGCCGGAAATGGCGGCGGCGAGCGAGCGATGCGCCGGAAGGAGCGATGATGGAGCGAGAGATGTCATATCGACTTCCCCTACTCTGAAATGATTGACAGATGGCGATCCAGTCACGGAGCGGTGCCGGCGATGCTGAGTGGTATATGAGGAGTGGCCCGACGTGACGAGTTGGACCGAAGAAGAGCCTCTAGACCGCACGTCACCCCGCTACATCCCGACCTCCAGCCAAACGCTGCCCCACCTCAACGCCAGAAACACCCGGTATTTTTTCTTTCCCTCCAATAGCCGCCAGCTCCGACCATCACAACCATCAATCACCACTTGTCTCCCACTCTCCTGCAACTCCTCTGACTCCGTGTCTGCTTCACACTCCACACACCCCTCACACAGCAACCCATCCCCAAGCGCAATCATGTCGGTCAAGGTAGGTGCACCTCAACGTCATGCCCCTCCCCCTCAATGCTTCTTCATCCATTGACACCAAGCTCTCTACAGGTTGGAATCAACGGGTTCGGCCGCATCGGTCGCATCGTCTTCCGTAACGCGTGAGTAGCTGATGCCCGCTCCTACTCGATGAAGGAAGAGAGAGAGCAACCGCTGACCCCCGCACAGCCAAGAGCATGGAGACATCACCGTCGTTGCTTGCAACGACCCCTTCATCGAGCCCCACTACGCCGTAAGTCTCCTCCACCCTTCCTCCTCCCTACACTTCCTCACCGGCCTCCGCTCACACTCCCTCCTCCACCCAGGCATACATGCTCAAGTACGACTCGCAACACGGCATCTTCAAGGGCGAGATCGAGGTGGACGGCAAGGACCTCGTGGTCAACGGCAAGAAGGTCCGCTTCTACAACGAGAAGGACCCCGCGTCCATCCCGTGGAGCGAGACGGGCGCCGAGTACATTGTCGAGTCGACGGGCGTCTTCACCACCAAGGAGAAGGCCGAGGCACACTTGAAGGGCGGCGCGAAAAAGGTCGTCATCTCCGCCCCCTCCGCCGACGCCCCCATGTTCGTCATGGGCGTCAACAACAAGGACTACACCTCCGACATCAGCGTCATCTCCAACGCCTCCTGCACCACCAACTGCCTCGCCCCGCTCGCCAAAATCATCAACGACAAGTACGGCTTGATCGAGGGCCTGATGACCACCATCCACTCCTACACCGCCACCCAGAAGACCGTTGACGGGCCCTCGAGCAAGGACTGGCGCGGAGGCCGCACCGCCGCCCAGAACATCATCCCCTCCTCCACCGGCGCCGCCAAGGCCGTCGGCAAGGTCATCCCCAGCCTCAACGGCAAGCTGACCGGCATGTCCATGCGCGTGCCCACCGCCAACGTCTCCGTCGTCGACCTGACCTGCCGCATCGAGAAGGGCGCCACCTACGATGAGATCAAGGAGACCATCAAGGCCGCCGCTGCCGGAGAGTACAAGGGTGCGTCTTCAATACCTTCCAATCTAGCACTCTCCCCACTAACATCACCCAGGCATCGTGGGCTACACCGAAGACGAAATCGTCTCGTCCGACATGAACGAGAACGAGCACTCGTCCATCTTCGACGCCAAGGCCGGCATCTCGCTCAACAACAACTTCGTCAAGCTGGTCAGCTGGTACGACAACGAGTGGGGCTACTCGCGCCGTGTGTGCGATCTGATTGCCTACGTTGCCAAGGTCGACGGCCACAAGACCAAGGAGGTGTAGAGGGCTGGATTCGTGCTTCTGGTTCACACGTGGTGCAATTCACATCGAGAGCCGAGTACTTTGGTACACAAGCTAGCTAGGCTTTTGGTAGAAAAATGAAATCGTAGTATTCGTGAGTGGACCTTGTTTCCCATCTATCCCTTTCCATGTTTTGCCTTTTTCCGGAGCCCCGTAACGCGATGCTTTCCCCCTGACGCTATGCAATAAAACCACTTTTGATAAGGCCTTGTCGACGCCTCACGTATGACTCGTCCTCTCTGCATCCAACGCATGCCCCGTCGGCCCACTCGAGCTATAATCCGTCGTGACAAACGCGCGATCCACCTCATCCAACCCCTCCGCACAATACTGCAGCGTCTCGGCGATATCATGCGAGCGGTTCAGCCGCGTCTGCTCGTCCAGCAGCACATCAAACTCCACCCACACGCCCTCGCCCGCGTGGTACGCCGTGACGTTTTTGAAGCCCTGCACGACGGGCGCGAAGCGGTACGCGAGGTACATGAGTTTTTTGTAGGTTGCGTCGCTCGCTGCCTGGCCCGAGAGCTGCGTCACGTTTTCGAAGCACGTCGTCGTCCAGTCGTAGATGATGAAGAGGGAGAGCAGGCCGGCGCCGAGCGGGTCGAGCCACCAGATGTTCGCCTTGGCGCCCATGAAGGGGAATAAAAGGGAGAGGGTGTTGAAGATGACGTCTGTTTTGCAGTCCTGGGCTAGAGCTTGCACTTGCGTGGTTTTGATCGGTATGCACCCAAACCAGATGATGCCTTTGATGAGGATGGTGGCGAGCAGGGCGCCGACGGCGATGGGCGGGAGTTGCTCCGCCGTGCCCTTCAGCGGGAGCAGTTTTTCGACGGATTCTTGCAGGATTTGCAGGAAGGAGATGACCATGATGATGCTGAAGACGAGGATGCCGATGGGCTGCAGGCGTTTGCGCCCGATGGGGAAGCGGCGGTGTAAGGCGCGGAGGCGCCACGAGACGAGCTTGTTGGTGCTCCAGATGATGAGGGTGCACAGGAGGTCGAGCGCGGAGTCCACAAGCGATGCGATGAGCGACAGCGAGCCCGAGGAGAAGGCCGCGGCAATCTTGCCCGCGAGCAGCAGGACATTCGCGATCACGTTGATGTTAATCGCCCACGTTGCTCTTCGCTGCGCTTTCCGCCTCTTCACCTTCTCCTCCTCCGGCAAAAACTCCCCAATATTCCCCGCCGCGAGCTGAATGCCCCCCGCCCGCTCTCGAATCCCATCGTTATCTGGATCCGGGTCCATGGACTCCAACACATCGTCCGCCACGGCTTTGACCAGCGCATCCACCTCGCGCCAATCGTTCAGCCGCTCATTCTGATCCTCGTAGAAAGCGCGCACTTTTTTATTCTTGATTCCCTTCAACTCATCGTCTGATTTCCGGAAGAGTTCGAGGTCTTTGCTATTAAGTACGTCGGCTAGGAGGGCTTGCTTGAGCTCCTCGCGCCGCTGGTCTTCGAGGACGGTGCGGGCTGCGTCGCGGAAGCGCCAGACACCCGGGCGTTTGCTGGGCGGTGGGCGGTGGTGAGAGGGTTTGGATGTGTTGCCATTTGAGCGTCCGCTTGTCTGTCCACTTTCGAGGTCGTCGGCGTTGTGGGCGTGGAGGGGGCGGTCGATGCTCGTGCGGTCGGCGGCGCCATCGGTGCGGAGGTTGTAGCGTTTGCCGACCATTTCAATGGCGTGGGGGATTTGGGGAGGAGGAGGAGAAGGAGGAAGTCGATTACAAGGAAATCCAAGAACGGCCGCCAGTGAAGTGCATGATTACCTGACGACGTGTGAAGGTTGCAGTAGCACGCGTGCTCGTGCATTCAATACCTTAGGTTTCCTTGGAAAATCCACGGATGACGTCTGCGATGTCTGGGGTTGGGTTTCAGCACGGCACGCGGCAAGGCTTGGATGTGGAGCCGGTGGATGGAGCAGATCAAGAACAGATATAATGCAAATGGTTTAGAAAGATGCAGATATATTGCACTAGGAACAGTCTCGTATTCCACGCCATCCACGGCATAAACGCCCGCAACATCGCTCAGAAAACAGCAACAAGAACATGCAGCCTCCCGGGGCACACCGACCTTTGCTTTCATAAACCTGATGAAACAAGCAGAACCCTTAATCAGCACGAATTCACCCCCTCTCCTCACGCACTGATAATCTTCTCCAAGCCCTCCAAGAAGATATCCGAGTGTCTCTTCTGGAAGATCAACATGGGCCGCAGTCGGACGGCGCCGGCTCCGCTACCGCCAATGTTGATGCCCACCTCCTTCGCCTTGCGCAGCACCTCGTCGCGGCGCGGGCTGTCCCACGCAATGAACGTGCCCTGTCCCTTACCACGCAGGTTCTGGATCTCCTTGGGGTACTTCTGCGCGAGGCTCGCAAGGCCGTTGTACAGGTAGTCGCCCGTCTCGGCCGTGTTTTGCACGAGGTTGAGCCGCTCGATTTCGCGGATGATGGCGCGGAAGCACAGGGCGCGCGCGGGGTCGCCCATCCATGTGTTGAATTGGCGGTAGGGCTTGTTGGGGCGCAGCTCCGGGTTGCCAAAGTAGTAGCCCGCCGTTTGCGCCTTCTTCGAAAAGGTCACCATGTCGGGGGGGTCTTGGAGGTTCCAGTGCTCGTGGGCCCAGAATTTGCCGGTGGCGCCCACGCCGGTCTGCACCTCGTCGACGATGAGGAGCACGTCGTGCTTGCGGGTGATGGCGCGGAGGCCCTGGAAGAAGGCGGGGGAAGCGTGGTTGTCGCCACCCTCGGATTGGACGGGTTCCACGATGACGGCGGCGGGGGGGTTGTGGTAGGTGGTGAGGAGCTTCTCCACCTCCTCCAAGCACCTCTGCTCCTCTTGTGCGTTCTCTTGCGCGTGCTCTTCAAGCGGGTACTTGAGCATGGGGAAGGAGGCTTGGGGCCAGTCGAAGGCGGGGATGTCCAGCTTGTGGATGGGCTTGGAGCGAGTGGTGGACAGGGAACCGAAGAGGCGACCGTGGAAGCCGGTCTTGAAGGAGAGGATGGACATGTCGGGCGAGCCGGGCAGGGCGTTGTTCATCGACGAGTTGATCTCCTCTTCCGTGAACTCGACGTTCGGCCCGCCGCGCTGCTGCTGCCGCTTCCACATGAACGCAGCCTTGTACGCCAGCTCGTTGGCATCCGAGCCCGCGAGGGCAGTAAAGACCTTGTCGCAGCCCTTGGGCGCGACAGAGAGCATGCCCGTCTCGAGAATCTCCGCCCAGTCGTGCTGGGGGAAGTTACCCATTGCAGGCCGGTTGATGAGCGCCGACACCATCTCGGGGCTCGTAGCGGCAAGCATGAGCGAAGGGTTGCTGTATCCGACGGGGATGGAGGCAATCTGCGCATACACATCCAGCAGCACATTCCCATCCAAGTCGGCAATGTAGTTGCCGTAGGAGTTCTGGTAGTTGGTCATCATGTTCAGCGAGCGGGTCTCGTAGATGCGGTCGAGGTAGGCAATGGCCTTCTTGCTCTCCGGGCCGGGGATGGCGGTGCGGATGACGGGGCCGGCGGGCTCGTCGGGGAAGAAGGGCTGCTCGTAGGCATCGGCGACGGGGGCGCGAGCGGCTGCTGCAGTCGCCTGGCGGGGAGGCGTCTGCGAGGCCAATGCTCGGGTTGGCACGCGGGCGGAGAAGCGAGCTGCAGTGCTGAGAGCAGGCTGCACTCGGCCGGCGGTGCGGAGAAAGGAAGCCATGGCTGCGTGTGAGTTGGTTCGGGAGAAGGCAATCACAAAGCAGGGGGGCGGATGGGTGAAGGAGGGAAAGCAGAAAAAGGCGGAAGAGACGGGGTGGTGGTTATGGAGGGGCGACTGACTACGCAGCCACGCCCTTCCCTGCCGCTCCCACCTTTTCCCCACAATTAAAATCCCGCGACAAAGCGGGCGAGACGAGGCGGCAGGCTGCGCGACTAGGCCTAAACGAGCAATGCCAGCCGAACGTCGTCCACTTCATCTTCAAACCCTCGCAGGCTCGTGCAGTGATTGCCTTTTGGAGGTGAGGATCTGCCGGTGCTGCTCAAGCGTCTCGATGTGAAAGGGCGTGGGCACGTCTTGCAGTTGTCGAATCTGGCACTCACACCTCATATGCTGTCGAGAGGACGTCATGGCAACTGAACTCAAAGGCACGCCCGCATTCGATCTATGCCGAGCCTCGTCAAGGCATCCGACTGCGTTCGCTATGTTCATGATGAATAGGGTATCTCTAGTAAGTGCGAATCAACCTCTTCGCGACTTCCATTCTTCACTCCATCACTCCTCGCTTCCCCCTCACTTCTTCCTCGGCTTGAGCGCTTGATCCGGCGTCACAACACCAACATGACAATACTTCTCCATGCACCCATGCGGATCCGAATCCCTCTGAACCAGCTGTCCCTCCGCATCCACCACACTCCCCTCATGCTCCGGCCTCTGATACACAAAGTGAAACTTGCGATACTCCGACACCACACAGCACGCCGAGGCGGCGAAGAACTCCACCATCTGCTCCGTAGCCCCCGCTTCGTCGCGCTGCCACTTGCCCTGGAAACTCGGCAGCGACTCCTCCCACGGTGACCAGAGGTAGGACGTTTCGTTCGGCACGGAGTGCGGTTTGTAATACCCGTCCTCGTCCTGTGGTGGACATAGTCTGCACACTGCCTCGTAGCAGTCGCTCCAGCGAGAATCAACTTGTTGCCCACCCTGCTCTTCGTGTTTCGCCTCAGCGAGACGTGCTAGCCAGTCTTTGATGCCCGGCCGAGCTGCGATTCTACTAAAAACACCCCCGGCCTGCTTGTCTTCCGCCTCCTTTCGGAAATTGTCGATGATCGCCGTCGCTTTCTCAGGGTAGTAGACAAAAACATCGTCGCTGATGAACATCATACCGCCATGTGGAAAGATGCGCTGGGCCTCGTAGGTGAGCTTGCGGCCCTCGCGCATGCACAAGTCGTACTGCACGCCGATGGAATAGGCGCGCACGGTCGAGCCATGCTCGGTGAGGAATTTGTGCAGCCCGGGGATATGATCGTTGAAGTGCTCGGTGGGGTGGAAGACCAGCAGGCAGGAGCCGCCGCAGCCTTTGCGCACATAGTCCCACGCCGCAACATCCCCTGGCATGGATGTGACGGTTTTGATGCGCAGCTGGCGTTCGAACAGGTCGACGAGCAGGCCCATTTCGGCTTTGCGCTCGTGCGGCATGTGGATGAAGACGACGGCTACGTTGCCGCCCTTGCTGTTGCTGATCAGGGCGTGGGAGTCCAGGTTGGCTTGTCCTTTCTTCGCCATGTCGTATTCCTCGTTGAGTGACAGTGATCTGTACTTGGGGCGCTGAGAGCCTTCTCTGCTCTCAGACACCAGCGGCGTGTCTGCTCTCACGGGTGCTCGTCCACGCATGCGGGGGTCTCTGGCTGGCGAGGCCATCCTCACTGCGGGTTCAGGAAGGTGTGGAGTCTGTACTCCGAGTGTGTCTTCTTCGTGTTCGGTGCTCGGCACAATGTTGTTTGCTTCCGTCAGTGTTTGAGCAGCATATTCACCTCCGCTTGCCGCGGAAGTGACGTCGTTTGCAGCGTCGTTTGCGATGGTGTTCCATTCATCTGCAACAGGTGATTGCACGAGCGGCAAGCGCTCTGGAGCGTCATAGAACGTGTCAACAGGTGAGGCTGCGGCCACAAACTGTCTCACTTCCGGGGGCACACGACCCTCGGAAAAACTCTTCCTAACATACGTGCCCGGCTGCCCTGCGTAAAAGCCCGTGTCAAAGTGGGCGAATTCGCATTCGTTGTCCGGTTTGATGCAGTGCCCCTTGCGCCAGTACCAACACGTGGTCTGCTTCTTAGTAGGCTCGTAGTGTGCAAATAGGCATTCAGCAGCTGGCTTCTTGCAATGGCCCCTCCGCCAGTAGGGGCAAACACCTCGCTTCTTTGAAGCAGGGACGTCGGGCTGTCTTGCAGCCGGCGCATCGGGGTAGGCGTGCGTCCAGTAGCATGTGTCGGCCGTGTATTGACAATTACCCGCTTGCCAGTACCTGCACGTGGCAGGATCCTTCGCCCGCTGCCCTCCCTCGAAACGAGGCTCCCACGGAGCGGCTACCTGTCCTAATCCTGTGTTGGCATTCGGGGATGGCGGCGTCGGCGATCGACGTTGCTGTGATCGCGGCGGAGATCGTCTCCCATAAGCACGATGAATATCCCCCGGTCCTGTCGGATTGATAGCGGGCACTGTCTTAGGCGGCTCAATGATGCCAGTCCTGGGATCAAACATGGCGAGAGCCGTGGGGTCGGGCGCCGGTTCGTTCCGACTGTACTTCTGGTAGCGGTTTTGAATCGAGAGACGAGTAAATTGCGCATCTGTAGAGTCCTTTGGCGTCTCTGCGTTCACCCTCGCTCGTTGCTTCCGCTGCTTGTCTTTGGTCCAGTCGCCGGCGAAGATGTTGGGTTTGGGTTTCGCAATGGGTGCTGGCGCAGGTGCAGACTTCCTCGCTGCAGTGGCTCGGGGAGCTTCAGTCGTAGTCGGAACCGTCTCATATTGTGCCAAAGCCTCGCTCAGCCTTTGCGCGGCCGAGACTGGTTGCGTAGCTGTAGATGGGCCGCCTTGTACTGCAGGAAAATCCTTTTGCTTTACGATAGATTCGAGCCGTGGCGTTTTGGTGGTAGCAGGAAGTTCGACGCTCGTCGAAGACTTGGACCGTTTGCGCGGAGAGACAATTGACGTGACTGCCCTTTGCTTCCCCTTCTGCTTCAGCCTCGATGCAGCGTGAGCTTTGTCGTCAGAACTGGAGGGGTCGTCCTCATCATCATCGTCACCCTCAACACCAGCAGAAAGAGACCCCCTTCCTCTCTTCGCAGGTTGAGCCACCCCCTTCCGCGCCGGCAAAGCACCTCCCATCCTCCTACGCGACCCAGCCGCCGGCCCCGCAAAATCATCCTCGCTCTCCTCCACAGCAGCAGCAGCAGCAGCCCTCGCCCTCTTCCTCCGCTTCGCCACCCTTCTCGCCTTTTTCCTCTTCTCCTCCTCAGCAAAAGCCTCCACCGCCTCATCATAAACCAGCACATCGAACCCCACTGCCTCCCCACGCCGCACAGCCGCCTTCTCCCCCTCCCACGTGCTCAACAGCACATCATCCAGCACATGCGCCCGCGGCTCCCAATTCGAGCGGTGCAGCGGGTAGCCCTCCCATTTGACGAGGTACTGCACTTCGCCCTCGGAGTCGCGCTCTTCGGCGAGGATCTTCTCGACGGGGTATTCGGCTTCGGAGTCGACTTCGCTCGGCGCGGTGGTGGTGGTGTTGATGGAGTCTGTGTCGGATTGGGTTTCGAAGAGTTTTGTGCTACGGGTTGCTGCCATGTTTCACGAGTTGAGAGATGCGGGGCCACATTGAGATGTGTGGCGGAGGGCGATGTACGGTTTGTACATTTGGGGTGTTTGCTGGGTGTTGAAGGAGGTGAGGTGGGCTTCGGAGCGGGGCTTGCATGAAGTGTACTTCACGACGAAGACGCGTTTCCCCGTGACGGCAAACATCAGAAGCACAGGCAATTTTAATTACATTTGACTGTTTTGCCCCGTCTCAGATGTCTGGGAGAGAATCAATACTTGGGTTATCGCTTGCTAACACAACACTACGACTCAAAGACGGTGGTGCTGCCCACTCGACCTCTCGCAAAGCAGCCTTGCGGACCATATCAGAGATAGTTCATCGCGTTCCAATTCCTAGCTAATGCCGTGCCGTGTCCTCTTCGCCGTCCTCCCCACCCACGCCCTCTTCCGTCCTGCTCTGAGCCCCCTTGATCCCTCTCCGTGCCTTTGCTCTCACCATAGGAGGGAAAGAAAGTCGAATCCGTCGTCCACCAGCATGAAAGACAACAGTGTGAAAGAATCCAGGCCGTTTTCTAGTAATGGCGCAGTGCTGTCGTCTCCCTCCTAATTATACACGCTACCCTGCGCCGGCATGGGCCAGTCGTCTTCGGTGATGCTCGCCCAAAAAACCCAAATCATTACAATCGCCAGGAGGGTGAAGAATGTCTCGAATAAGCCGCCGTTGATCGCGCCGTTCGTGCCTGTGCATATGAATCTGCTGATGACGTACTGGAAGATCTGGCCGATGGCGAAGAGAAGTGCCGCGGCGACGAGATAGACTGGAGTCTTTGTTAGCAAGAGTATAAATTGTGATCAAAGTAATGTGCTTACACATCGGCCGGACTTCGCTCAGCACTCGAAGGACCAACACCGCTTCGAGGATGAAGAAGACCACGAGGAAGATCAGGGGGATCAGCTGATAGAGAGTGTAGAGGGCGTAGGCTTGGTTGGGTGCTCGCAGCGTATCATTCCAATATCCAGTCCAGCTGAATGCCGTGTCGAGTGCGATGTAGCCAGTCCCGATGAATAGTGCTGCCGCAGACCCAAAGATGAGGCCAATTGACAGCGCGGTGCCGTCGTCGAGAAGCTGGTATCCCACCGCGCCGTTCATCATGAGAATCCATGTGGTCGCAACGATGGACGCAATGTGCACCGCGGAGAAGGCTCGTCGCACGTCGCCATTGAGGGGGAAGCCGCCGACGGTGAAGATTTCGCAGATTTCAATGATGATGTAGCCAATGAGGAAGAATTGCATTTCTCGTCGGCCAACCGCGGCCTTCTTTCGGTCGGTTCGGTATAGCAGCCATGCGGAGATGAGGATGGCGAGGCCGGCGATCAGTATTGAGCCTGTGCTGGACGTCAATATGTTTTCACTCGCATGATAAGCTCTTGTAGTTGCGCTCACCCAAATTCGCCAGATGCCGCCCACCGCTCAAGTGTATGCCCTCGAGGTCGCATCCACCATACCATGGAGCCCCTCCTCCTCTTGCAGGCGATTCATCGAAAAGGTTGCATACGGGGAGGGTCGAATGGCGACTACCGGTATCTTTGCAGAAATCCTGCGCGCTCGAGTGTCAGCTCTTTTACCCTCAGAAGTGCAGACATTGCGCGCGGGTGCATACATGAAACTTCCCATATGCCGTCCCACCCATCTTGCCGGCGGCCAAGGGCTAAGAGGTTGTCAGGGAGAGGAGATGCGCCCGCTGGCGCTGGTGACGGCGATGGTCAACGGAAGAGGTGTGGTCCGACGTGCGCAGCTGGTGGAAGGGCGAGATTGGAGGCGTTGCAACAAAGCAAGCAAGGCACTTTCTTTCTCAGCGCTCGGCCCGGGCTGGAAGAGAGGGACGTTGCCGTCCGAGACACGCCAAAAGCCAACGTCGGCCTGCGCAGTGTCGGTCTGCAAGTTCGCACAGACGCTAGTTGCGCCGCGCTAAGCGGGTGTAATCTCACGCAGGAGACGGCCAATCGCCACTCGTTTCGTCGTGTTCTGGCCGCGGTGGAGCTGGTGAGACAACGAGTGAAATGGCGCGGGGCTCGTGAAGATACCTTGCGGGTGAAATGAGGGGGCGGAAGAAGGTGTGGGAGTGAAGTGGAAGAAAGGGTGCGGTGACGTGAACATTGGGAAGCTTGCAACCAGGGCGACGATCCGCAGGCCGCGCCTTCCTTCTTTTCCTCCGTAGTTGCCCTGCCCTGGCCAAGGAACACCCGCACCAGCTGCTTTGGGCTGTGTGGCGCAGCACTACCGAGTCTACTTCAAACGTTATCGGCATGACGGCTCTACAACGACTCTAGACTGCCTATCTGATTGTGGGTGAGTTTCATCATGACGGAAGCGAGATTGTCGAGACTGCAGTTTCACATGCTACTCCACCACCATGCAGCTTGGAGACGTCTGCCAACAGCATTCACGACAGACGTACGGACGATATGCCCGCAAAGCTTAGCAAGCTATAAATACGACATGATGCAAGCAGGTCTTGACAATCTGCCGATCTTGCCGTGGAGAGATGGATCTGCGAAATGCGTACGAGGCAGAAGGTGGATGTGTGCATAGCTGCCGACGCGGCTGAAGATGCACTCGAAGGGAATAATGCCAGCTGTAGCACACAGCATTAAGTACATGTATTAGCCGCGATCAATCGTCGTACATCATAACGCCTAGCCATGCCACCATCCACGCCTTCAACAACATCCACTCGCAAACCCGCCCTTCTTTCCCCCACCTCGATCATCCTTCTTCAACGTCACCGTCCTCTGGTTTCCTCCACCGGCCCCAGGGCCCTTCACGCCACTTCTCCGATCATTCAAATCGTATTTGCCCGCCTCAATGTTCTGATATATCCGCTCCGCCACCTCGAGAAACGCCCGCTCCACATTCTCCCCGCTCTTGGCCGACGTCTCAATGTACTTCATCACCTTGTTGTGCCGACACCATTCTTCCGCCTCTTCCTGCGTGACCTGGCGTTTGTTCGGCGCCGAGCTGGCCCCGCTCACCGTGGAAGCGGGCGCGAGGTCAGATTTGTTGCCCACGAGCACCACCACGATGTCGTCTTCCGCTATTTGTCGCAGATCTTGGAGCCAGGATGTCACGGAGTCAAAGGTCGTCCGTCGTGTGATGTCGAAGACGAGCAACGCGCCGGAAGCCCCGCGGAAGTAGGATCGTGTGATGGAGCGGTATGTCTCTTGTCCTGCCGTGTCCCATAGGGATAGCTTCATGTGTTTTTGTTGATCGGCCCCCTTCTTTCCCGCCTTGATGTCGTTCGGCGATGCTGTCTTTGGTGTTGCTAATGCCGATGCATCGGTGGCGGACGCGGGATTGTTGATGCCATATTCCAGACTCGCAGGTGGTCCTACGGGGACGACTCGCGACCCAAACTCCACGCCTATCGTCACATCATGGTGGGATACAAATCGGCCTTCGCAGAGACGGATCGTCAGCTAATGACTATCAGCCAGATGCTGAGCGAATGCGCAGAAGTGAGGCATACACTGGACTTTCCAGAGCCTGAGTTACCGAGACAAATGAGTTTCGCAATAAATTGCCAAGATGTTGTAGCCATGTAGATGGACTACAGGATCGCAAGGTCGGTGTGAAGTGTTGATGTTCCGGGCGGTCGTGAGGGTGTAGTGATCGGAGAAGCAGCATGAGTATGCGATACATCATGTGCCTGAATTCGGGAAGCGGCCAAAGCTTCGGATTACATAATCCACGCAAAGTGCCCCACCGGAGTCGGCTAGGCTTGCGGACCTAGAGCCATACAACGCCAATGATCTCGATTAATGGTGGTATATCGCATCGCAAGTTCCATTTGAGGTGCGGCGAGTCGAACTGCAATGATGTATTGGCCATAGATCGTTAGAAGCGAGCCTGCTCCTTCGATGGTCCGTCGACAAGATACTCCAGGAACACCACAGTGCAACGCAGCACTCGACATAAACACAACTTCACCACCGAGCACGATGACTATTCCAAAAGACACCTCGAACTCTTGGACAGACTTCACTCCGCCCGTAAAGATATCAAAATCACATCCATGGATCTCGCGACACCACCCCTCCGACATCTCAAATTCCAACGTGAGCTCAGGTCTGATCTCTACAGCAGATCAAGAAGTCTACGGCAATCCGGACCACGCAATTGCCTTTCGTATCGGTAACGGAGGCGCAGGCTGGACCGGCATCCTCGAAAATCTCTGCCTGAGCTTCATTGCACAGCATGGCAACGACTTCAGGATAGCATGGGTGGTGAACCACTCGCGGCACTCGCTGATTGCTCTTCTGGCGGATATCGCTCAGGTCGCGCTCACGTACGAGCCAGACATTGAGAAGATGGCGGAGAAGGAAGGGTGGTGTAAGCGAGTGACTGCGCCAGTGTTCTGGGATCATCTGATGTTAGTTGGGCCGCATTCAAACCCCGCTCGAGTTGCTGCTGGCGCGACGACGATGCAAGTTCTACAATCTATTGCGGAGCATCAGGCGCTGTTCCATACGCGTGGTGATGGCTCGGCGACACATGAGAGGGAGCAGAAGCTGTGGCCCGCCGCTGAGGTGGATGTCGGGACTGCTTCTTGGTTACTAGTGCGTGGTTCAACGCCGTATGAGGCTTTGAAGATGGCGGAGCAGGAGCAGGCGTATCTGCTCACCGATCGGGGGACTTTCTTGACGGCGAAAAGGGACGACATCATCCCGAGCCTCGTGGTGTATGCAGAGGGCGAAGAGGTTTTGCTCAATCCCTGCTCCAGCCTGGTGAATCTCAAGGTCTCGGAGTCGCGGCAGCAAGGGCTTGCTGTCACCTTTGCGGAGTGGTTGGGAGGCCAGGATGCTCAAGAGATCATCCGAGAATATGGGGAGGGATGGCCGAACGGGATGCCATTGTTTACAGTGCGGACGCAGCAAGAGTTTGAGCATGAAGAAAGGCTATCAGGGAAGACTCTGTAGCATCGTATCACTAATAATTCGAGGCCAAGTTCTCCGCCTGACGAGAGCAAGTAATAGAGACAGAGATGTAGCAGCCGTCGGTAAGGACGATATTTCAGCGAGACAGAGCTCTCCACGTATCCAGCTACGGCGCACCAGGTTCGTGCTCTCCGGCACGTAGCAGAGTAATGCTCGCATGTGAGCGGCGAGCTTACCACAATAAACTGTGCCGGTAAATGAGTGAAGAGAGAAGAAGAGAAGAGCTGGCTGGACGACCGGGAATTTGATATTGGTGTGTTTAGGGCGAGGGGCTCGCGCCAGCCAATCACAGCTTCGCTTAAGTAAGACCCGGACGAGGGCCTACCTCGAAGCGTCAACGGCGAATGGAGCTGCACGTCGACTACACCTCCTCCGCCACCCCTCCCCTTCCACCATTACTGTCCTCTGCATTGGTGCCGGCGAGCCAAGATGATGCGGCAGCAGCTGGTGCGCTCGCTTCGGCGCTCGCGCGGCCTCGCCCCCTTCAATGCGGCCCAGCAACACCAGCATTTCTCCACCAGCGGAAGGCGAGCGGCGGATGTCGAACTCACGGTCGATGGCCAGAAGGTGTCTGTGCCCGGTGCGTATCATCACGGCCCTGTCTGAATCCACCCCTACACGGCACTAACACATCGGCATGCAGCTGGCACCGCGCTCATTCAAGCCTGCGAGAAAGCAGGCGTAACCATCCCTCGGTACTGCTACCACGAAAAGCTCATGATTGCCGGCAACTGCAGAATGTGTTTGGTCGAGGTGGAGCGAGCGCCCAAGCCCGTCGCCTCGTGCGCGTGGCCGGTGCAGCCGAACATGGTGGTGAAGACGAACAGCCCCATCACGCACAAAGCAAGAGAGGGAGTGATGGAGTTCTTGCTGGCCAATCACCCCTTGGACTGCCCCATTTGCGATCAAGGTGGCGAGTGCGATTTGCAAGATCAGAGCATGAGATATGGCGCGGATCGAGGACGTTTCCATGAGATTACGGGCAAGCGGGCGGTGGAGGACAAGAACATTGGACCTCTCGTTAAGGCAGGACACCGGCACACTCTGCACTGTACACTGGGCTGACTGCTGACCACTTCGTACAGACTTCTATGAACCGCTGCATTCATTGCACACGATGCGTTCGCTTCGCCAATGACATTGCCGGTGCTTCTGAACTGGGTAGCACCGGACGTGGTAACTCTCTCGAAATCGGCACCTACTTGGAAACGGCCCTCGATACCGAGCTGTCTGGAAACGTCATTGATCTCTGTCCTGTCGGTGCACTGACGTCCAAACCTTATGCATTCCGCGCACGACCCTGGGAACTTCAACACACCGAGACCATCGATGTACTCAACGGCCTCGGCAGCAACATCCGAGTGGACGCCAGAGGCCTGCAAGTCATGCGTGTCCTGCCCAGGCTGAATGACGATGTCAACGAGGAATGGATCGACGACAAGACCCGCTTCGCCAGTGATGGACTTCTGACACAACGCTTGACTACTCCGCTCATCCGAAGAGATGACCAGTTTCAGCCGGCAACCTGGGAACAGGCGCTCTTCGAAATCACGGAGCAGTTCAAACAGAAGCAGCCCAAGAACGACGAGATCAAGTTTGTTGCTGGCCAGCTCGTTGAGACGGAAACACTCGTCGCAGCGAAGGATCTAGCGAACCGACTTGGCTCCGAGAACCTCGCGCTTGACCAGCCTCAAGGCTCGCTGCCTGTGGCCCATGGTATCGATGTGCGATCCAACTACGCTTTCAACTCCAAGATCACCGGTGTGGAGGAGGCGGACGTCATCCTTCTCGTCGGCACCAACCCTCGACACGAAGCTGCCGTCCTCAATGCCCGGATACGTAAGCAGTGGCTACGATCGGATCTGGAGGTGGGCGTGATCGGTGAAGACTTCAAGTCTACCTTTGAGTACGAGAACATCGGCTCGAATGCCAATGACCTCAAGTCGGCACTGAACGGCGCGTTTGGAAAGAAGCTTGCAGGTGCGAAGAAGCCGATGATCATTGTCGGCTCCTCTGCAGTTGAGCACGCCGATGCCAAGAACATCTACGAAACGATTGGCAGCTTCGTTGAGAAGAACAAGGCCGTCTTCTCCACTCCGGAGTGGCAAGGCTACAACGTGCTCCAACGCGCTGCATCGAGGACGGCGGCGTTTGAAGTCGGCTTCAGCGTGCCTAACCCCGAGATCGCCAACGTCAAGCCCAAGTTCTTGTGGCTCCTCGGTGCAGATGAGATCACTGCAGAGGACATTCCCAAAGACGCATTCGTCATCTACCAAGGCCACCACGGCGACCAAGGTGCCGCATTGGCAGACGTCGTCCTCCCCGGCGCAGCATACACCGAGAAAGCCGGCACGTACGTCAACACCGAAGGCCGTGTACAAATGGGCCGAGCGGCAACCTCTCGCTATGGCGCCGCCCGCGAGGACTGGACCATCATTCGCGCCGCCTCCGAAGTCCTGGGCGTTGCTCTTCCCTACGACGATGTCGAAGCGCTCCGCGACCGCATGGAGGAGATCTCGCCCGCTCTCCGGCGCTACGACCTCGTCGAGCCGGCCGGTCTCCCCGCCTTGAGCAAGGTGCAACTCGTGGACCAGAATAAGGGCAGCAAGGCCAAGGGCGATGCCATCAAGTACCCCATTGAGAACTTCTTCTTCACCGACGCGATTTCGAGGAGTAGCCCGACGATGGCGAGATGCAGTGCGGCCAAGGCGGCCAAGGATCCCTCTACGAACTTCATGGCGCCCGGCGAGCCCCATCCGCAGGTCGCGTATGGCTCGGGACAGATCAGCGCTGCGAGCTTCTAGACGTTGCGCATCATCAGGAGAGGCAGAAGGTGGCATTGGTTGGAAATAGGTGTTTTTAGTGGCGTCGTTTAGGTATTGTGTGTATGTATATCGGCACACATCCTTCAAAAACATCTCAGTGCGATCGATTAGACTGGTTTCCTCGCTCTGATCGAGCGCTACTGTATCTGCGCCTCTTTGGGGACCATGCTGCCCGCCTCGGCCGTAGCTCCAGCATCTACAGGTAATATCACCGCCGCTGGAGGCATGTCGTGTCAGTGCAAGTCTCGTGAACAATGCAATGGATCCAACTTACTCATCCATCTCGCCTCGTCGCCGGCGAGGAAGCGAACGGCCGCTCCGACATCCCAGCCCGTGCCTTCAGTCTTGAGAATGCTGCGATTCTTCCGCGCCTCCCGGGCTTCCTCACTCATGCCCGGAGCGTACATCATCGGCGTGTAGACCATCCCAGGACAGACACAATTGACTCGGATCCCCGCCGGGCCATGATGCACCGCCATCGCCCTCGTCATGTTCTGCACCCGCATCAGCTTCAACCTCCCCAACTCCACGAAAGACAGGACAAACATACCACAATCGCGCCCTTGGAAGTGGGATACAGCAAATGCGGATTCCCGCCCCTGATCCCCGCCACCGACGCAATGTTGACAATACTCCCCCTCCACTGCCCCTCGTTCTTCTCCATCTCGGGAATGGCATACTTGCTCATCAACACCATGCTGCCCACGTTAATCTCCATACCCTTCGCCCAAGCCGCCATGTCCACTTCCTTCGCCGTCCCCGTCGCCCCGCCCACCCCAACTACATTCACCAGAATATCCAGACGTCCGAACTTGGCAACTGCCTGTTGGACGGCATTCTCGCAGTCCGCGGCGACAGTTGCGTCCGCGCGCACGGCTATGGCCTTCCCGTGCGAGCCGGCGTCGTCTTGCTTGATTAGTTCCGCCGTCCGCTGCGCCAGGTCTTCTTTCATGTCGACGCACACGACGTTGCAGCCTGCTTCGGCCAGCAGGATGGCGGAGGCGCGGCCATTGCCTATGCCGTCGCCCGCGGCGCCGGCGCCAGACACGATCGCTACGCGCCCAGCGAGGGAGCGCGTGGGTCTTTGGAAGGCTTCGCTCATTTTTGTTTTTTTCTTTTTATGTTGTGTTGATGTGCATGTCTTTTTGATGGAAGAGGACCTACGTCAATGTGGGTGGATTGAGGGGTCCTGCTGCCACTGCACCGACTTCGGAGCCTTGGGGACTTCGAGTGTTTCGTTGCTGAACTACAACCAACTCGTCTGTTCATTGTCTGAACTGCAGAGCGCATTACTTGAATGTCTTATGAAGGGCTTTCGTCAGACAGACGGATTCATCCTCGACGAACTAGAGCAAAGACTCTTGCCGGTACGGTACGAGGCTACATGCGCGGCTCGAAAAATACCTCAGGTGCAAGGGTACAGACTCCAAGCCACAACCAGCAAATCGCTCAACGGGAGCAGCGGCATGCAGCAAAGCATCAGATGACTATAAGAGCGCGGGTCGCAGACCTGTTCTCTATCCATCAGTATTATCCGATTCATCTCGACTGCTATCGCCCTTGATAAAAGCGAGTCCTTAGTACTTGTTCTGAACCCTCTATTACCGCATCTCCAGAACGAACGAGGAGTAACGACTGCGCGATGGATCAAGAAAACCAAAGCGCGCGCACGCCATCCGGACAAGAGGAAGAAGTCGTCGGAACAGCAGCCTCCGCACCCGCCCAGCAAGACATGTTGCCACCAGGCTGGCAAGAACTCGTCGACAACGAAGGCCGGACGTATTACGCGAATCACGCCACTAGAACGACGACCTTTGAGCGACCCGAAACGCTGCCAGACGCCTCAACATTTGATCTTCCACCTGGCTGGGAAGTGCGACGCAACCCTGAAGGCGTGGCGTATTACGTCGATCACAGCACTCGCACGACTACCTTTGAAAGGCCGGAAACTCGATCAGAGGCTGCGTCTGGTGATTTACCGGCTGGTTGGGAGTTGTTGCGCACACCGGACGGCGTGGCGTATTTTGCTGATCATAACACCCGTACTACGACGTTTGAGGATCCGAGGAGGGCATAGCGGTGGTTATTGGTGTGATGGCTTCTTGCGACTTTGCTGGGTGACATTTTCTGGGCCGCAAGGCTGTATAAATAAGCTACACGCCGAGATACTCGTAATTATATGCTGCTGTATGTCTCGTCCAGCTGGTGACCAAGTTGATATTAGATGGTACGTTCCTCCGCTCTTCATCGGTGTCTCGCTCCGGCCACATCTGCAGAGCATTTGCCAATCCAATAGACCATCGTCTTCACCTTCATTCCTGATGCCGCCTTATGGTCCTCAGAAACTCTGTCACCTCCTCGATAGGCTTGTACTTATTCAGGTTCTGCAGGTTCCCTATCACCGTCAAACCCCGTAAGTTCCGCACTCTGGAAAGAGCCACATAGGCCATCGCCGGACCGAAGATATCAGACACGTCGACAATCACCCTGTCCAGAGTAAGTCCTTGCGATTTGTGTATCGTCATGGCATCACCCTGGATGAGGGGGATCTGGGTTCGACTCAGGAAAGAATGTGGCGCTGGTTCTCCATGTTGCTCAAGTGCACAGTCCGGGAATATCGTCGCGGTTTGTCCGTTGTTGAACTCCACTATCGGGAGTTTGATGCCCGGGTTCGCGGCCGTGATGAACTCTTTCGCTCGTTCATGGCGATATAGTTGCGCCGCACTGAACTTTAGTCGGACAGTGGTAGGGCGCCCTCTGGCGTCGACGTCTGGATCGTCGACACCGGCCCTTGGCATCGGTATCGTCGCCTCGTCGTATGCCTCAAAGCCTTTGATGATCCCTTGAGCGCCGTTCACCAAGCCCTTGGAAACATCGATGTTCGAGCGCAACAAGACCTTCATCCCCTCTTTGAGATTTAAGATATGCTTGTAGTGATGGCCCGTCAACTTTTGGAGGGTCAATCCGTCTGCAGACATGTCTTCAAAGTCCGCAAGCTGTTCAGCGTGATCTGGTCTTATGTTGACGTGATCCAGACAGTTGTAGCGCACTTCCCTTGTAAGCAGTTTCTTGTACTCTCGCTCGTTGATGCGATCGACAACTCGGTTAGTTGCCGCTATCGTGACTGCTCCCTCGACATCGCGAGGCTCGCCGGCCTTGTTGCTTATCAGATCGCGGTCGTCTTGGTCCAGATCTGTTCCATCTCTCAGTTTGTCCAGTATTTGGATGAATTCGGGTTGCGATTGCCGGTGGTTTGTTTGGAGCCATGTGTAAACCAAGTTGAGGTCATTCCGGACTGCCGCATTAAAAGCGAACTGCTTCTTGGGGTCCTCATGGACGGGACATTTCGGGCATGTCAAATAAGCAACACCTTCCACCACACTTTTCTTGGATTCATTAATCCTCCATCTGTGAAGCAGGTCTCGCCAGGTTTCACGGGAGGTAATTGGCAACAGTCACCGCAGACCATGATCTGTAAGCCGCCGAAAGGAAGGTCCGAGGGCTGATCTGGGCCCTGTCCCCGGGCGACTTGTGCCATCCTGTTCATTCGGTCCATCTGTGGTTTATCGACCATAGAGATCTCGTCAATCACCAAGACATCCGCGCAACGTAGCCGTTCATGTACAGGTCCGGACCACGCCTTGGCCTCTAGTCGCCTTATCGGATCCGGTGGCTTTGAAGGGTCGAAACCGAATAGGCTGTGAATGGTGGTGCCTCCGATGCCATATGCGGCAATTCCAGTCGGCGCGCATCTTAAGACTGTCTTGCCGCTGTTTTGAAGTAGTTGGATGATTCTTGTGAGCGTGAATGTCTTGCCAGAGCCTGCGCCGCCGGTGATGAAATGTTTGTGACCTTCTTGCGCCAGTCGGATGACGCTAAGTTGTTCCGGGGAAAGTCCAGTGTTCGGTTCTTCTTGGGTCGTCTGCGGTCCCGCATTTCCCTGCATTGAACCCGGGGTTGGCGGGTTACCTATTCCTGCCACGCCTTCATCTTCAGAATCGGGAGCCCGTTGTCGCTTTACCCGCCGCGTCGGTGACCCGGCTTCGAATAGTGGGCTCGAAGGCATGCTTGGCTCCGCTCAAGTGTGTTGTGTGGAGTGAAGCGCAGTATCACAGCAAAAGCCTCTGTTTGGGCGCACGGGATCACGGACCGTCGAAGGGAGTACTGAATAGTCGTTGAACACGTGTAGATGTCGCTGTGCGCTGGCGAAGAGCCGAGCCGATGTGAAAGAGTGACTTTGGGAAAGATCAGAGGATGTCGGTTTGCGTCTTGCAGTGACTTGACCGTAGTCCGACCCAACGGCGTGGTTATGTACCAAAGCTGTTCCTGAGCCGCTTGGATGAAGCTGTCGTTGGTAGCTAGAGAGATTGCTGTACTTCAACGCTTTGAGGATTGATCTCACGGTATCGACCGAGCTGAGGAGCTGTGTGGATCACAGTGCTGCTGAGTTCGGGGGTGATACGAAAGGCACGATCTTGTTCTGAGTGGGAAAGAATGTTGAGAATGAGTTGAGAAGGGTGAACTGGGATGTGGTGAGAAGAAGGAGGGCAAGAAGAGAAGACAGCGCGTGCTATAAGAGGCGAAGCTTGTGCGTGACCACACGTGATATGGGTTGGTAAGTAAACAGAAGAGATTAAAGTGCAGTCGAGGAGAGCCCATGAGCCAGCACATGGTGGCTGCTCAGTTCAACGCTGGCCTTCTGGCGCCTGAAGGAGGTAATAGAAGTCTTTGGATGCTACCATCATGCCAAACACGAAACGACAGGACGCATCTTAACAGACGTTAACAAGGCGGAGTGTTGCCCCGCGATCTCGATGCGAGGCTTCGAGAATAGCAAAGCGCCGGCATCGTCGACATGCTGGAGCATCATTCCGAAGGGAGAGCGCGGAGATAACATTATTAGGATGGTGATAGTAGCGGTGGCGGGCGCCAAAGTGGAAAGTAGAAGACGGGAGAGTTGGAGTGGGAGGAAGAGATGTCGTTGCCTTCTTCCCCACTCTGCCAACCCTGCTCCACAAAATGCACTTCACGTCGATGCTTCGGGATCTTTTTTTTGGATTTCTTGAAAAGATACCTTCAACAAAAGCAACCTAAGAAACAATCTTGCACCTGTGTCCCAACCTGCGCATCGACTCCTACACTCTCATCGACACACTCAATTTGATATAAGGTCTTTGGCAATCCGTTAGACCTCCAAAAATGGCTGCTGGAAAGCAATAACATCACCACCACGTGCACGGCGCCCACCAACCTCCAGCATGCCGAATCTCTCAATCGTCGATTTCAACATCGTCTGCGCCACCCTTGGCGGCTTCATCACCGTCTTCGGCCTGGTCTCCTACCTGCTCAAAGAAAAGTTCTACCTCTCCGAAGCGCTGATCAGCACCTACGCCGGCCTAACTTTCAGCCCGCACGCCACCAACTTCATCAAACCGCTGCAGTACGCGAACAACAGCGAGCAGAACCTAGGCATCATCACTCTCTACTTCTCCCGACTGGTCTTGGGCGTGCAATTGGTTCTGGCCGGCGTGCAGCTACCTAGCAAATACCTCAAGACGGAATGGAAGAGTCTCAGCCTGCTGCTCGGGCCGGGCTTGTGTGCCATGTGGATCTGTACTTCGCTGATCGTCTGGGCTATGGTACCCGACATTACCTTTCTGTGGGCGCTGGCAGTGGGTGCTTGTGTGACCCCTACGGATCCCGTGCTGAGCAACAGTATCGTCAAGGGCAAGTTTGCGGACAAGAATATCCCGCCTGCGTTGCAGAAGATCATCATTGCTGAGTCCGGTGCGAATGATGGCCTGGGATATCCTTTCTTGTTCTTGGCGTTGTATTTGATCAAGTACACTGATCCGTCGGCGCATGGGGCTTCGCAAAGCGGAGGTGCGAGAGAAGCGATGGGTTTGTGGTTTGGTGAGACTTGGGGCTATACCATCCTCCTGTCCGTTGTGTATGGAGCGGTGGTGGGATGGCTTGCGAAAGAACTGCTGCATTGGGCTGAGGAGCGCCATTACGTTGACAGAGAGTCTTTTCTGGTGTTTGCAATCACCTTGGCGGTGAGACCATCTGGCTTTTCGCGTGATGTTCAACAGCTGACATCGATTATAGCTCTTCACAACGGGAACTGTCGGTCTCATCGGCTCAGACGATGTGTTGGCGTGCTTCATTGCTGGCAATGTCTTCACCTGGGATGACTGGTTCCGCCTGGAGACCATGGACGACAGTTTACAGCCCACGATCGACATGCTCCTCAACGTGGCCATCTTCATGTGGTTCGGCGCCGTCTGTCCATGGCATCGATTCGTCACCAACACCGTCATTCCGATCTACCGCCTCGTGCCTCTCGGCATCCTGGTGCTGCTCTTCCGAAGACTGCCTATGGTGCTGACCTTCCACTGGCTGGGCATGATTCACCAGATCGAGGACATCCGACATGCCCTGTTTGTTGGCTTCTTCGGCCCGATCGGCGTGTCTGCAATCTTCTATCTATACATCGCGCGCGAGTTCCTCGCAGACTTGCTTCCCCGACCAGATGCTCAGAAAACAGATGAGGCGATTGAAATTGTGGTGTGGTTTCTCGTCATCTGTTCCATCACCGTGCATGGCCTCTCCATCCCGCTCGGCAAAGTCGGACTATACCTGCCGAGGACACTGAGCAGTGCGATTTCTTTGGAAAGGACGTCAGCCTCTCAGAGCCGAGCACGCGAGGACGAAGCAAGACTGGCGTCTGGAACGCAGCAGCACGAACAGATAGGCCTACGTCCTTTGCGACGGAGGCTAACGAGTAGCGAGCGCGGGCCAGTATTGGCTTCGCCCAGCTCTATTTCCTGGCTTCCGAAGAGTTTCGTGAGGGCGGGAAGACACATTGTGAACGACATTACACGACCGCGAGGCACCACAACGCAGGACAGCCCGCGAGAGCTGAGCAAGAAAGGAGAGCGCAACGGTAGCGTTGGCCAGGATGATGAACCTCGAGTACTCTCGATCTCTGGTCCTACCGACCCACGCCCCATTGGACATGCTGTCAAACGAAACCAAGAGGATGGGGATCATCTGAGCCCGAGGGTTGTGGTGGATGAGCCTGATTCGAAGCCGGGCTCAGGCACCTCTACGCCTACTGGTGGTGGCCGTCCTTTCAGAAGCATTCAATTCGCAGATGAGCGCGTGAGGCCGCGGACAGTCCCTGTTTACGGGTCTGGTAGCGGGACTGCCAGTCCGAGTGCTCGCAAATCCGAAGATGGATGACACGGCCCTGCCTGGCGAAACAGCAGACGTAATATACAATGAGATACGACTTATAATGACTTGTCACCTTGCTTCCATCCCGCATATTCACGGTCTACAAGGTTCATCGCTGTAGCGAAAGCGCACGCCTTCCGTTCTGGAACTTCCGTGGCGATTAAGCTCAAGCCAATCACAGCGAGGTGAATAATCACGGAGGGGCGGGTGAGCAGAGACATCATCGCTTCGCCCAAACAACACCCGTTCACCCATTTCGACCCCTCCATCTCTCAATCTTAAATTCTCTACTCTCTTGCATCTCCCGTTTTCTGCACTCTTCACTTCAATTTACTCTTCTCAACACACGCACGCACATCCAACCACCACACAACATGTACGCCCACACTCTCAAGCACGCCCAGGCCGAACCGGCCGCCGCGCAAGTCTGCCCAGTTGGTACAGTCACCCCCCACCCCACCGCTCCGTCGTCGTCACACAAACTAACACGACCAACAGTCGGCACGACCACCACCGTCCTCCCCCCAGACCACCCGCAATTCAACCCCTCGGACCCCGAAGCCCGCTGCCCCGTGACAAACGCCAAAGTACGCCCTCAACCCCGTGTCACCCCACCTAACCCCACACACCCCGCTAATGCCTTCTCGCCCACCAGGTCGAGCACCACAAGTCCTCCATCCACGCCCACCCGGCCTCCAGCAGCATCCCCGCCGACCACGCCAAAGCAATGGACGCCACCCTGTGCCCCGTAGCGGGCAAGCCGGCGGCCGACAGCGTGGAGAACGCGACGTGCCCCGTCGTCGGGAGCGTGAGCGCCGTGCTGCCGCCTGCGCACCCGTCGTTGACGGAGGAGGAGGCGGGCAAGGTGTGCCCCGTGACGAACGCGACGCTCGAACACCATGCTGGCAAGGTGGCGAAGCATCCTAGTGTGGCGAAGGATGCGGCGGCGCAGGCGTGTCCTGTTGCTGGGGCGCAGTTTAACTAGGGCGCGCAGAGGCTGTAGTTGGTTGGTGGATTATCGAGGGGTGGGATTTGGTTGGGTGGGATGTGATGAGAGGAGGAGATGGACTGCGTGCGTGCTCTTTGTGGATAGGTGCTCTTCTGAACTGAGAAGGCAAGCTCAATTACTCCTACATAAGGAAACCGAGAACAATTAGGCAGGCAAGCGTGTAAGCCGCAGTATATACAACTCCCTCTCCCATTCCCAAGACAAAGGAAGAAAATGGCGTTGGAGACACACAAAACTATACCTCCTTCTTCGACGGGGTCGGCTCAACTATATCCGGGCGGACCGCCTGATCAATGAGTTGCGCCCCGACCGTCTGCTCCTGGATAGCGGCGTGGTACTGATCGCGCTGCGCGACTGCCTGGTTGACCTCGGCGGCCTTGCTGGCGATCAAGTCCTCACTATTCCGCTGCTTCGCCATGCGCTCCAGTGCTTCCTGCGTAAAGTTCTGCCTCTCGATCCGCTCGACGACGTCCTTCTTGCGCGTGCGGTGGTCGCCGACGCTGATGAGGATACCGCCGGTGATGTTGCACGAGATGGAGCACGCCAGGATGGTGGCCGTGAGGGCTTGCGGGCGGTGGTGGTAGTTGATTGACCATGTGCACGTTCCGAGCGCGACTTGGAAAAGAGAGTGGCAGTCGAGTAGCACGACGGTGGCGACGAGCAGGTTCAGGGGGAAGGCGTGGTGGGTGGCGGTCTCGTGCGGACGGTAGAAGGTGTGCGACTTGCTGAACTTGGCTTGGTGGTATTGCAGGCGGCGTTGTTGCAGGGGCGTCAGCACCGAGAACTCCGCGGTCTCCTCTTTGTCAATGGCATCCTCGAGCTGCGCCGCGCTTAGGCGCCTGATGGGCAGGTCGTTGTGATCCACGAGGTCGGGGAGGTTGCGCTTTTTGCGGAGTTTCCAGGTCAGATGGTGGTAGTGCGCGATGAAGCACATGTGGTACGTGTCAACCATTCGAAACGGAGCCAAGCCGTCGCCGATGAGTGCGAACATGGCCACGAGCAGGAGGTCGACGACATTTGTAAAGTAACCCTGTCTTTGGCCGGCCGAGATCCATCCAATCAGGAAGAAGACCCAAGTAGCACCAAAAAGGGTGACGAGCACAGCGTAGACGAAGACGAAGAGCCCCAGAGGTTTGCTGATGTATTGCTTGAAGCCTTTCCAGCTCCTCTTGAAGCCTTCCTTTCTGGAATGCATTAGATGGCGGACATGATCATCCAGCTCTTGTTTGTCTTCCTCACTCCAATCATCCAGGCTGATGCCGTGTGGAAGTACAGCGTAACGAGAGTCACTCAGTTCGGAAGAGATGGAGAAGCGCCGAGAGCGTGGCTGAAGCTCGATATCTCCAGTTCCGCTACCCTCAGCCGCAGCAGGGGCCGGTCCCTGGGGGATGGTCTCCAAGCCAGGGGCCTTTGCGGCATTCGTTGCCGCACGGGCGCGGCCGATTCTCTCCACATTTGCGGCGCTCGAAGGTCGAGAGCTGAGGTTGTACGTTGGCCTTCTGTTGATCAAACGGCCCAGATCCGGCACGAAGAGGGAGTTCTGAACGTTAGTCAAAGTGCCCAGCGTACGAACTTCTGGATCTGCAAGGGGGTCAGGCATCGGATTTTAAAGTACGGCAGAGACAGAGGGAAAACATACCGACAAGGTCGAGAAGATCGACCACCTCCGACTCGTACTCGTCCTCCTGGGGATACTCGTGGCGCGTGGTGGTGGTGTGGGTGCGCTGAAGGCCCCTGTTAGCGCGTGCGGCATTGCCGGCACTATGCATGGCGGGCGCTGCAGACAAAACACGTGACGATGGCGCGCCCGTACTCGGGGGGTAGTCTTCGGCGGGCGGGGTCTCCATTGCTTCAAAATATTGGGATTGCTCGGTGCGAGGCCCTGGAGGACGCTGCTGGCCAGGCTCCTCTGCTTCGGTCAGAGTATCCATTGTTGTCCCATCAGTAGTCCTCTGGGCCCCTTGCTCAGCGCCGGGGGCTGCCAGGTGCGCGCCAAAATGCTGGGGCTCCGACGTGCTGCGACGTCGTCCACTCGTCTGATAGTCCACGGCCGATGTCGCCTGGCCAGTTGCTTGCTGCGAGGCTGGCCGTGGCGTGGCGAGTCCAGAGGGAAGCCTTCGGATTCGGATGCTCGAGGGCTGCCGCAAGCCCTCCAGGGAGCCCCCTGGAACAGGCCTGCGGCGGACACCAGATGACGGCGGCGGGGCTGATGGAGTCGGAGGCTCACGGCCGTCCGAATTCACTGAGCCGCCACGCGAGTTCACTGAGTTCCCGCGGCGTCTGTTGGAGCTGAAGTAGTCCATGGCAATGGTGTCGGGATGGTCGCCTCGAACCGGCTTCCACGCGTTGATTCAGTACCCAGAAGCTCCACGGCGGTGGGAAAAGTCGAAAGGCAGTATTTATGCTCGTATGGCGGTTCGAATAGCAGTTGCTGTGGAATCCCGCCGATCCGAAGGTGCTCTATCCGGCGGTCCCGGAGATGTTGCTGCCTCGCCGACACGCGCCCAGCGGGCAGGTCAGTGTTGCTCAGATAGACAGGTGAGCAGCTGCGTTCACGCCAATGCCTCTTCTAGCTCTGTGGACGAAGAGATACTCACGCACTCGTCGTCGAGATTGCGGAGGTGGAGAAGGTGAAGTGGGTGGCATGAGCTGATGGGATGGGCGTAAAGTTTATTTTGAGCGAATACGGACGCCGCGGGCGTTGTAATAAGATTCAGTGACTAAAGTCGTGGAGTCGTGCGGGTGGATTAGCTGTCATTATTATTCATAATGCACACCAATATTGACCCAGGCACGACATGGAATCCCGCATCCCGTTGTCAATCCTAGCCGGGCCAGGTGGTAGGACGTTGCCACTTGTGGCCTTGTGGCGAGCTTGATCTGTCATGGCATACACGATGCACTCCTCGCGGGTTATGGCGAACATCGACTTCTGGCAACCTTGACCCATTGACTCAGCGCCGTCCAACGGGTCGCTTGTCTTACCAAGCGCCTCCAGTTCGCCGCCGCAATGCTTCACCGGAGCCTTGTGTGAAGTCAGGCCACTGTCTAATCCTTCTGCCGCATACTCGCCACTATCCGCATCAAGTCCTCACCACTATAATCCTCCGCCCACCCCTTCAACCCCAGCGTGAGCAGTCCCCTCCCCGCAATATCCCCACTCCTAAGCAACACCTCATCAACATCCCAATTCGCCCACACAAACCTCCCGCTCAATTCCCTCGCGCGCGGATGCGCAGCCAACCACACCGCAAAGCCCGCCGGCAGCTCCGGGCTATCCGGCGCGTTCCTGCCCGTCTGCCGCGCCAGCTCCGTCGCCACCACGCCAGGCTGCATGTTGAACACATTCCACGTCGGCTTCTCGTGCCCAATGTACTCGAGGATTTTCGCGCCGGCGAGCTTGGAGCAGGCGTAGGATGCGCCGCCGGGGGCGTAGGGTAGGTGCGCAGCTCCCGAGGGCAGACTTATTACTGTTTTGGGTTTGTCTGGGTCGTGTTGTCGACTCGCTCGCATGAACGCTTGCGCGACTTGTAGTGGCCCCCGGACGTTGAGGTCGAAGGCTTTCATGAACTCGTCGATGTCGACGTCGGTCAGACTCCCGCGGCCGATCATGCCGCCTGCACAATTGACTAGAACCTGCTAGAGATCAGGATGATGGCACGAGGGGAGTCTGAGCAAGTCTCGCACTCACATCAGGTACTCGACTGCCAAAATGCCCAATCGCGGCCTCCATTGCCGCTTCCACTTGACTTTGATTCGTAATGTCCGCCACGGTGACGAGCGTCTCTGTGCGGCCGTTGCTCGCAGCCTTCACTTTCTCCGCTGTGTCGTCGAGTGTGGATTGCGTTCGGCCTAGCAGCACCACTCCCTGGGCATGCGCTTTGGCGAATGCAATGGCAATCGCTTCACCAATTCCACTGCCTGCGCCAGTGATGAAGACCACCTTCTGTGAGCAGTCGAGTGCTGCTTGTGTAGGGTCAATGGCAGGGTATTGGTCATGGTGGTAGTGTGGGGTGAAGGAGGGATATGTCGGCGCCATATTTCTCTTCTCATATGCCTGTATAAAGTCTTCGATTGTGGTAGAGCTGAACTGCGGTTCCCTAGACGCTTTTTGTAGTTGCCTGCGGTCCAGCCTCGTTGATCTCGGAGATTACGGGGTTAGCTGTATACTCCGCCCACTAGACTCCTCCCCCGACGGGTATCTATTGATGTGACTGAAGCATGGAAATCCTACGGAGTACGTTTAGGGTAATGATACACGGAATCTTACACGAGTTGGATGTGGTGCATGTGATACGTCGGCAGGACGAATAGCTTTTGTAGGATCTTCTATGTACTTTTTGTCTATGCCTTGACCACCGCGGTCTCATATGTCGCAGCAGTCGCACCTTATTGCCCAGATAACGCTTACCTTCTGTCGTTTTCGTCGAACTTGTGCGTCCAAAAGCCGCGTAGGTGCTTCTTGCTGCCAGCTTCGTTGATCTAAGAAATGTCAGCATCTCTATCACCTGTCGTCTAAGGTGAGGCAAGGCTCACCTCTTTGATCTCCGCAGGAGTGAGTTTGAATCTGAACGTCAACAGATAATCGCTCAGGCGCTGCTCCTTGCTGGAAGTGGTAATGGGAACAATGTCCTGGTCGATGCACCACCTCAACGAGATCTCGGCGGGGCTGACGGCGTATTTGCGGGCCAGGGCGTTTAGAACATCATCTGCTGGGCCACCGGCACCTTTCGTAACTGCGGACAATGGGCCGTATGCGGCCGTCGCGATGCCCTACTCTCGCATTGTCAGACGCGTAAATTCGGTCTGCAGGTATAGATGCATACCTTGGCTTTATGATACTTGATCAACTCCTCACGCTGGAGGTAGGGGTGGAATTCGACCTGGTTGATGGCGGGAGGAACGGTAGCGTTTTCGAGGATCCAGTCGAGCTGTTCCGGGAGATAGTTGCTGACGCCAATGGACTTGCACAAGCCCTGGGCCTTGAGCTCCTCCATCTGCTTCCACTTCTCCTGATGTTCCTCTTTCTTGTCACTGAAGAAAGGCGAGTGGATCAAAAACCTAGCCCTTATCAGCTTCTTGAGCAACATCGTGAATCCGAGGGCGCAGAGCAATCCTTACAAATCAACATGATCCAGCTGCAACTTCTTCAAGCTCGTCTTCAGCGCACTCGATAGATCCGTCATGTTCCGCAGGACTTTGGTCGTGACGAAGAGCTTCTCGCGCGGCACGCCGGAGCTCTTGATGGCCGTGCCCAGCTCCGTCTCCGTCTTGTACATTTCCGCGCCGTCTTGGTGGTAGTAGCCCAGGTCGAGCGACATTTTGGCGGCATCGATGCACGTCTGGTCGAGTTTGGATTCCTCGCCGGACTTGTACCAGGCTGTGCCGGTGCCGTAGCCGATCTGGTGTGGTGTTAATCAGTATACAGAGAATATGATGAGGGGTAATTGGGATGGAGATACATACCATTGGGATGCTCGTGCCATCATTGAGCTTGAGGTTGGGAATGGGAGTGTGAATTTTAGCCATTCTGGTGACGTTGAAAGGACGTGTGGAAGATTGGAATCGAAGTGTAATGGGACCAAAGCGTCGTAATGCAGTTATGCTCATGAGGAGGTGAAGTGCGGTGGTGAAGAACCTGGAATGCACAAGCCAGCGCCGGGAAAGGAAGGTGCGAGTGCGGTGCAGCCGCGGCTCGCGCATCATCGTCGAGCTCGCTCCGTCCCACCCACCTGCAGCGGAATATCATATGCACCTCGCCTCACGCGACATCACATCACTCTCTACTCTTCCATTCAACTCATCCTCACGTTGTCTCCAACCCCAATTCCACTCCCAGGACACTGCTCGCCCCGCCTCCGATGAATTGTCGCGCTCCCCATCACACCATGCCGATACTTTGATCTCTAATCCTTCCGTCATCTCGCTTCACCCCCGATCTCCCCAAATGGCCGATTCAGTCGGTGAGTGCCCGTACCACGTGCTGCTACATCCACACACCAAACCCTCCGCGGCTAACGGGTATATCTCGCACCCCTCCAGACCGCGTCTTCGGCCACGCGCTCAACACCGTCAACAAAATCCGCCCCGGCTCACAGAAGCCCCCCTCTGCAGACCGCCTCGCCCTCTATGGCCTCTACAAGCAGTCAATGGAAGGCGACGTCGCCGCCATAGCCGACCGCCCGGACGAAAGCAGCAGCCCCGCCAACCTCTCGCCCGAGGGCCTCAAAAAGGAGCAAGAGAAGTGGGACGCGTGGAAGGCGAACGAAGGCCTCTCGCGCACGCAGGCCAAGCGGCAGTATATCGGCAAACTGATCGACACCATGCACAAGTACGCTTCGACGACGCCGCAGGCGCGCGAGCTCGTCGAGGAGCTGGAGTTTGTGTGGGATCAGATCAAGAACAATAGTCAGAATCCGTCGAGTGGGTCGGATCATAGCAGTCCGCTGAGACACACTGAGCGAGGTGGAGGTTACATCCAGAACGGCAGTTCAGGTGCCGTGCCGAGTTCTGCTGCCGCTTTTGGCGACGCTGGGAACGAAGGCGATGTACCGCACATTGGCCGGCCGCCACCGATGCGCGTCCTGAGTCCCGTGTCGCAGGCAGATGAGGAGGAGATGTTACTGGACGAGGAGCGAGAGGAATTCGTCGATGCACCCGTCTCACAACTGGACGATGGCGATCTTGCGGAGCTCTCGGAGTATGGTGCAGACGACGCAGAACTACAGGCGGCGGCGGCGGCGACAAGGCCTCGAAAGCCTGTACCGAGCCAAAGTGACGGCCGGTGGCGGCGTAGAATGGAGTCGAGTCTGGTGAAGCTGACGACAGAAGTCGCCGCGCTCCGCGAAATCCTCCAGTACCGGCGCTACGACCGCGACAAGCGGACGCTGGGCGGGTGGATCTTACGACTCAGTTGGTGGGCAGTACAGCTGTTCATGGCCGATGCGGTCCTCTTATGGGTGGTCATACTGTACTTGCGTCGAAAGGATGATCGAAGGCTAGAAGGCGCTGTCCGCGTACTGCTGGGCGATGCAGTGGCGCAAGTGCAAAAGGTTGGACGCGAAGTGAGGAGAATAGGCGGGCCGAAGCCATCTAGGGACTGAAAGGCCATTTTTGACGATCTGCTGCGTGTATGAAGACTTATGACTTTGAACGGCATGGGAACATGGAGTATAGGTAGCAGCGCATTTCGGCAAGGACTCAATCGACCATCATGAGCATGGGAAGACTGCAACTGAGCGAGCGAGCGAGAACGAGGCAGAATCGACACTCGCCGACGCATAGGAAAAGGGCGACACAAATGAATGAACAAGGTCGGCATTGGCGTTACGTTATGTAAAAACCCTCTCCACGACAAGAATTTCAGACAGATCAATCCCAAATCCACGCAACATACCGCCGCCACCCCGTCACCTGCTCCTTCGGCTCCGGATCCCGCTCGACGGCCATCAGCGCCTCGGCGAGCGGTATGGACTTGAGATCCCACACTTTCGTGCGCTTGTACAGCTTCCACAGCCCGAAAGCGCACAGCACGAGCGGGATGTCGAGGTAGTCGGAGACGAAGTCGGCCACGTCCCAGTTGCCGTGCGTCTGTGTGGCCATTAGTGTTAGTGTAATTTTCAATGGAGGGCCAATGTAAGTGATTGGAGAACTTACGAAGACTACGTATCCTTGTACGAAGAGGATGATGACGCAGAGTGTGAGGGCGGCGGGGGTGGAGTAGACTGTCCAGCCGTTGTGCCAGGGAAGAGCGTTGAGCGTGATGCTTTGCTTCTTCATGGCGAGGATGAGGCGTTGGTGGTTGATGAGGATGGAGATCCAGCTGATCAGGACTCCGACGGCGGTCAGGTCGACGAGCCACCAGAAGACTGTCAGAGCGCCATTCGAGAGACTCATGAATGCTGGTTGGATGAGTGTTAGCTATATCTCTGAACATCCTCTGAGCCTGCACTCACCGAGACACATGAACGCCGTCTGGCATAGAACACAGACATATGGGATTCCCCATTTCGTGGTGCGCAGGAAGATTTTCGGCGCTTGTCCCTTCAATGCAAGACCGTAGCTGTTACCCAGGTTAGTAAAATGCATCAAGCCCGCTCGAAAGCCTCGCTGTAAAACGTACAGAACACGGGTTCCAGCCAGAAGTGCCTGGTTTGCACTGGACCAAGCGCTAGTGATGACTATGGCGTTGACGAGCGAGGGTATGCCATTGATGCCCGCTGCTCGCGAGGCGATGACGAATGGCGACTGCGTGGCCGTGCCAGACTCGTCGTTAAGGTGCTTGTTGTCGCTTGCGACGAGCATGCCGACGATCAACACGCTCAAAAGGTAGAACAAGCTCACACGGACGAACACGCGCTTGCAAGCTGCTGGAATGGCTTGTCGTGGATTTCTGTCGAGCAAGAAGTCAGCAATGGTACGAGCAGACAACGATATATTCGCAGCGGCTGAGTTTCTTACCTCGTCTCTGCTGCAGCCATCGCCACAGACTCGACGCCTGCAAAGCTGAAGACGGCGGCGCTCATGACCGCGAGGTATCCGAGGAAGTTCCCTAGTAAAGAAATCTCACGGGTCAGCCTCATCCGACGCTATCGTTGCTTCAAACACAGTAGCAGCCATACCCCAATCGCCTTTTCCAATATACTCCACGAATGGCCCCGGGTTGTTCCAGTATTGAAAGCCGCGCCTGGGCACGCCGGGGATGCCTCCGAGGTTGATGACCAACCCGAGGATAATGAGAAAGATAATGAACACCACCTTTAGCATGGCGAAGGCGAATTCAATCTATGATTCCGAAGGTCAGCCAGAAGCACTCCCGCAAGGGAAGGGGAGACAGGTCGGTACACACCTCTCCATACCACCGGATCTTCGAAATGCCAACACCAAACGTCAACACAATGAATATCACGATCCATACTGCCGAGCTGACATCAGTCCAGAACTCAAACAGCACGCAAATGGCCGAAATCTCCGTCGGAATGGACAACCAGTTCCCGTAGACAATATTCCACCCGACTGCGAATCCCATCGCAGGGTCCACGAGAAACTCGGCATGTCGCACGAACGAACCGGTCACGGGCAGGAGAGCCGTCACCTCGCCGAGGGCGAATTGCACAGCGCAAACGATAAGGCCGATCGTCGCATAGCCCAGAAGAGCGCCGAGGGGTCCCGCGGTTTGGATTGCGCCGCCGAGACCCAAGAAGAGACCAGTTCCGATGGCGCCGGCGATGGCGATGAGCGAGATGTGGCGCTGGTGCAGGCCGCGGCTGAGGTCGTGTTCTTCATGGTCGGTGACGAGGTCCGAGGGGTCGATGTAGTTGTTGGGTTTTGAAAGGTCGTCCTGGAAGGTCTCGGTGACCTCTACCCGGTTCTCGATGTCGTCTTGGCGCATTTTCGATCAGATTGAAGCACGTGCGTGCCTTTTTAGACGATATCACAATCGTGGGTTGTCACTATTCCAAGAGGCCGAGATTGAGCGAGGATGCATCACACCTGGCGGGGGAAAAGCTCTGTCGGATGCTTATGCAAAGCGCATATGTCGCCATCCCGATGTCGTCTTTTTCGAGCCGCGGGCGAGACCCTTCACCGTCGGCGGGGCCAGATAACGGTAGGACCTAACGCATCGGGACTAGCGTGGGGAAGGACAGCGACTCCACATCCACGTGGAAGCCCGCAGCCCAGTTCGTTGCTGTGGAATACAACTCATCGTTTACGATATATATGTACGAGCCCTAGATAATAATCGACGGTGAAATACACCGTTGTGTCTTACATAGCTTGCGTAGTCCAAAATCAAGTAGACGCTGACTTGATAAACGACACCATCCCGCTGGTGGCCTTCTCCAGGACGAGTTGTCCCTTAGAGCCGTCATGCACCAGCGTTTTCCACTCCTGCAGCGAACGCTCGCGAGCGTTCAACATTTGCATCATGTGCATATCGAGGGCATAAGGCATCTTCTGCTCCACGAAATTCGCCTCGGAGGACGGGACTTTGACAACCTCGTCGAACACTAGACGGGCGCCACGCTTCATGGACGGCACGAGTTGCTCCAAGATGCGACGACATTCGTGGTCCGGCCAGTCGTGGAAGACGCGGGCGTAGAAGAAGACGTCGGCCTGCGTACGCTTCTGCGGCGTGAACATGTCGTGCACCTCGAACGAAACCCGATCCGCCACGTCCGGCGGCAGAGCAGGCGCCGCCTTGACGGTCACTTCGAGGTCCTGCACGACACACGTGATCTGCGGCGCTGCTCGAGCGATGGCAATCGACTTGTGCCCGTTGCTGCCGCCGACATCGACGACCGTCGCAGCCCCGAGCGAGGCCCAGTCAAAGTCAAACACCGACTCCATCGTAATCCCGGTCACGAATTGCATGGCCTGGCCGAACCGCGCGGCCCTCCAAGGCGCTGATTCCGCCCAATGCGTGAAAGGGTCTTTGTCTGTGTTGTATGCGATCTGGTATCCCGTTTGGAGAGGGCTTTGGGAGTTTGGCCATTTGTCCCACGCGTCGCCAACGCGACTCAAGGAAGTGTAACATTCGTCCAGCATGTGGCTCATGCCAGCGAAGCCAATTTCGGTCGAGAGGTACTTCGACACAGCGGTGTGGGAGACTCGATCGGGTCCCGACGCGGTGAAGATGTAATTGGTCTGCTCGAAAGCGAGGAGGCGCCTCAAGCGGTCTTCGTGGAGCCCGCTTTTCTCCGCCAGCTCGCTGTAGGAGATCGAACCCTCTTGTGGGACGTGTTTGGGTATGGCATACTTCGCCAGTAAGTGGTGTGCAGCGGGTACATGCATCTAGATGAGAAGTGCGTTTAGTCGCCAACTCGCAAGCAGGCATACTCACTCGTGATCGACTTACATCCACTAGGCATACATCGAACGCGCGCAAAGGCGTTCCCGTCGCAAGGGCCTCGAGTTGTTTCGTGGCATCACGAAGCTCGTCGCGGACCGCCTTGATCTCCTTGCTGCCCTTTTGAAGGTAGTCGTCTTCCGACCCGCTAGGCAGGAGAGTGGGCTGGGGCAATTTATGTTCATCAAGATACTTCTCGAGAGTGCCCGCCCGATCACTGATGATCTTCGCCAGCTCGACGAGCGACTTTTCTTCAAACCCCATGTTGAATAGCAGACGAGAGAAAGAAATGAGAAAACGGATTGAGGATCAAAGAGCGTACTCCGCCGGGATGGAGCAGATGAAATACCTGTGATGGATCGCCCAGCCCTGTCTCAGCCGCAAGGCAAGTCGCTCGGGCCCGAAATTCGCAACGAGCGCGGCCGAGCGCGCGAGCACTACCCGATCAAGGTTGGCCTTGGAGTTAATAGTGTGAGGCTGACGCGGAAGGCCTTGATGAAGGATTCACTGGATCTGACTTAATCAGTTGGTCGAAGGTTAGGAATGCAGATGTCTCGATCAGAACACACACGAACCAAGAGGGAGAGCGTAGACCACTAACAACAAGCGAAACCAATAAGAGACTCTACACCAGAGCTGGACAGGTTGTATTTGACTACACAGAAGCTGCAGGGAATCGTGTCGCTCAGAGCACAAGACCGAGCCTTGTGGACCGCGATCTACACTTCATGTTTCGGTCCATGCTGACACAGTAATCGTTGCTGACATTGCAGATGACAAAACGCTCGCTTTCGGTCCTATCACAATTCATATCATCATTAAAATGGGCGAATGGTGCGCGCCCTTTCAGCAGGTCCAACGCGAGCCATTCTCCAGACCAAGTCCGCCCACCTCCAGCCAGTGTTAAGGATACCCGTCCCTCAGATTCGCAAGAGAGCGAGAGGAACTCGAGCTCAGAACCCCCCAAACCCATCCGCCCGCACCATCTCGCGAATCGCCCACCTCCACCGCCCATCATCCGCCCTAACCTCCTCGCCCCCCTCCGCAAACCAATTCGCACACCTGCGCCGCCAAATCGCCTCCTCAGCCTGCTGCGTCTCAATAAACCTTGGGCCAAGATCGAACTCCTCGTGAATCTCGCCCGCGCCAGCAGCAGCAAGGGAAACGGGAGAAGCCATGCTAGGGCCCACGGAGCCCGCGCCCCCGCCTAAACCGTGAGAGGGGAAGTTGTCGTCCTTGAGGTCCTCGATGCCGGCGAAGGCGTCTTCTTCTTCCGCCGCGTCGGTGACGGAGGGGGACAGCGGGCCGCTGACGTCGCGGCCTTCTTTGAGTTTGAGCCATTTCATTTGCCGCGGGTCGAAAACCATGCCGCCGTTGACTTGCACGCCTTGCGTTGCTGTGCCGGACATGGGGGCGATGAGGGCGGGGCGGGGAGGCGAGGATTGGTGCTGACGGTCCATGTAGGAGCGTTGTGTGTGGCTGGTGGGGGTTGGCGTTTCGAGGGGTGGAGGGAGGTCGAAGTGTTGAAGGGTGTTTTCGTTGCCTTCCCAGCGTAGGGTCTGGGGGTTGTAAACCATGCCCTTCTCAGCTGTGGAGTCTGTTAGTTATCGGTTGTAGGGGTGGAAGATCCGCGCCCGACTTACTTTTCGGAAGATGCGCGCCGATTGCCTTTATCAATTGCGGCTGCGCCCTCTTCGTCTTCTGCCGTTGGGCACTGGGACTGGTATGCGCGCTCCTAGCGGCAACTTGAGCCTTCCAGTTGGTCGTCAGGGGCTGAAGCGGTCCTTCGCTCTTGGGCCGTGCGGTATTCGCAAGCCTGCTCTCTCTCGCTATTCTACTCGCCGCAGTATCTCTAAGATAGCTGGGCGTGTTGCTCGGTGCATCGTAGAAGCCTTTGGTCGGGCTGGCCGGCGTTCGCGGGGGCGCGGGTGTCACCATTCGATCGGGTATGGCCGCGTTTCGCTTCGCAAAATCGCGTATGTCACCACGACTTTGCGTTTGGCGAAGTCCGAGTCGAGGTGGCGGCGGACGAGCCACTGGCTGCTTGATGAACTTGCTCTCCTTCACTATCGAAGTCGGCAGATCGTCGAAAATCTCCAACTCATTGCCCTCGCCCCAGTCTCGTCGGCGGGCGGGCTTGGTGATGGTGCGCTTGGCTGCTGCTTCCCGGACCAAGGACTTTGGTGCAAGGTCTGGGCGCTGCCTCGACCCTCGGGAGGGAGTATCGGGGGTGTTGACGTTGGACAGGCGCGAAAGTGACCGCGGCGGAGGGGATTGTGCTCCACGCCTCGGATCAGACTCTCGACGTAGATGATATGCCTGCGATCGATGAGGCGGGGGGAGTGGTGGATGGTTGTGGAGTCCTTGTGAGGGCAGTAGAGGTAGGGGGTGCTTTTGCAGCGAAACCGTTGTTGGTTGATGGCTACGCAGGGCTGGCATGGATCCCTTGGATCGCAGTCGTTGCGTATTGGTGGCGGGTTGCTGTCTTCGCCCAGGAACGACCGAAGACGCACCGGTTTCAAACACTGGCTCCAAACGGGATTGGACCGGCTTCGAGCCTGACACTGGCCGGGGGATGTGGGAGCCACGGAGTTGTAGCGGCTTCTCAATGGCCTTGTCGTGGAAGTTGTATGTTGCAACAGGACCTCGGGGGGGAGCAGCAGGCTTCTCATTCTTAATTTTGATGTTCTTGTTCATGGTCCGTGTTCGAGCATCAAGAACGCCGCCGCCGCCCAGGTCAAAGTCGTTCAGGTAGTCCTCGCTGTCGTCTGCCAGTAGCCTGGACTTTTTATGGGTGTTCATGGTCGCGGGTTGCTCGATAGCCGGGCTCGGCTGGGACAGATCGGAGAGCTCGGCCTCAGCAGTCTTCCTCTTCTTGATGAGGATGGCTTCGAAATCCATCTGCCCTTCCGGCAGCTCCAAGCCTTTCAGATCATCCTCGCTCTCTGCTGTGACCGACCCAAGGCTCGGACTCATCGCTGAGACGGAAGAGCTCCGGTTCAGTGTGTCGCGTCCGGCAAAGCGGATCCCCAGGCTGCCTTCCAGCTCGTCAAAGTCATCGTATTCTTCGAGGGCAGGGTTCGGGGGAGGGAGGGTGGTTCTCGGCTTCAGTTGTAACGCGCCGGTATCCGGCATCTCGATGTCGTTGTCCCAATCATCATTCACCCGCTGTCTCGACTTCTTCTTCCCTAATCTTTTGATGGTGCCGCCCAGGAGCGCGCTCGTGGGCACATTGCTGGGGAGTGGAATGCCCGCCTGCTGCGCGGACTGAATCGCCTTCTTCTCTTCATTGGAGTCGATGATCAGGTTCCAGTCTTCGTCCGCCCCGGCGACCGACTCAGAATGCACGCTCAGGCGCGATGAGATGCTGGTCTGCGCGGTGCCGACGGAGTGGTTGGCAAAGGCATTAAAGCCGCCTTCAAAGTCCTGATCCCACGTCTCGACCTCCATTGCGACGACGGATGTGATGCCTCCTCTTGTACCAGGCTAGGTGCGTGCCAAAGCTCCGCATGCAGCACAAGCTGCAGCTGGAGTCTGCACACTGTTGCTGTGCAAGCTTTTTTGGGGGCGGTGAGGTGAAAAGGCGGCAACCAAGTCGCGAAGGTTGGCGGGTGTGGAGGTTGGGGCTTGGGCGGCTGGAGAGACCGCGCTAGGCTGACGCTTCCAGCTTCCCGCCCGCGTGGTCCCAAAAAGTCTAATAAATTCCGCGCCGTCGTTTGCTCGGAGCTTCGCGAAACACACGCGCTCTGGAGAAGGCGGAAGACGTTGTGGTGAAGGGCTTCCCAGGTGAATTTGGAGGAGTGGCAGCGTCGAGCGGCTCTTTGGACGCGTGCACGCATCGTCTTATGTACTCGCAGAAGCAGGAGTCAGGAGGGTGATCGGTGTCAGTGCCCGAGCCGCAGGCCGCTAGACTACTCGGCAGTTTCAGCAGCACGTTCGCATATGCATCTCTCGCCTCCCCTGCGTTCCACCATTCTCCACCACGCCTGGACTTGACCGCTGCTGGAGATGGCGGCTCTTCAGCTCTTGCGGCTCAAGCGCACGGACAACTCTGGCCATGTCCTGGCGCATATCTCCTCGGCAGGCTCAAAGTCGCTCGACCTCAAGCTGGTGGCCACGGATACTGCACATCTTTATCATGCTACAATCCATGAATCGAGTGTCAAGACCCTGCAGGCGAGCGCATTCTCGGGCGATTTACGAGAGTGGAAGCAAATTCTACAATATGCCTTCCTCCACGACAGACCAAGCGGCCAACTACCGGACACGCTGCGGGGCATAGAGGTGGTGGCCGCAATCTCAGGCACCACCCTCACAATCACTCTTCGGAAGAACATTGGCGGCATCACGCAACGACTTGGATCCATCAAACTCGATGAAGATGACGAGCGGGAGGAACACAGTGGCTTCGACTGGGCCGACATCGCGGTGGCGAATTCCGATGAGCTTCGCACCCAACTCGACACTTTGCAAGCATCTATGACCGAGCAACAGGAGGCTGTGGCCAAATTGAATGCCCAACTGGACGAGCTGGTGAAGGCGAAGGCGGAGCATGAACAGGAGCTCTTTACCAAGTTTGCGCTACTTCTGAACTCGAAGAAGCTGAAGATCAGAGACCAGCAACGCCTACTGTCCGGGGCTAAGATCGATGCCAAGGTGGCGAGGAGAGTCAAGGCAGGGCGCGATGGAGTGGGCGAGGCCGGAGAGTCGCGGGGCGGTAAACGCAAGGCAGACAATGTGATGGATGAAGATGAAGGGCACGAGGATGATGCATTGCTGGATGACGAGGGAGAAGATGAGGAAGAGCATGCGCCATCTCGTCAGGAAACTCCACCCAAGACAGACGAAGAGGAGACGGACGACGAAGACGATTTGGACGTCCCAAAGAAGACCTCACGCAAAGGTGGCTCGTCAACATACGATCGACGTGCGGCCATGGAGGTCGACAACTCCCCTCCGGCAAAAAGGGTGGCAGCGGTGCAGGCCAAATCGGGCACGTCATCTGCAACAATGCCTCTAGATGATGAAGAAGAAACGGATGATGAATTATGAGCTCTCGCATAGTCACAAACTCAAGAGTCAATGCAAAGGCTCAAAGGCCAGTCTTCGGTTTAGACTTCTCGCGTAGCGGTTAGACGGGCTCCAGCCGTGGTGGCTGACACACGCCGCCCAAGCCACACCTTGCCATTTGCAGACGACAGGCTCGGCAGGCAGTTGCGGTGAGGGAAGGTACAATCCACTGAGTTCCTGCCCAAAATCACCGTGGACATTCCCGGAAGACACAAACAAAATGCTTGTTGCATGTAGTGATCAGTCAGCCTGCACTGTGCAATGAGCCTCTGCTTGTCTAATCATCATCCTCGTTCATGCGCGCACCCGCAGCCCGGCGAGTGAAGGAGCGACGATCCGCCGACGTCAGGGCTGCCAATCGGAGATCTGGACTGCATGTGCTGCCCCATCATCCATCCATCCCGAACGTCGCACCGCTCCATTGGCGTGCTTTGAGCGAGCACCTCTGCTCCCCTGCTTCCCGCGGACATCATTACCCACCCAGCAGCCAGCTCTGCGAGCATCCGGCCGAATGCTGCCATCCTCGTGCGCTGATACCTCCGACGCTGGCGGCTGAAGCGAAGCCTTGCGACCGCGCCTGGTCTTTGTCTCGTACTGAGGTGTGTTCGGTCCATGTGAACCCGCTGCTCGTGTCGCATCGTCCGCTCACATGCTAATCCTCATCAGGTGCACGAGCATTCAATTTCGCCCATTGTCATCCACTCCTCCCCGCTATTGTCCTCCCACCCCAGCTATCCCTCCGCCCAATCAACCCGCTCGCTCACTCCGATGCCTCTCACACCCTGAGAACCAACCCATTCACGCCGTCCGCCATGGCTTCGGTCGACGAGCAGTCCACTGTTCCTCCCATCGCGAGATCCCAGGAAGACCGTGACGACCTCACCGCCATCGACCGCGCAATCGAACGCATGCGCGCCTTCACCCCAGCCGATCCATACGTCCTCACGATCCCCCAGGACGTTGAGCCCCGCTATCACCACTCCTACCTCTACCAGTCCAAGCAGTGGCTGCACAATACCCCCTTCCAGCCCCGCGAGCACGAAAGCACACAATACCAAACCTTTGTTTACCACGAGCCCGGCAAGGAGATGTACATGCTGCATAACTCGCGCCATGGCGAGGCGGAGAAGGGCGAAGAGAAGAACGGCATACGTACCGGAGCAAATACACCCAATGCCCAGCCAAAGAAGACCATCAGCCTGACGGCATACAAGAAGAAGCAGGCAGGCTTGACGCCAGAGCAAGGGCTCGCGAAGGAGAGTGAGGCGGTGGTGAAGAAGCCGGCGGTCAAGGGCCCGCTGGAAAGAGTCAAGGCAGATGAGGAGGTGCTTGCTGTGATTGAAGGGGATCGAGAGCTGCAGCCTTCGCCGCCAAAGGAGGAGGAGAAGGATCTGAAGCGGAAGAGAGATGATGCTTCTGAGAAAGACGGGAAGACGGAGCAGGCTGGGCGAAATGGGCATGTGGAGGAGGAAGGCCGCGCGAAGAAGGCGCAACGATTGACTCCGCCATCATCCACTACAGAGCCATCGCGAAATGCGACCAAGAAAGTCGATGGAAAGCAGCCTCGTTCGCCGGAACACGACCGCAGTCGACCTGCCCAATCCAAGCCAGCAGCAGCTGAACCGATGGAGTTCACCCTCCCGCCCAAACTGTCTCCGCCCCGATCAGCTCCTGCAGAATCAAGTACAGAGCCCGCGACCAAATCACCACACAGCGCCATACCGCAACTACCTTCGCGCCTTTCCTCCAGCATGTCCGATCTAATGAAGCAAACATTGAGCGCACGCACTCCCCGATCCCGATCCGTGTCCAAAGATGCAACCACTCAACATCGCACTCCGCCCTCCAAGAGTGTTCCACGCAATGCGTTCCGCGCCAACTCCAACATGGCTAGCCATGGAGATGAGGGGTCTTCGGAAGATGCATCAGGCGGCAAGAAGGTGGAGAAAGCGAGCAAACGACACGATCACTCCGGCCGCTCGCCGTTGGGGCCAGTGGTGAAGCTGAAGTTCAAGTCGCAAGGCGAGAAGGTGAAGCGTTTATTGAAGAAGCCACCAAATCCTTCAAAGCTGTTAGAAGGGGAAGAGGCAGCGAAAAAGTCTTGGCCAGATGCGCAAGTTGTCAAACCATCTACGCTCGCCAAAGACGATGTCGAGAGGGACTCTGCCAAGCGTAAACGGTCTCACGCGGAAGACAACGGGAATCTGGATAATGTCCCTACGAAGCGCAAAAAATCGAGCCCCGACAGAGCAGAACCCAGGAAGCGCGACGAACCCAGCACACCCGTACCGTCGGATCAGATCTCTCCGCCCAGCGCGCCCAATTCTCGCTTTCCCATTACTCCCGGTGGAATCCGCAAGGGCAAAGACTTGCTTCCCACCAGCATGAAGCGAGACAACAGCAACGACAGCCGAATCAACACTCCGCCGCCCATGTCCCATTCCTCCCCGAGCATCAACGGCACCCCGGCAGCGACCTCCTCTAATAAACAACAACAACAAGAACAACCCTCCACCAACGGCAACCCCAAACACCTCGCCCCCAGCGTCAAAACGCCCAAACAACAAGCCTTCGAAGCAGAGCAAATCCGCCTCGAGAAACTAGGCAAAGAACTCAAACACGCCGCAACCGCACACCTCAAACCACCCGCCTCGAGCACCACCCACTCCCAACCCCCAACCCCTCGCGACCAAAAGCTCGCCGCAATCAAATCCCTTGAATCCCTGCTCGCCTACCTCCTAGCCTTCACCTGCGCCGACGCCGCCGCCCTGTCCGCAGACCCCAAACTCGCGCCCTCCCCGCGCCCCTGGAAGTCCCTGCACGGCTTCCTAGGCTTCGTCAAAGCGCACTGCGAGCCCTTTCCCGCGCTGCAGGGCTTGGCGTGCTGGTTGGGCGTGGTGTTTCATTCGCGGGTGCTGGAGCTCGCGGCGCGCGGGGGTGTGGGGAGTCTGAGTAGGGAGGCGGTGTTGGATTCTGTTGCTGCTATGGGCAAAGCGGGGCGGGAAGCGGAAGGGAAGTTGGATTTTGATGCGCTGAGGGAGAAGTTTCCCAGGGCTTGGGAGGAGCGGTCGAGGGAGGTGGAGGCCGAGGAGGAGTTAGAGATTGCTTCTCCTGCTGGTGCTGGTGAGGGCGGAAAGAGTGGGAGGGTAGCGTTCGCGGGACCGTACAAATTGCCGCTCGGCGCGCAATCGAGTCCTTTGCGGGCGGCGAGGGCGGGGTATGCGATGTTGGAGGAGTGGATTGACGGCCAGGGTGGTGGGGAGGAGCTGTATGCTTTGAAGCTGAGGCTGTGATTGAGAGCGCTCGGGTTGGACACAAAACTCGATGCTTGGAACGAAGAGATACCCCCCCAGGACGACCGGGCAAGAAGTAGTTACGATCTCTTTGACGAAACTAGCAGATCTCACCACATAAAAAGACCATTGGCATCGAGTCGCATCATCTCACGGTTATATGCATATTTTGACCTCTGTCCACTACTACATACTCGCTCCCTCTCTCTCTCTCCTCTTCTCAAGCAGTCAAGGATTATTTCTCCCTCCCTTCACGTCCCCAGAATGCATCCCAGAAAACCTCAAAGGAAAGGAAAGACCCCCAAGACTGTGCTCTCGCTGGCTATGCTCGCTCGCTAACCCAAATGCCAGAAGTAATTAGAAAATGCTGCATGTGCCCGCTCGCTGTGTCCTGAAGATGCCGCTTGTTAATCATGCAAGGAAACGAAAAGAAACAAAACTCAAGATCACTCCTCCCTCCTTTTCGCAATTTCATTGTGTTGTTCGTGAGGAGCTCGCTCCTCTCCTCGTCACCCAGGTGTTTCGTCGTTCGTCCGCCATCGGAGAGCTCAAAACACATCGTCAGGCCACTCGAACTTCTCGTCCTTGCCCACAACAACGCCAGCACGGGCACGCTCCACCCCGGCGACTTTCGCCTTCTCCACCTCATCCAGACTCTCGAGGCCTGCAGGAACGCTGGGCTTGGGCAAGTCAGGCACGCCATTGGCGCCAGGCACGACCTTGACCACTTCCTTTTCGACAATGCTGGCGGTGTTGACGGCCGTCGTGTTGGAAGTTGCAGCCGGGGGTAGTGGGCTGGTGCTACGCTTGTTTTGACGGCCTGGATGCTGCTTTGCCGCGAGGGCTGCGCGGGTGATCATGTCCTGGTCTGAGATGGTGGCGTCTGTGCCGATGTTGGCGGTATTTTTGGTGGTTGCGTCAGAAGGCTCGTTGTTGGTGTTGACGACGACGGGAATGGCGGGAGTCTCTTCCTCCTCTTCGTAGACGGGGTCGAGAAGGCCGGCTTGCGAGTCGGTGCTGTTGCGCTGCGCGACTTCATCTTCAGGCATTGCATCTTCGGCCTGGACGGCGTTCATCCCATTCTCGTAGTCCGAATCGGCCTCGTCATCGCTGAACTTGGAGGCAAGCTTGCTCGAGGGAGGAGATTTCGCTGGATTCCCCTTCATTGGCCCAGCTTCACGTTTCTTGTTGGGCGGAGAGCCTTGATTGCCGACGACGCTGCCACGAGCAGCGCGCTTGTTGGGCGGGCTGAGTTCACTTTTGCCGGTTGACTTGCGTTTCTTCTTCGGCGTCGACTTCTCCCACTCGTCCTCGTCGTCAGATTCGAACCCTGCTGCTGGCTTGAAGACGGTGTCCTTTTCGGCCGTCTTGCGCTTCTTGGGTTGGGCGATCTTGCGGGCAGTCTTCACATTTGCATCGAGGGCCTTGAGTTTGGCGTCCAGAGCTGCGTAGTCGATCGTCTTGGTCGTTTCAGTCGGGGCTGCGTTGTCGTTTGTCGTCGTGGTATTCAGATCCATGTTATCGCCGTTCGTGATCGCTTTCTGCTCCATGTTGTCGTCTGCTTCACTCATGTTCACGTTTGACTCGAGCTCAGTTGCAGTGGCTGGTTCTTGTACTTGGCTCGGATCTCGAGGAGTTTGGTTCTCGATGTTGTCGTTCTCAAGATTGAACAAGCTTGCGGCACGTGGTGGATATTCGCGAGCATGTGAAGCCCTGATCGTGTCTTCGTCCTCACCTGCCTTGCTCTGCTCAAGTAAGAATTGCTTCAGAGAATGGTCCGTAGCCTTCCTCACTTCAGCATCATATGCCGATGGCATAGGATCACCGTCATCCTTCACTTCAATGTCCTGCTGAGCCATCAAAATCCTCTCACTAGGGAGACTGGGCAGCTTGCCAGGAAAGAACTTCGGTCGCTTGATAGTGCCGGGCGTGAACCTCTCGTGCTTTCCCGCAAGCTTCGGCATGGGGGAAGCTTCCTCCAAAGCCTCGTGCAGCTCCATCCGGGCGGCCTCCAGTTTGAATTCAAGATCGCTGACGCGCTTCGAGAGTTTGTGCTGCTTCCTAAGATCAGCCCTCGACGCGGCTTTCCTGAGTGTCGAACTGTCCATGTCTTGTTTGATTGGCGACACTGAAGACGAAGGATCGCGCGGGCCGGCGAGGGCGAGGTCGGATCTCATACGTCTGAGGTCGTGCTTCAGGTTGGAAAGAGAGGGCTTCTTAAGATGGAAACGATCTTTCAGGCCTCGCGAGAATCTGCTGGTGTTCGACGGCGCTGGATCCTCCATGGGGTGTCTGAGTACGGTGACGGCCGAGGTGATGCGTTCTTGGTCTGCCGAGACGTCGATATTATTCAACACAACGCCAGAGTCCTTAGGCGTGCATGCTTCGAGTTCGAAGACCTGAGCTTGGTCGACGGAGTTGTCGCTGCGCTGCACGGCGAATTGTCCGGCTTCTTTCATCTCTGCGTATTTCGCTTCCGCCTCTGCTTTCAATCTTGCTTTGCGCTCCTCTTCCTCCATCTTCTCCTTCACCAACTCTTCTTTGGTGTCATTCCAGATGGACTTCCACAAGGACACTGGATGGAGATTGGCGAGCTGGCGACCAAACTGGAAGAATCGCTTTCCGTCATCCTTCTTCTGACCAGCAAGCCCTGTTTCATGAGGGGTAGGAGAGAAGAGGCTCTCCCTAAGGTCCTGAGACTCAACACCCATGTGGTAGTCGTCCATCAGCGTGTCGACCTTGGCAGAAGCACGGCTCTCTGTGCGGGAGAAGCGAGTGAAGAAGGTGGGGGGTTTATCGCTCGGCTTGTCCGTCAAGCTCCCTTCCTGAAACTTCGAACCTCGGAGGGTGCCACTTGAAGGCGTCTGGATCTTGGCGGCGTGGCGCAGGTTGAGGTTCGAGAGGTTCTGCGAGCCTTTCTTGCGCCGTATCGAGCGCGGCTGAGTGAAAGTGTTGTCCTCGGAAGCAGACACGTCACTGGCAGGCGCCTGGGATCGAGTGCGTTTGTTCGATGTGCTCTCGGCGTACACGTCGAACTCGGCATCGCTGTCTGCATAGTCGAAGCTTGCGGTGTTGTCTAGCTGACGTTTGCGTTTCGACCCGCTCGTCGCGGCCATGGAGGGACGTTGACGCTCCATCCGCAGCGGCGTATGCGGTGGCTCCCTTGGCGGGACTACTGGTGGCCTCTCCATTAGTACACGAGCACTCGACAGTCTGCAAGCAGACCGTTTGCTGAAGAGGGGAGGGGAACACGCCGAGCGCAAGCCCGTGTGGGTGAATATCGAGAAAGAGTTTGCGAGGTGTGTGTGTGTGTGTGTACGTGACGTGCCGTGCCAGTCACGCCTCGCCGGAGAGTTGCTTACCTGCAGGATTGCAAGCGAGGTGCGGTACGGTGGACCTAGTAATCTCGGTCCACTCACGCCGCGATGTGTGACTCGTCGCAAACAGTTATGCTCCGATCATGCTTGCGCGATGGAAGAAATGTACGAAGGGGACAAGGTGGCCGTGGCAGGGATGTGGTGTGGGTGTTTGTTGCGTGTTGAAGAGATGTCCAAGCGGTGGTGTCTCACGGCGCTGTAATGACATGTCGTGTGGAGGGGAAGACGCGGGGCGCGCGCGATTGGTCCCGCTTGTGAAACTATAAATACACGCGGCCTCATGTGACGCCGAGATGCATTCACCCAACGTCCATGCATGTTCGAGACTTCACTCATGATTAGGCTGTATTACTCCCGGCGTTTCAATGTCCTGCAGTATGAGTATGCGGCAACGATGGCCTGAGTGGGATGTTTGTGCATTGAAGACTACGCATTCACGCATCACCAAACAATGATGCAGTTGCCAATGTACATGCCGCTTGTTCCTTTGTTGCAGGCGTGTTTGTTGCAAGGCAATCAGATTGCAATAGATATATAGATGTTGTAATGTCTGGCCGTGATCTCGTGGATGTCCCATATCGTATGATCGTTCCAAAATCATTGACCATGCCGTGTATCTTGCGATCAGCACACAACTCCTCATACTTCTCCCAACGCAACACCCTCAATCCTACCCTGCTTCGTCGCAACAGCGCAGACGGAAGCGCCGAGCCCGCATTAATTATCATTCTTGTTGCAATCGGAGCCTCGCTCGCCGTCAGTGTCCTCTGGTGTTACCTCAAGAACTATACCGCCGTGCCATATGGACGCCAATTGCCGGGTGTGAGAACGCGAGCAAGACATGCGAAAAGTTGCCAGCCACCATGCTATCGACCAGTTCGTGTTCGTGGGCTGGTGCGGGCTTCAGACAAACAGTCCAATGGCCGCCACGCGACTTCCACATACGTCAATGCCCCCAAGAGGGCTCGCGCTCCGCCACTGCCAGCTCCGCCGTCTGAGCCGCGATCGGATTCCAGGTGGGGGCCACCATCTCCACCACCAAGCTCACCATGGCAGCTAAATCGACCGCCACCATCTCCGGCTCAAGCATGGCGAGCGACACTACCAACAGCAACGACGATTTCGACAGCGCCAACAGCCAGAGCACCGCCGACAGCAGCAACAATTTCGACAGCACCGACAGCCAGAACAACATTCACCAGAGCACCATCGGCCAGCATCTCAAGAACAGCGTCAACGGCACCTTCGACTCGCCCGCCGACGCGCGCTCCACCATTCATCGGATCAGATCAATCCTACCATACCGCTCCGGAGGTCGTGGTAAGGCAGCCGAGCAACGCAAGAAGAAGCTCTCGTACCGCGCCCACAGTCCCACGGCAAGCAGCACGCGACCCCAGAGCGAATCAACAGCAACGCGTCGCCGATTGGGTGGCTGCACATGCCCCAAGCAGTAATCCAGGGAAATTCCACACCGAGGTGGTGAGGCCGGATGCAGAGGCTTCCAGTGCGGGCCGGGAAGGAAGAGAGGGAAGGAAACGAGTGAGGTTTGAGAGTCCGGAGAGGGGGAGGTATTATTGGAGGAGGGTGGTGAGATGAGGTGAGGTCAAGGAGATGAGAGAATGACTTACTTAATCCTTGACATGGTTGTTCGTGTCGCGAGCTTCTAAGCCAGAAGCAGCACACGCAGCGTGTGTGTAAGCTGATGGTACCTATGCTGACGAGACTCTGGGGATGTATCAATGGTGGTATGTGCAAGAATGAATGTCGGGTAAAGCAAGCATGGAAGGCAGGTGCACGCCCGGGCATCGGCTCGGAATGCCCGCGGGAGGTGCGTCGGCAAGATTCGGAGCGAGCACGCAGCCGCAGCCGCAGCCCAGCCCACCAGCCCACCTTTCCAACCTCGCTCCATCATGGTCAGAATCTGGGGAACCGGCGCATGGCAGTCTCTTCCTCGTCCATAGTCCATGCACCCTCGACCAACACCACCCCGCGATTGCTGTCTGAGCGATGACGACTGGCACGCTCACTGCAACGGAGTAGGATAAGCCAGCCTTCTCACCTACGCTCGACCATTCGGAATCGCATTGCCAACTTGAGTCACGCAAGACTTGGATACCAACGCAACGATTGAAGCACGACACTCCTGCTGCGCGGAATCGTAACGACTCAGACGAAGGGCCTCGGACAGACCACCCCCTCATAGACTACCGCACACAATCACAATCAAGATGCCCACTCAAAGACCCTTCTTCGCCAACTTCCTCGCCGCCTTCCGCTCCAACACCTACCCCAAAGCCCAACCCTCCCTCGCCACATCCGGCGCAGTCGCAGCCTCCACCCAAACAATCTGGACCACAGCCTCGACCCCCGCACCAAAGACCTCCCAGTCCGAACAATCCAGCACACCCGCCAAACCCATCCTCCCCAAATCCACCACTGCCTCTACCACAGCCGCCGTCGCAGCAGCAGCCAACACCCAACTCCACCCAACCCTCCAACATCACGTCACGCCGCAAACACACCTCCCGCGCTCGCCTTCGTCACAAGCCCTACCCGTCTACGGCCCCCCGAACAAACCTCAACCTTCATATCCCACCGCAGCGGAGAGTCGACGAGCGCGACGGCGAGGCAGCGACAGTAGTTCTGATTCCGGGGGGTTCCGCGAAGTCAAGGGTGGGAATGAGAAGTGGTTTATTGGGGGCCGCACGGCGGCGGGCGAGGAGCGGTATTATAAGTTGAGTATGGTGAAGAGGGAGCGGAGTTCGGATCGCATTAGTGCGGATCAGTTGAGTTTGTGAAGTATGGCTTTGGGCATGTTCATTTTGGCAAGGCGTCTGGGCTTTTGGCGTTTGTACAGGATTATGTCGGTGTTCAATCAACGGCCGGGAGGGGCCAAGGCGCTTCAATGAGGCGGGCGGCTCGCAATTCACAATGTAACGAACCAACACAATGGCACACACAGTTCATTCATTTACTTCGCTGCCTTCTCTTTTAATTGCGGAATCACCCACCAAACGTGATACTTCCTCTCCAATGCGCACTCCACCAACCCTTGCAGCCCCAGCCGTTGTCCATCTCCATACTTCTCCCCCAATCTCTTCAAGGTCGACAAGCCCACAGCCACAGCGACACACGTCGTCTCGATTTGCTTGATCTCCTTCTTCCACTCCGCTTCCGTGCCCACGTACCCGCCTTGCTCTGGCGTGTACTTCTTCAACGCTGCCAGAGAAGACTTGGCTGCTTTGAGGTCTTCGTCAATGGCTTGGAACGTGGTCGTTTTCATACTGTGGGATCCCGTCTGATGCTGCTCTAGTGCTTCGACCGCGGATTCGTAGCCGTCTGCAGGTGGTAGATCGATCGTAACGAATCCCGCGGGTACATTCAAGTAAGACTTCATCCGCGCTTCGTGCAGTAGATCCGGCTTTGCGAATTCCCGTTTCGGCGACTTGATGATGCCCGTTTGGCCCAACAGGTAGTAGAATTTCCACAGAGCGGCAGCAAGAGACTCTGTGACTTTTGAAGCGTCCAGCAAACTCATGAGAAGCTGCTGTGACGCCACACAATCAGCTGCATCTCTTGAGCCGCCGCGAACCCTCCTTTTTCGCTCGAGCAGGGCGCGCAGCATTGATTCGATGACGAGGTTCCGGTACGTGCACAATGCGGACAGATACCAGTACATCTTGCTCAGCTCGTCGGGGAGATATATCTCTGTTTCGAAGCCGAGCTGAACCGTCCAGACCAACACTTGAGAGGTGTGATATCGTGCCCAGGAAAGCAGCGGCCCATTGGTTCGCGCATAGCCGGAATTCAGCACTTGCGACGAGAGGGGATACTGTCTCAAGCCGTCGTCAATGGCGTCCGCTTCCCGCTGCAGCTCGTCCCAGATGCCGATGGACTGCGTGAAGAGTCGACGGATCCTGCATCGATTTTGGTACACCATTCGATACAGCGCCATGAACTCTTCGATCGCTTTCTCCATGAATTCTCGTAGTAGGGCACTACATGCGTGCCGTGGATCGGTGGGGAGTTCGATCTGGAAGATTTCGGGGTTGGACAGGGGGTCGCCGGCAAGCACCAGGCTTTTCAGGTCTGTGAGCATCAGGTCGTAGTGAGGCATTTGGCCTCGCACGGCGTGGTTGGAGAAGAGGAGGTCTTGCATTTGTGCTCGTGCGAGGGTTTCGGGTTGAGTCTGGGAGCGAGTCAGTCTCATAGGGTTCTGTTCACTGCAATGCCGGTATCGACAAGTACTCACACGGTAGGCAAACGCCCATACCGCTCTTTCCAGGCAATGGGAGTTGTCAATGGCATCGGAGTCGGTCAGTTCATATGCCGATAGCATCTCCTGACAAAGCTTCGTCCACTTGCTATGAGCAGCGTCAAGAGATATCTGCCAGTAGCGTCAGTAACTTCTCTGCAAGGAATGAGGCATACTACCCACCTGTATCGTAGGACGAGGCGGCGTTGAGGTGGCTAATTGCCGCTGTACTTTTTCAGAAAACGCATCTGGAATGGGACTTCCCAGGTGATGGCTGTCTTTGATCTGGTCAAGGTCTAGTAGCATATCCTGCCATCTCTGCGCATCTCCAGCCAGAGTCCGCAGGAGGTCGAGGCAAAACTTGCATCTCTGAAGGAGCGCCGGGCATAGACCGCCCGCGATACCACAAGTCTCCAGCCAACATATTGCTTCAAGGAGTGAATCCGCAGCAGCAGAAGAGTCTATCTTGGGCAGCAGTTCACGGCCGAAGAGGTGCGTAACAAAGTCCTCTTCCTCAAAGTAAGTCTGGCTTTGAATCAAGTGCAGAGCCAATTGACTGGATTTGATCATTCCTATGCAGTACGCCCGTAAGACGGTATGTACGAGAGTATCCTGGTTGGTGCGGAGCGGCGGCGGTCCAGGGTTGATGTGGAATGAGTCGGAGTGCCTTTGATCAGGCGAGAGTAGTCGGTTGATATGTAATGATGTGTAGACCGTTTGAGACAGTGGGTGGCCTTCGAGCCAAGTGATCTCGAGACATAGCAGTTGGTCCATGATCCAGATGACTTCGCCGGCTTCCAAACCCACTGAAGGGTCGAAGTCGGGGTCAAGCGTATCGCCCTGCCCATTGTTCATTAGCAGCCGGTCAGAAATATATCCGGGCCGCTGAAGAGATATACATACAGGAGGGATGTATCCGCTATCCATCTTGGGATCCATGATCTGAGGCAGCTCATCAGCCAAATAGCCCTCGAACGAATCAGTAGAGTCTAACATCTCCTCTTGACTTACCTCAAGAGCACCAACAGCCTCGAAAAGCGTAAAGAATTCATCCTTGACGAGCTCGCCAGGCTGGAGTTGTTTCGCCGCTACCGTGAAGTCCGTGGTGATGTTTCTGAGCGTTCGCCGACGGAACGCCATGGCTTCTTGCTGAAGTCTTGTAATTGCGTTCGCATGCCCCAGCCCAGCATGTTTGTCCGTCTCGCTGGCGGCTGTTGTTGATGGTCCTGGAAAGACGATTGTTTAGACTTTGTCACCGGATTTTGCGGAGGTGAGGTTATGTGTACCTTCGCCAGCCTCATTTACGGGCATTACTGGCAGTATGGAGCGCTGCTGAGGCGCAAATTGACGGAGAGATGGACCGCCGGCACAGTCTGAGAAAGCTCGATGTTCAAGTCAAAGGTGCAGGAACAGGCAAGCCGCAAGCTCTTGGCATGGTTTTCGGGGAAACATATGAGACACTCTAGATATGTACAAATGGCGCATTGGTCGCCACCGGCACTAGACGATGATTATAAGAGCCGGGTGAGGTTTCTCTTGCCATCCGTCCTAGACCGATAGTTCCATGCGCCAGCACTCTCCCTTCCACCAGACTCCTAGCCTCAACCATCTCCGCCCCTTTACTGCGACTGCTGACCCGCATTCTCCGCCAGAGCCTTCGCATTCGCAGTCTCCAGATCCTTGTGATCACCTTGCTTGCCGCCCTATCATGCACCATTAGCCATCATGTATCCTCAGCCACGCAGAGGGACTGGCAAAAGTCTCCTCCATCCGCAGCCCAAGCGAACCGCGAAGGTGTGTACATACCTCCCACTTTGCAAATCGCATCTCCGACATCTCCCCTCTCCGCTCGGCCGCCAGTCTCTTGTCTTCTTTCAGCGATCGGCGCACGACACGCGCAGCCACGGCGAGGTAGCGGTTGTAGCTAAGATGGACCCCAGCGTTAGTTCTCGCTCGTGTCAAGCAGGTGGGCGGGGTTGTATCGTACGTGATGCCCGCGGCTTTCCACGCGAAAGCCATTGTGGAGATTTGTGAGCTGTGTGTGGTGGTGTAGGTTCTTGTGTGTTGACTGTGATTCTGTCGTTGCTGCTTTTCAGGAACCCGAAGATGGAGATGGGAGAGCTCCGGCAAGTCAGGCTTGGCATTGCGAACCTTAATTCGGCGAAGTCACGTGATCAACGAGACCGTGTTCCAGCCTGTACTGTATGACGGACGGTGTTTTTACATTGCCATAGCTTATCTACTCTACCAGCAAGCAACAACTCTGGACGAACACGAATTAAGTGCTGCGTCCTTTACACCTTCAATCCAAGCTCCTCGGCAAACGGCAGCTGGAACAAGTCTCCAACGGCGCTCACGCTAGCCTTGTGCTCCAGAATCTCCTTGGCCGCCTTCTGTACCTGCTCCGCCGTCACGCTGTCCGCACTCTTCGCCACCTCATCAATCTGGTAGGGCTTGCCACCGTGCACAAGACCGGAGCCGGTCCACACCATACCCGCCTCAGTTGCCTGTCCATACTCCAATTCCTTGAACTTGGCAAGCGCTTTGGCCTTGGCAAAGTCCTCTTTGCTGACGCCTTGAGCGACGCTCTTGAGCGCCTCGACGACCTTGGGAGCGGTCTTGCGGATGTCGGAGGCCGCGCCGGACAAGGTGATGGTCAGGAGGCCGGCATCGGTGTAGATGAGGGACTTGGTGTCAATGTACATGTTGGGTGCATCTTTGGTTGCTTTGGACAAAAGCGAGAAGCCGGGGGACCACTTAATGGTGGTCTGGCCACCGAGAAGAGCAGCGAGGACGGCAATCTCGGGCTTGTAGAAGCCGCCGGTGGGAGAGCTGGAGCCGGGCAAGCCAATGACGAGCGAGTTGCCACCTGCGTGAGAGATGCGTTCTTCGCCTCCGTAGTATTTGGTCTGCTGTGGCTTGAGTTCGAAAGGCGCCTGAGCCGGGACGTCGGTGAAGAACTCGTTGATCCACTTGCTCAACTCCGCTTGCTCAACACCGTTACCAACAATGGCGAAGTTGGGCTTGGAGTAAGCGGCGGCAGCGTATTCAGCCAGACTGTCTTCGTCCACATACTTCTTCATGGGGATATCGGAAGTCGTGTGCAGGGAAGATCCGAGGCCGCGGTGAAAGGCAACGCCGTGCGCACTGTCGAGCGCCATCGCGGTGGTGTCGGCGAAGAAACGTTGCTGGCTCATTTTGACGAGAGCGGCAATCTCTTCGTGCACCACATGCGCTGGATCGAGTGTCAGCTATATCGACGTGCCGGCAACTTGCGTGTTACGCACCTTGGTAGTTTGTCTTGGTAGCGACATCACTGAGCAATTCGAGGAAGTATGGCAGATCATCGCGGAGGAATTTGGCGCCAACAACCAGGTTCTCTCGAGTAGTGTAGGACTCAAGAGCAGAGCCGAGGAGCTCAGACTCGCGCTGTATCCGAAGCGTGGATCGTCGGTCGGTATTCTGGTCGTGGAGATGGGATGTCAGCTTTAACGAGGCCGCACCGTCGGGGCCTGCGGGACCTGCTCACCTTGAAAGCATACCACTTCAACCCTTCCGCGAGGCCCGGGAGAGGCTGATATCTCGTGCCAGCTCTTGATACAATGGCCACCGTGGTAACAGGGCCGGTGGAGTCTCGGGCGGCGAACTTGATGCCTTGGGCCTCGCCGGTTGCGTACTGGAAGGTACCGGAGGCCGGGGCGGCGAGGGAGCGGGATTGGGGGCGCCAGGAGTGTTGCGCGGCTCGAAGCGCCTGGCGAGGCACAGCTGAGCGCGAGAACATGATTGCTGTCCGCGCTCAGGGCTCGATGGAGTGGTGAGGGAGGGTCAATGGGGGGGAAACAGACATCTGCGAGCTTTGCGTCGGACCGGACGTCAAATCTGAGGAGGGAGCTTTGGGCACGGGAGCTGCCGGGCCAAGCCCGGGCCCCGTCAGTGCATCGCTCCTGCCGTGTGCAGCTCTGGTAAATTTCACGAGGCCCGTGCGCGTGTCCTCCACCGCAGTACACCTTTTTTCTCACTTCGCCCTGCTTCTTGTCGGCGATATAGCGTTTGACAATGAGACAATAGGAAGGAGACTTTCGCTGACGATACCCAGCTTGAATCTCCGCGTCCTTCCATCGGTCGCACTCATGTACCGAAAACGCAAACGACGCTTATAGCATTTCCGAACGGAGACGGTGAGAGAGTCTCTGTGACCAGCACATCATGTCTCCGGTAGGCCATCTCACTGCTTCCTCGTCGTCACCGCGAACAGTCCACTGACACCACCGCTCAGCCACTGGCCGAGCTGTGCACCCTTCTAGTTGGCAACGCCTTTGGCGACCTTGCTGCTGTACGCTTGTCACTCGACACCCTCGAGCAAGGCTGCCCTCGTGACTAACACCTCCCTCAAGCGAATCTTCATTACCCTGGCCGAACACGGTCGCATGCACCTTCCCGCCCTCCGCCGCATCTCCGCCATCCCCCTGCGTCGCCTCAAAGTCGGCCTCACCACCCTCATCCAACACCACATCGTTCTCTACTACGCCGAAGATGAAGATGCCCCCACCTTCTTTCAGCTAGACTGGACTGCCGCATACTCCCTCATTCGCTGTCATAAATTCCTCCAAGCCATAGAAGAGAGGGAAGGCGTGATTGCTAAAGGACTGGTTGCCAATGTGCTTCACCTTGGACACACCAGTGTTGGCAATCTCGCGGAGGAGTATGGCCTGCTTCCCACCTCCAAGCGTGACAGTGGCATCGATACTGGCGAAGAGCACGTAGCCGATCATGACATGGTCAACGGCACTGCCCAGAATGGAGAAGCGGATCATCCAGCGAAAGACAAGATCACCCTGGCTGACTTCCACACCACCCTCCGTCGCCTACTAAAGCAAGGCATCCTCGTCAAAGTCAACGAGCGCACATTCGTCCCTTACGCGGACTTACAAGAAGAAATCAAAGAGACCGTGATTGCCGAGGACTTTCCCGATGGCAAGATCACCGGCTCGAAGAAGTCGAAGGAGTTTCAAGAGAAGGTCAACACTCTCAAGCGCAAATATCAGGATGAAGATGCCTATTCGGACACCCGAGATATAGGCTCTCATGGTGAGATCATGCGCTCTGACACGGCCGAACCGAAGAACAAGCGCCTCAAGCCCAACTATCTTTCCAACGGCACGCACCACCACGCGGGCATGGCCGAGAGTAACATTGAGGCAATCAATGGAGCCATCGACAAGCTTCCGGTACGGTTATGCTGTCTTGACCAGCTCGCAGACATTCACTGACCTCCTCAGAACGACATGATAGTGCGAGTGAACTTCGAGAAAGTCACCGTCTTGATTCGCAACCGATGTTTCGCGCAAATGGCCACCTCCTCTCTCGGTCCCGTTACAGGCGCTGTTTATGCTGCCTTACTCCGAGCCCTTGAGGACCACGCCGTCGCGTTGCGCCGCGATCCCAAGATCTATCAGGACAGGAACGAGGACGAAGACGAGGAGAATGATGACGATGATGACGACACAGATCCTTTGCCTGCTGTCACCGACATCGAAGTGGAGAAGTATCTCGACCAGTCCATCGAGCCTGCGGATGATGATGGGCCTCCTCCAAATCTCCCCAATGGGAGTGGCGGTGACCATGACCATACAGACTCGAACGCAGTCGACGGTACCGCTAATCCGGTCCTCGCTGCAATCGAGCAGGAACACTTCTCCGACTCCGAGATTGACGAAGGCCCGGGCATGATCAACCTCCTCAAACGACGCAGGAAACGTCTCGCTCTTATCGACACACACCTGGAGATCCTCTCCGAACACGACAAAGCCTTCTGCATGCGCTCACCCGCCAGCGCCAGAACGTCCGCCAAGACCTACGTTGACTTCTCCCTCATCGGCGGCAGTCTCGTGGTGGATAACATCGACGCGATGGTCCTGGCGCGCCACGGGCACATCGCGCACCGCACCGTGCGCATCATCCGGCAATTCGAGAAACTCGACGAGAAGCCCATTTCGCAAATGTCGCAGCAGCCATTCCAGTCCGCGTGCGCCCTCCTCACCAAGCTCTCGTACAACGGCATCGTTGAAAGCCAAGAGCTTCCCAAGGATAATAGACGCGTCCCTAACAGTGCGCTCTATCTTTATTGGGTCGACGATGACCGTATTCGAAGGAATCAGTTGATGCGTGCGTATCAGGGCATGGCGCGCAGTCTGCAGCGCTTGAAGTCCGTGAGAGAGGGGAGGTTCCGCGGCGTGATTGAGAAGGCGGCTCGCATTGGCATCTCGACCGACGAAGAGATTGCCGAATCGGCGCTGCTGAGTTCTACGGACAAGGAGGAGCTGAAGAAGTGGAGGGAGATGGAGGAGACGTTACTGGTGCAGGTGGACCGCCTGGATGATATAGTCGGCGTTTACCGGGATTACAGTGGGACGGATGCGTCTCTCATGATGATGTGACGGCTCTCTAGGGAGACAAGGGATGAATGCATGGCATGGCGATGGCGTTTTGGGGGTCTTTGGGTTGCTGGGATGCAGCTCCTTGAAGCTTCACGGAAGCCGAACTTCGAATAAGAGATACCAATGCACCGCTCTCCACATAGGGAGCGGAGCGATAGCACAACGAGTGGATTAGCGAGAGTGTAGTACCTGTATCCTGGCCAACTGCTCGACTGCCTCATTACATGTACTGCCCCCATCCTCACAGATTCTCGGGCTGGTGTTTATGAACCCCATTCGTCACCGGCAACCCCTTCCCAGCCTTGTTGTACTCACTCAACGTCACCGCCCCGACCTCATCGAAAAAAGGCCTCTCCCCAAACACCGCCGTGCGCTTGCCCTCTCGCATGCTAACATCATACCCTCCCGGCAAAGCACGATGCGCAACAACGCGATTATCCCAAAACGCCACACTGCGCGGCTCCCACTTCCACCGCACCGTCAAATCGTCCGCAGCGTGCAAATGCTCGCGCAGGAAGTTCAGCGTGTGAATGGCCTCCTGGCCCTTCAGCTCCTCCAAATGGATGACGAACGTGGGGTTGTAGAAGATGGATTTCTGCTTTGTGACGGGGTGGGTGCGGACGAGGGGATGCGTGCGCCGGACTGGCGGGCGGAAGGGGGCGCCGCCGTTCGCTACCGCGTTGATGAAGCTGTGCTCGCTGCTGTGCACTGCGTGCAGGTGGTTGAAGAGGTGCTGGAAGGTGGGGCTTAGTTTGTCGTAGAGGGCGGGTTGGGAGGTGAAGATTGTGTCGCCGCCGGAGGGGGGCGTGCGCAGCATGTTGAGCATTGTGTAGGCTGGGGGGTTGAGTTCCATTGAGTGGTCGGAGTGGTAGTCTGCGCCGTATGCTGCGTAGCCTCGCGTGTCGCTGGGTGTTGTTTTTAGTGATTTGCGTTGGTGGGAAGTGGTAGTAACGAGTACATACTAGTCTCTGCCGATGATGGTGACATGGCGAGGATCAGTTTGATTCGGATCTCGATCTTGCTGTGTAGTCTTGGTGAGAAGCCATTCAAGATGGATAGGCAGGCATACAAGTGCAACGTACAATGCCGTAGTGTTTCGTCAACTCATATTGCTCATCAATCGTCATCTCCTGCTCTCGGAAGAAGACCACGCATCGCTGGTCGAATTCATTAGTCCCTTTGGTAGAACATGATTTGTGGATGGGACGGACAGACCTCAGCAGCCAACAGAGCAAGCTCATCACGCTGCTCCGGCGTCAACTGATTCAACTGCACGCCCACCAGCTCCGTCCCGGTATATGGCGTCAAGTGCCGCACCTCCTTGGCCGCACTCAGCAACGCCTTCTTCTCCGGATCCGCGAAGAAGGCCCGGTCTCGAGCGGGAGTGAACTCCTCCACCAGCGGATGGGGAGCCTTGTAGTTGAGCACTTGGTCGGTGAGGGGGAGATGGTGTACCATTTTGGATGATGGGGTTGTCAATTGTTGTCTGGCTGATTAGCAGTCTATCGACTTATATGCCCTGCTACTTTGTTTACTAATAACTCCCGCTCGCTGCCTAATGCAGAGGCAGGTCATTGCCTACTCCAGACTGGAAGACGTGACCCCGCAGCAACAACTTCACGCTGTGGCTGACGAGCTTAGACATTGGCGGAGTGAATGCCCCAAGGCAGACTGATCAAACGGATTCACTGGCGCGTCCATACAGGTAGTGAACAATACCCCGTCCAAAGTACACAGAGTGAAGTACCTTTATGAGGCTAGCAGATAGATTGTCCGATGCCCAACGTGGGGCAACATTTCTTTTGTGCCCGCAACTCACTTTCGCCGAGGCACACGCCGTTGAGAGAGCAGTGACCTCACCCGGACCCCAAATCCCCTTCCACCCCCTTGCAGCTACGCGAGAACTACCTTACCCGATAGCGTCGCGCCCGCCCATATAACCGAATCGAAACATCTCCCACCGTCAGCGCGCACTCCCTCCTCACCCACGAGAACCACACACGACTTCGACTACCCCTTACTCCCTCCCCTTCCGCCCTCCCACACCCCCGCAACCATGTCGGACCGATCGAGCGAGCAGTCGAAAGCGCAGGAGGTGGTGGAGCAGCAGAGCGATAATTTCGCCCATGCCTTTGCCGGCGCTGGAGGTGGGCTGTTGTCAATGGCTTTGACGTGAGTTGCTGTCGTCGTCGTCGTCGTTGATGTCGCCGATGGATATACGCTGAGACGCTATGCCACGCAGATACCCCTTGATTACGCTGTCGACGCGCGCGCAGGTGGAGAAGAAGAAGGCGCAGACGGGCACGTTTGCCGCGGCGAAACGCATCGTCGACCGCGAGGGCATTGTCGGCCTGTATGCCGGGATGGAGAGTGCGCTCTTTGGCATGTTTGTCACGAACTTTGTCTACTACTACTGTACGTGTCACTCTATTTACCGCATTGAGTGGCTCAGAGACTGATGCAGACGCATACAGGGTACGAATTCAGCCGCGCCTTCTTCCAGCGCTCCTCCAAAAAGTCCCAGCTCAGCACGCTGGAATCCATGGCCGCCGGCGCGCTCGCCGGCTCCGCCACCGTCCTCCTCACCAACCCCATCTGGGTCGTCAACACGCGCATGACCGCGCGCAAAGAAGACAGCAGCGAAGACGACGACAACACCCTTCCCACCTCCGAGGGCGAAAAGCGCACCAAAGCCAGCAAGCCGAGCACCATCGGCACGCTGATGAAAATCATCAAAGACGACGGGCCCATGCGCCTCTTCGCCGGCGTCCTGCCCGCTCTCGTCCTCGTGCTGAATCCCATTCTGCAGTATACCGTTTACGAGCGGCTGAAGCAGCTTGTGGAGAAGAGGAAGAAGGTCGGCGCGGTGGATAGCTTTGTTATGGGGGCGCTGGGCAAGCTGGTGGCGACGAGTATCACCTACCCGTATATTACTGTCAAGTCGCGGGCGCATGTTGCCACGGGCAAGGATAAGTCGGAGGGGATGGTGAACAGCTTGCGGAGGATTGTGAGGGAGGATGGAATTAGTGGGCTGTACGGAGGTGAGTGGCACCCTTCAAATCATGCTCTGGTACGAGAAAACTGACCGCGTGGATGAACAACAGGCATCGGCCCCAAGGTCACGCAATCCGCCATCACCGCCGCTTTCCTCTTCGCCTTCAAGGACATGCTCTACGAAATGTCGGTCAAGGCGAGGAAGAAGGTCGTGCAGAAGGTGTAGAGGCGGGCGGAGTCACCCCAATAGGGAAGCAGGAGCCGAGTCCCAATACATTGGCTTTGAGGGATGTGGAGGAATGGCAGAGGTGGATGCGGAAGGCAGATTGTATGGTTGTGTGGAGCGCTGCAAGGTGTATTTATGCTGGTCGCTACTTGCTGATCTTCGACAAGGATGTATGGACGGCGTCTCGAGCAGATGAGCTTTGTGGATGGAGGTGCCGTTCCTCACTTTCAATTTACGAGCCAGCCGTCACAATGAAAGGACAGCCTGAGAGGTAGGAATCAATTGTATTATACAAGTCATGAGTGATGCCGTACAAGCTCTATCCAATAACTCCGACGGCCTACAAAACGGACCCGTGCGGACGTCACCGCTCGTCGGCCTTCTCACCCAATTGTGGTGCAACCGGCGCGCCATTCGCACTTGGAGAAAGCGGATTGGTGCTGCGTGGTCTGCCAGGACCACTACCTATCACATCCCCATTCACGTACCCGCTGCCACCGACGAAAGGCCTCGGGGCCTCACCGCTGACCAGCAGCGGCATTGCCAAGGGCTCGACAGGTCTCTTCGAATTCGTCGCGCTGGTTGGCAGGAGTGGTCTAGCCGCTTCCCGCTTCGCCCTCTCCCTCCGATCGACTTTGTCGGCGTCCGCGGTGCGGTCGTAGAGGTAGAGACCGATGAAGGTGAGGGCGAAGCCACAGGCCTGGAACGTGGTCATCGGGTTACCGAACCACACGATGGCGAAGAGGATGACGGCAACGCGCTTGATGAGGCTGGCCACGGAGTAGGACACGGGCGACACAAGGCCGAGCAGCGTGAAGGCGATGAGCGCTTGGCCGAAATGGAAGAAGCCGTTGAAGAAGAACTCGACGGCTAGGGCGCCGTGGTCTAAGGATCCGGGGCGCTGGCGGAGTTCGATGGCTCCTTCGTCCCAGTATTCTGCGAGCATGGGGAAGGCTTCGGACCAGAGCCAGAGGGGGAAGGTGAAGAGGAGGGCGAGGGAGGTGGAGTAGCAGAGGAGATTGAGTTTGTCCGGTTTCTGTCGGTTAATGGGGAGGCCTTCGGCTTCGGATTTGGCTGCTTCGGTAAAGAGTTTCTTCGAGACGATGTTCTGCGCCACGAAGACGGCGGTGCTGCCGAAGGCGTAGAGCAAGCCGAGGAAGTTGGCTTGGAAGCTGGCGGAGCAGGACATGAAGACTCCGATGGTAAGCGGGATTAGAGATAAGTAGGTCGCGCGGGAGTACTCGTAATTGAACCAACTCCGGTAGGCGAAGACGGTCATGAGAGGAGAGAGACCTTTGATGGTGTGCACGAGAGCCACAGGTATTCGGGACATTGCATCGGAATTAAGGATGTGGCCGGTAATTTGGAAGGCGGTAAGGGGAAGGGTGGTCATGAGGATCTCTTTAGAAGGGCGGCGGATACCGTTGCGCAGGATCGGCATGGCGTTTCGTAGGCCGGGGTTGTGTTTTGCAAGCCAGGAGCTAAAGAGACACCATGCGGCGGTCTGGGCGAACTGGCCGATGGTAAGGGTGACGGGTCTAGGGAGAGCGGTCAAGATGGCCTTGGAGGAAGCGTTGGACACGATGGAGGATGCGAACCAAGCCAGACAGAGCAACTTTGTCATAGTCAGTACGATATCTATCAGGGTTTCGCGGAAGCTTGCGAAATACATACCACGAGCCTGAGAGACACGGGTGCTTTAAGAGAGTCGGCGATTTCGTGCGCCGACTCGGTGATACTCGCTTTGCGCTCTCTGCTGCTTCGTATCGCTTCTCCCAAGCTCTTCTGTCGGTTGGGGCGTACCACGGCCTGCCAAGTCTTGTCCTTCAATGCACGCCATGTATCCTGTCTCTTGAAAGGAAGCCGAGCATGTGAGGCTATGGGATGGCCATTGGTATGCGCGTGCGGGCTTGGACTGTGAGGTTCCTCCTCATGGGCGCTCAAGGCAGTCGCATCGTCGTGTGCCGGCGAGAAGTCGGGGAATTTGGTGGTGGCCGGGGACAGAGGGGCATTGGAGGAGGGCCGGCGGCCAGTGACGGTCGGGAGCATTGCGGGAAGGTGTCGTCTCTACCGAGCCATGGTCGAAGGTGCGAAGCAGCCTCGCCTGATTGCAGACGATGAGGGTGGTTGAGAGTGCAAGGGGTGCTGCAGGGTTAGGCTGCGATGAATTCCCGTTTGGTGTTGATAGTGGCAGAGCGACAGGGCGTGTACAGTAGGTATTTGACAGCAACGCGGATTCGTGAAGCGGTGGTGGTGGAGAAGTATTTGTGACGCCAAAAATAATACGAAGATAGACTGATGATTGACGGCGTCTGCCGGCCTCAGGCATTTGAAGATCTGCAGGGAGATCCATGCCGATTTGGGTTTGGTGCCGTCAGTGGCTGGCGACGTCACGCTCACGTCTGCCCTCCAGCTGTGCTGCATTCTGTCCGCGTGCTCTATTGCACCTCACTTCACCTCAATCCGACTGGTGGCATTGACTTGTAGCATCGTCTGAACTCGGCGCAGCATGCGACGTGCACAGCAAACACATCAGCCATGCTGTTTTCGCGCTTCTGGGCCCAGCTCACCCAATATGCCTCAGCCCTGCCGAGCCTACCTCTGACCGGCCAACAAGTTCCATCCTCTGCACCTAACTTTCCGGAGTTTGCCTTTTCAGACCAATGGCAGATATTGGGTCCTTTTCAATTAGGGACTAGGGGTGAGAACGCATCCATTTCCTAGCATTTTAGCTGCCTCACTTGCTAAACATTTCCGCAGAGGCGCCATGGAGTTCCGACCCTCTCGAACTGTACGGTGGCTTCCATTCTCTCGAATACGACGTTGATGCAAAGTTTCGAAGCGCGCTGGCCTTTAATGGAAGCATTTCCTGGTTGAATCACACCGCCAAGCTCTCCGATCCAGACCCTTATTATTCTCAAGTCAACCTGGATGTCGACTTCCTCCCCAGCATCGATTGGCCATTTTTGCAGGATGTCTACGGCTGGGCTGGCCACCAATGGCTCGGCTGGGCTCGTGGCGAGATTTTCGTTCAGTCTAAAGAACCCAAGACCCTGATTCTGGATTTTCGAAACGTCGTCGAGTACTGGGTCGACGACCTGCGCTTCGTCGGTGGCGACTTCTACGGCTACGGACGAGCGCCCCTGACGCTGCATCTGGAACCCGGCATCCACAGAGTCGATGTGAAGCTTGTTGGAGACGTGCGATCTGCAGGTGGCATTGGTTCGCCAACCGTTGATGTTGGATTGATATTGCGAGAATCTCTTCCGGGCTTGTCTATGTTGAAAAATGGCAACGAGGATATACTCATGGCAGACGTCATCGGCGACCACTTCGGCCCCCTGACGAGCCCATATATGTCGGTCACGGTTCGGAACGATGCCATGCATGATGTGTACGTGCATGGCATTGAAGGCATGGAGGATGTGTGCAAGATCGAATTGATTGCAGACTCTCCGATCAAGCTCGTCTCCACCCAGACCCGACCGATCAATTTCCGCATTGCATGCATTCCATCTTACAACCGACGGCTGATACTGCACATCAAGTGGACGTTCGAGGGTGAAAAGCAGCAACGATCGCTGTTTCTTGCCGGCCGACCAAAGGTCCATCCGGAAATCGCTCCATCGCACAGATTCACTTTCCTCCACCCAAGCGGCATTGTATCTTGGGCGATTTTGAGGCCACCGTCAGTTCACGCATCCTGTGGAGGCGCAAATGCATCTCTTCCCGTTATGCTTTCTTTGCACGGCGCTGGCGTCAATGCGAACGACGACCCTCTTGTCCACATGTACGACCCGCTGCCTGATCTATGTACATGGCTGCTGTTGCCACAAGGTACAACGTCTTGGGCTGGCGATGATTGGCACAATTGGGGTTTCGCTGATGTCGAAGCCGCCATCGCGGCAATACCGGACTGGATTGAGCAGGTGGAATGGCAAGGCCCCGGCGTCGATATCGATCGATGGCTCGTGACTGGCCACTCAAATGGAGGCCAAGGAGTTTGGTACGCGCTCTCGCATCGGCCAGACAAGATCATTGCCGCTGCAGCCCTCTCTGGCTACTCATCCATCCAAAACTACGTACCTTATACGTCGTGGCGAACGGCGGATCCAGCTAAGGAGGGCATTCTGCAGGCTGCTTTGTCTACATACCGCCATGATCTGCTGATGGAAAACGCCAAAGACATTCCCGTCCTCATTCAGCACGGCAGCAAAGACACCAATGTTCCCGCATATCACTCTCGCCTGATGGATCTGCGGCTCTTCGAAGCTGGCGGCGACAGCAGGTATTTTGAAATCCCCGACGAACCTCATTATTGGGATGGTGTGGGAACCACCAAGCCGCTGAGGTACTTCTTACGGCGATTTCTTAATGTCCCGACCGATGAAGATCGTGCGAACCCGAGCCAGCTACGCTCCTTTACCATTGTAGTTGCCGACCCGGGAGATATGGGGCCGAAGAATGGCGTTCAGGTCCAGCAGCTGGAATCGCCTGGCCAGCTCGGCAAGATGAAGTTCACGTTCGACCCGCTGACGTGGGCGTGCGTGTTTCACACTACCAACGTGCGAAGCTTCTCCCTACCTCATCCATTCGACATTTGTGATGCTCTCATCATTGATCGGCAGGCGATGAACATCAAGTTCACGACCACTCAAAACGAACGCCTGGTGCGCCGCAAAGGCATGTGGATGGTTGAGAACGAAGATGAGAGCGTCAACTCCGGAAAACTACAGCGACAAGGCCGACAGCTGGGCCAGCTGGATTCCATTCTGCGGACGCATGGTGCATTTCAAATCGTGCGACATTCAAATGGCACCCAGCACGTCGCGCTACAAATATCCCGCAATCTGGCACAATACTTCGCCGGTGACACGGTAGTGACGGATGATTATGCCGAAGCACTTGCATCGACTGGAAACGTCATCAGCGTAGCCATCGGCGATAGTCTTCCACCCGGAATGGCGAAGGACTTTGCCATTCAAATCGGGCATGACTCTCTCAGCATCTTCGACCACGGCGTCGAGCACCGCTACTGGCCTACAGCATCGCAACGACTCGCCGCCATTTTCTTGCGTCCTTTGCCTGATGAACGCCTCGAGCTGGTGGTGTGGGGCTTGAATCCGGAGTCTCTCGATGTTGCTGTGCGGCTGGTACCTATCATGACGGGCAGCGGGCAGCCGGATTGGGTGGTAATGGACGAGACTATGATGTGGAAGGGGGTGGACGGGACGCTTGCCATGGGCTTCTTCGATGCGGATTGGCAGATTTCGAGGCATTCTTACTTTGTTTGAAGAGATTGGAAGGCATATATGGATATACGAGAAGTTGAAGACTGCAAGTTTAAAGGCACGTGCATGCACGAGCGCAGCAAACGGCGCTCGGCAGTCGAACGAGTCGTTCCTTCCTCAACCAGATGACAGCCATGCAGCTTCCGCATGGACAACGCACCTTCTTCCGCAATCGTCATCTTGAATTAAACGTCGTTTCGATTTCTTGCATCTTCCGCCACCTTCACATCTGCATGCTGACCCCCTTTGAGGAGTGCCGTGCCAATCTGCCTCGTTCCCATCCACTCGCACAGCAGCTCCGTGCGTCGTAGCGATACCAGCAATCCCCAAGGTGATATCACATCAGTCAGGATGGAGAGCTTCGGATCGCCCAAGAAGAAGACGTCAACCTCGTTCAACGTTTTTGCAGACCGTGACACCACTGCTCGCCGCCAAGTGAGTGTCACCAACATTTCGTCTCCGTTTGTTGTGAACTTAAGTCACTCATCGAACCTCCCAGACTTCCTTTGAGCGTGGAGCAAGCACACTGCCATTGACTACGTCAACTTTCGCAAACCAGCTTCCAACCCGCAAATCACCTACCGTGAGTCTCTCTTCCTCTCACCTCTCATCAAGCTGAGCGGCTCATCACTGACGTCCTCACTCACAGAAGATGGAGAAAGAGCAGCAGAACCCCGTCGTCGACCAGCTTCTGGCTCGCTTCACTCAACAGCAAGGCCTCCTCGCTCGTCAGAAACAGCAGCTGGATGAGAACGCCGAGGACAATCGCTCCAACTCCCCCACTGATCCGTACGCTGGCACCCCGCCGATCGACAGCGCTGTCGACGTGTCTGGCCGCCCGGATGCGGCTGAGGTCTTTCGCTTGAAGAAGGAGCTCGAGCTGGCCAAGGAGCGTATGGCTCAGATGGATCTCGAGCTCACCCAATCTCGCATCGCCAGGCACACTGTTGAGGAGGCCATTGGGTCGCCGTTCCCTGCTGCTCAGCATCTCGCTTACAATCTGTCTGTTCCCGGTATGATGTCGGCTCCGACGAGCTTCCAAGGCAGGACGAGCCCCCTTCCTCCCATCGGCCGTGCAGCTCATGGTGTCGGCGGTGGTCTGCGCGTCGACACCGGTCTGACTGCCGAGAATGACCTCTACAGCTCTCACACGTAAGTCTGAGCCGTCCATTTCCGCGTTGTATGCAGAGCTGACCTTCCACAGTACTGATCCAGCTTCCGGTCTTCACCGCACGTCATCCAACTTGGACAACGCTCGTGCGTCGTATCAGTCAGGCTACACTCCACCCATCACGCCCCTCAGCTTTCAAGGCATGTTCGCTCTTCCCAACGGCATCTCGGGCCACCCGCATGCCCCCATCGGATCCAGACTCTCCCCTACGGCGATGGAGTTTGGAGCGGCCAGCCAAGGAACCTGGGGCGGACAATCGGTGCCGCAGACCACAACGTACATGAGTACCGTCGAGCCACTCAACTATCGTCGCCTGCTTGACCGCAACATGAGCTGCAACTGGAAGTACATTGTCGACAAGATTGTCTGCAACAACGATCAACAAGCCTCCATCTTCTTGCAGCAGAAGCTCAAGGTCGGCACAACGGATCAGCGTTTTGAAATTGTCAACGCCATCATCGATCAAGCTTACCCTCTGATGGTCAATCGCTTCGGCAACTTCCTCGTGCAACGCTGCTTCGAGCATGGCACTCCAGAGCAAGTCATCGCCATCGCTCAAGCGATTCGTGGCAACACCCTCAACCTCAGCATGGATGCTTTCGGCTGCCACGTCGTCCAGAAGGCGTTCGACTGCGTGCCGGAGGAGTACAAGGCCATCATGGTGCATGAGCTCCTGCGTCGCATCCCCGAGACCGTCATCCACCGCTACGCCTGTCACGTCTGGCAGAAGCTGTTCGAATTGCGCTGGAGCGACTCGCCTCCTCAGATCATGAAGTATGTCAACGAAGCTCTCCGTGGCATGTGGCATGAAGTGGCGCTTGGCGAGACCGGCAGTCTTGTCGTCCAGAACATCTTCGAGAACTGTCTGGAGGAGGATAAGCGCATGTGCATCAACGAGGTGCTCGCCAGCATCGACGTCGTCGCCCACGGCCAGTTCGGCAATTGGTGTATTCAGCACATCTGCGAGCATGGCTCTATCCCGGATCGTACTCGCGCTGTTGACCACGTCCTCCGCTTCGCGACAGAGTACAGCATGGACCAGTTTGCATCCAAAGTCGTGGAGAAGTGTCTGAAGATCGGCGGGAACGAGTTCTTGGATCGTTACCTCGACCGGGTGTGCGAGGCGCATCCCGACCGCCCTCGCATGCCTCTCATCGACATCGCTGGAGACCAGTTCGGAAACTACCTCATCCAGTACATCCTCACCAACGCCGATCACCAGCGTCGTGAGGTTGTGGCTGCTCATATCCGCAAGCACATGGTCTCCCTCCGCGGTTCGAAGTACGGCTCTCGTGTCGCCATGCTGTGCTGCAACCCCGCCGTCTCGACTCGTCCCGGAGCACCTGCTGGCTTGTCTATCAGCCGCAACAACAACAATAGCTTCAGTGATCGCTACGGGTCCGACTTGGGCCGCGCCTATTCCAGCGAGCGTCAGTACACCAGCCGCGGAGGGTACGGTTCGGCTTTCCGCTAATCTGGATGCTTGTCAACCATCGACCGCGAGAATTCTTCTTCTCTCGATCATCGCTGCTACCCTTGTAGCCATCTTCACATTACCTGAACCAATCTGTCGAAGAGGCACACAGACTTTGTTCTTGTGGCTGGCCGTCATCTAGAGTAGCGAGGAACACATGCATGACTGTTTGCTTGAGCTCATCATTGCCGTCTACGACGAGAACGCAGCTAGGAGACGAGGCTTGAGATCCCATCAACCGCCCGCTTTGGATTGGGGAGTGGCATCGTCTTCATGTTGCATCCATCACGCTCGAACGACATTCGCTTTCATCGGAGCAGCGACCTTGCTGGCGAGATTGCGCTTATGTCTTGCATTCTCAGTCTGCTGCATCGTTGAAAGACGGAGGACTTTTCTTTGTGCTTTGCTTTGCTTTGATTTTGCTTTCGTTTCTCTGGGGTATCATATGCAGGTTGATCGAGGAGGGTCTCGGATGTAATGGGGATGGGGGAACGAGATTGATCGATAGTGCTTCTAGTTTTGAGTGTCTGTTTTTTCTTTCTTTCTTTGCTTGACACTTTGCTCCGATGTTCAACGTATCTTCAGTCTCTTCTCCTGAACATAGACTGAGCACGTTGCTGTGCAGTAGATCATTGCGCTTCACACACAAAGGAGGCGTGGCCGGAGACCCGCTTTAACTTCCCGACGGCGGCAAGCGCCACTTCCCCCAACCTCCAGCCAATCCATCATCGACCAGAAACATTCGAGCTCGTGACGTCTTGTCTCTCATCCTCGACTCGCGGGACCCGAAAGGCGAGCGAGAAACCAGGTACATCGCTACCTCCAACTAGCATCCACCATGGCCGCCTCCCCGCACACCAACGGCGGAGGGCTGCGGCCGTCCGCATCAACCATCCGCCATCCCACCGCTCCCTCCGTCATGACGATGAACGGGCACTTTGCCGGCGCCGGCGAGAATGCGGATTTCGAGCACGGCGTGCAGATCATCGACGAGGACAAGAACTTCAATCCCAACCTGCCGAAATACCTGTCCGCGCAGGGCATCACGAAAGCCGGGTTCAACTACCATCTCATTTCCGTTTTCGGCAGCCAGAGCACGGGCAAGAGCACGCTGCTTAATTTCCTGTTTGGGACGGAGTTTGGGGTTATGAGTGAGCAGGAGCGCCGGCAGACGACCAAGGGGATTTGGATGAGCAAGAATAAGAAAGAGCAGACGGGGATGGCGGAGAATATTCTGGTGATGGATGTTGAGGGTACCGATGGGCGCGAGAGAGGGGAAGATCAGGATTTTGAGCGCAAGAGTGCGCTGTTCGCGCTGGCGACGAGTGAGGTGCTCATTGTCAATATCTGGGAGCACCAGGTGGGCTTGTACCAAGGGGCGAACATGGGCCTGCTGAAGACGGTCTTCGAAGTCAACTTGCAGCTTTTCCTCAAGAACGCGAAGAACGTGACGCGCAGCTTGCTCTTCTTCGTTATCCGCGATCATCTCGGCACGACGCCGTTGTCGAACCTGCGCCAGACCCTCCTCGCGGACTTGCAGCGGATTTGGGCCGGGTTGAGCAAGCCGCCGGGGTTGGAGAAGAGTCAGATTGATGACTACTTTGACTTTGCATTTGTTGCGCTCCCGCACAAGATTTTGCAGCCAGAGAAATTTGCACTGGATGTGCAGAAGTTGGGCACGAGGTTTCGGGAGGGATATGTGGATCCCAAGAGAGCGGCGCTCACGCTGGACGATGCTTCGCAACCGGTGTTCTTGCCGCAGTATCATCGGAGAATCCCCGCGGACGGCTTCCCGATGTATGCGCAGGGGATTTGGGAGCAGATTGACAGCAACAAGGACCTGGATCTTCCGACTCAGCAGGAGTTGTTGGCGCAGTTCAGATGTGATGAGATTTCGAAGGAGGTGCTCGTGGCGTTTGATGCGATTATCATACCTTTGGAGGAACGGCAGGCTGCTGCTATCGACGCGGGAACACCGGAGCTCATTGCTGATCTTGGCAACACCATGACCGCAGCTCGCGAGACTCTTCTGAAGAACTTTGAGGAAGAAGGGAGTCGCTATCACAAGGGCGTGTTCAAGCGGAAACAGACTGAACTGGAAACGAAAGTGGACGGAAGATTGAAGACTCTGTTCACCGCCCAATTGAATTCCGCGCACAAGATTGGAATTCAGGAGTTCAGCGACTCGGTGTCGGCCGCGGTCAAAGTCGGCCAGAAGAAAGGCGGGAATTACGATTTCCACAAGATTGTGCAGACGGAGAAGCAGAAGGTGCTCAAGAAGTTCGAGGCGGTGGCGAGAGGGAGCGTCATTGCTGGCAGTCCTTGGAGCGATTACAAGTCTCAGCTCAATCTTTATCAGAAGGAACTGGACGAAGTGAGCGCGCGGCTGCGCAAGGATGAGATGCGCCGATTGGCCACCAGGTCTGAACGCTGGGTCCGGACTAAGCTGAGCGAGGGCGTGGGACTAGAGTTCAACCGCCTAGGCTCCGGCCGAGCCGGCTCAGGTGCACCAGCTGAAGGCGAGAAGCCCCCGACAGAAAAGGACTTGTGGGACCGCATATGGACGCTCTTCACCGAGACGGTGTCGCACGCGGAATCGCGCTTCACGGAGCGCGCACGCGGCTTCGACGCCAGCCCCGACGAAGTCGAAGTCGGACTGTGGCGACTGCGGCGCAAGTCGTGGGCCGCGCTGCGCGACAAAATCGACGAGGAGGTGATGGAGGGCAACCTCCTCCTCAAACTGCGCGAGAACTTCGAGGACAAATTCCGGTACGACGAGGAGGGCGTGCCGCGCATTTGGCGCCCTACGGACGACATTGAAGGCGTGTACACCAAAGCGCGCGAGAGCACGCTCGACCTCATCCCGCTTCTGGCGCGCTTCCGCTTGGCGCGCACGAGTGCGCCTCCGCCTTTGGATGCGTGGATTGGAGAGGCCCCTTCGGCAGCGACGCCGCAGGACGAAGAGGATCTGCAGCCTATTGGTGGGATTGATGAGGAGGAAGGCAAGTCTTTGGAGGAAGAGATGACGGTGTTGAGCGAGGCGAAGAGGCAGGATTTGGCGACGCGGTTCAAGAAGACGGCGGATGGGGTGTATGTTGAGGCGAAGCGGAGTGCCATTGGCGGCGTGACGCAGGTGCCGCTTTACTTTTATGGGTTGTTGCTTGCGCTTGGGTGGAATGAGATTGTGGCTGGTGAGTTTTCCTCTTGCCTCTGGTTGGAGTGTGGATGTGAGTTGCTGATTTTACGACAGTTCTGCGGAACCCGCTCTACTTCATCATGCTTATCCTACTGGGTGCAGGGGCGTACGTCACGTATACCCTGAACCTTTGGGGCCCCATGATTCGCATGGGCAATGCGGCTAGTGCGCAAGGACTGGAAATCTTCAAGGAGAAGTTGCGCGCGTTCCTGGAGTCGTCCGAGACGGGCAGAGAGGCGATCAAGATGTCTGCCAAAGGAGGGGAGACGTTCAAGTGAGTTCACCCCTGGTCTATTGCTGAGGGACTTTGCTGATGAGAGTTGCCACAGTTTGGACACGTTGAATAGCAATGGCACGACGAAAGTCAAGGCCTCTGCGGCGAAGGATGACGATGTCGACGATATTTGATGATTGATTGCTTGCTGGCTTGCTTGGCATAGCGATAGGTTAATTCTCAGGGAGAGGGGCCAGAGTGGTGGTAATAGCATAGACTGTGCATCGATCAACCCATTCATACAGTCTGCGTCACCATTCTTCGCTGAAGGTGGAATGTTCATTGGACACTCGCGTATACGAAAGTGCTGGATTGGGCGTGGACTGCACGTGTTAGGGAGAGTGGAGCAGCTCGGGCGGTGATGAGATTGGCTCGGCCGAAGGCTGACCGCACTCGACTTCCACCACCACCCGGCGAGCCATACATTGCAGCGTCCGAAGGAGCCATTGTGAAAGTGTAGGCATCATGGTGTCTTGGGTACATTGAATGGACATGGGTCGTTTGGATGATACAAAAGGGCCCCGATCCCTTCGCTCCGTCCATCATCTACCTATCTTTGCGTATCCATGGGCTAAGTCTACACGCATGACACCTTCCCTTACCCTTCGTCTTCCAACCGTATCACACACCACCCTCCACTAACATGGCCCCCAAACGCGTCCTCATCTCCGGCGCAGGAGTGTCAGGCTCCATCCTCGCGTTCTGGCTCGCCAAACACGACTTCGAAATCGTCGTCATCGAGCGCTCGCGCGCCGAACAGCGACTAGGCCAAGGCCTGGAAATCGAGGAGCCCGCGCTGTCCGTTGTGCGCGCAATGGGCGTGCTAGACGAACTCGAAGCCCGCAAAACCGGCGAGGCGGGCTTCCATCTCCGCGACGAGCATGGTCGCTCCATCGTCAAGGCTTCCGCTGGCGGCTTCAGTCCCACTGGCGCAATGGAAATCATGCGAGGCGAGATGACAGAAGTCTACTACCGCGCCGCCAACGCGCATCCCAACGTCACCTACCTCTACGAAACGACGATCGACTCCATCGACCAAACCCCCGACAAAGTCACCGTGCACCTTACCACCCGCAACGCCGCCACCCCATCACGAACCGAGACCTTCGACTTCCTCGTCGGCGCCGACGGCGAGAAATCCCACACCCGCAACCTCGTCCTCGGCACCCCCGACAAAATCAACTGCTACAGCCCCGTAGGCGCTTCGGTAGCGTACTTCTCCATCCCCAGCTTGCCCTCCGACTGGCCCGATTCCGAAGCGTGCCACTACCCCGGTCGCCGCATCATGTGGCTCCGCCCGATTTCCAAGGACTCGGACTTCACTTCTGTGCATTTGATTCATGTCGGGACGGACGAGGCGGCGCTCAGCGCGGCGAACGCGGCGGGCGATCGGCGGGCGCAGAAAGCGGCGCTCGCGGAGTTGTTCTCCAGGGGTAATCCGGGGTGGCAGGCGAAGCGGGTTGTGCGGGAAATGATCGACGCTTCCAACTTCTACAGCGAGGATCTGAAGCAGGTCAAGTTGGGCAAGTGGTCTTCGGGCCGCGTCGTGCTGCTTGGCGACGCCGCTTGGGCTCCTACGCCTTTCACCGGCCAGGGCAACCAGTTGGCCATCATTGGCGCTTTCGTCCTGGCGCAGGAGATGGCACGCGACCCTAGCGTGCGTGCTTTTGACGCTTTCGAGAAGCGTCTGCGCCCATATGTCGAGTCTAGCCAGGCGATTCCGTTGGGCGGCTGGATGCCGTACCTCCTCGTCCCGCAGACGCGGGCGGCGATTTGGGCCGTGCAGAGGGCGTTGTGGTTCCTGGTTGCGTGCTTGGTGCCCGTGATGAAGCGCGTGGGAACGTTGGTGGGCGAAGGCAGCGGTAAGGAGCATCCTTTTGATTTGGAGTTGGAAGGGCAGGCGGAGATTGGGAAGCCGGACCGGTGAGAGATGGGCATCAGATCGGACGGACATTGCCACATGTTTAGATATATACCCAATCTATCCTCCCTACCACACAAAACATTCCTCCATCAAACCTCTCATCACCTCCTCTTCTTCGCCCCTCCCTCATCCTTTCCACTACTCTTCACAACAACCCCCTCCGCCACCCCAGCATCCCCCTTCGCCTCTGCCGGCGCAGCAAGCGGCTTCGCCGCCGTCTTCTCCTCCACCCCCTCATCGCCACCTCCCTGCCCAAACTCGTTGACGCGCGTGTAGTCGACCTTGTACTTCCACGCCTGGTAGATGTAGACGAAGAAGATGAGGTCGTCGCGCAGCGTCGCGAGGCGGTGCAGCGTGGGCATCTTGATGGTGAAGGCGAACAGGTCGTCGATGAAGGTGTTGAGGAATTTGTACGTCATTGCTTTGGCGGGCATGTGGGCGACGGATTTGAGGCGGTAGTTGATGTAGAGGCTTGGGATCTAAGAGGAAGGGTCAGTTGTTGCTTGATGGGGAGCACTGGAGGGAAGCCTTACCATCATGAGGAAGCCGTAGGCGTAGACTGAGCCTACGAGCGTGGTGATGATGAAGCTGTACCAGCTCTTGTGGCTTTCGTAGATGAGCGAGTAGACGGCGTAGGCGAGGAGGAGGGGCACCGCGCCGATGCCCATGTAGTAGAAGGCGATCTTGTCGTACTCTTCCGTCTTCTCTTCCGTCTCGCTGAGCACGTGTTTGTCCTCGAACACCACGACGTACGGGAGGTAGCCGTGGAACCAGCTGCCCTCGCCAGGAGGGCGGACGCGCACGTTGACCGCTTTGGTGACTTTCCAGGCTTCAATGGCGATGCCCACGCCTTGGCCGAAGAGGATCATCCAAGATGTGCGGTCGTTGTTATCAATGAGGTAGAGGAAAATGATGAGTTGCATGAAGACGTTCGACAGGATGGTGCGCACCGACACGCCCACGTTGTCCTTCTTCTTCCGCCAATGGCCCACGTCGCTCTTGAAGGCCAGCATCTCGAATATCATGTGCAAAACGGTCACGACGACGGTAGTCCCGAGCAGCCAGGGATTGGTGTCGAGGAGCGTCTCCTTGATCAGTTCCATTTCGCTGCCGTCGCCACCTCCTGGCGTCGACTCGCCCGCCGCAGCTCTCCGTGCCGTCTCGCGCATGTTCTCGTCCATGGTGGCCATGATGGTGAACTGCCAGCCTGCGAGGGTGGAGAGGCGAACATTCATGTCGAGGCGCTCAAAGGGGACGGTGGAGTTGAGCTCGACCATGTGCGACTTGAGCTGCCAGAAAGTATTGTGATAGATGATGGGGTAGAAGAAGCCATTCGTACCAGTATCGTCGCGCTCGTTGAGGGCATCAAGGCTGTAATACTGCTTGACCGCAAGCGGCATAGGAGCCCATTCGATTCCCGCAGCATCGGGAACAAACGCCAGAGTGAAGTTGGGGTGGTAGTAGGAGGCTACTGACGCGCCGGTCTCTTCTGCCTCTACCTCGAGTGCTTCCGTCTCATTCTTTGTTTCCAGGAGATTCCGCATCTTCTTGACTTTCTTTCTCGGCAGGTACTGCGTCAAAGGCCGAATCATGCGATACGCCTGTCTGACATCGTAGTCCGGGCTCGAGGGATCAAGCTGCGCTCCGTGTTTCCCGACAAAGATGTGGCCAAACAGAGTGCTATTGTCCTGTACGGTCTTGGGGACGGAGAATGAAGTGTGAATGTCGCGCACATCTTTCTTGGATTTCTCCATTGAAAAGCCCGTCTCATGAACAATCAGACTGTCCGCCGGCATCTTGCTGAATGGAGGCATGGCGAGGCTGGGCGAAATGTACATGCTGATGTCAAGGGTCGTGTTGGCGGGCCATAGGGGAAAGACGTGACGTGGCACGATGCTGTAGTCGACGATGGGCGGAGGTTGCGACCCATCTGCCGCCACCGGGTCCTTTTGAGGGACGGGAGTTGCTTGTTTCGAGCCCCCGCCGCCCATGAATTGGCGGATGGCGAATTGGATGAGGAAGAAGAAGGCGATCTGCTTGCCAATGCTCCATGCTTTCTGCTCCCATGATGATCCTTGGGGTTGTTCTTCGCCGGCCGCGCCGTCTGCTGCTACGGCGTCGGGCATGATTTCCTTCGTCCAGGAAATGTCTCGAGATGCTCCAGAGCCGTTCACTTTCGTCGAGGTTGTATAGTCGTAAGGAATTCAAACACCACCCATTGTTGTACAGGACTTTTGACGTGTCTGAGGAACGAACGCTGGAAAGACAAGTGTTGGAAATGCGCGGACAACAATCTGTCGTCAGTGAGCCCACGTTTTCCAGCAACCAATGAAACCGGAGCTTTGCTTATGTAACACTCGAGCTTGGGCCGCATGCCGCTTTGATGACTGATGATGGCGGGTAAGTGTGGAGGCGGGCGAGGCTTCGCCGGCTTCGTCACATCACATGCCTTGTCTGATGACACCGCCGCCGCCGCCTCTCATCTGGTGACAACATCGCGCCTGCCTGCATCTCTTCTACAACACGCGCCGCGCTTCCACCACCCACCACCTACATTCACCTACGCCCCTCACACCCCTCCTCGCATGAGGTCGCCTTTGTCCCGCGCATCTCCCCCGCCAGGCAGCGAAGATGTTCTCGGAATGTCCGTCTCGCTATCTATCCTCCCCTCCTTCACCCGTGTGACTCTCGCTAACCAACATCACTCAACAGATGCCTCACGGTTCCTGCAACAATCCACGTCCCACCTACAAGCTTCCGACAACGCGCGCAGCCCTCTTGATCGGCGGCGTAACAACCTCGCGCCCTCAGGCTCCCGCTATGTCCAGCGACCTTCGTCCGGAATGCTGAATCCCTACCAATCCCAGAACCCCGCATCTTCTAATTCTCGCTTCCCCTTTGCTGCGCGATTAGGGAGGCAACAGCAGGCGCCACTCTTCCACAGCACGCACGAGGACTTCGAAGAGGAGGATGAAGGCGATGAGCATGAGCGGGAAGTCGCAGACTTCTATGCGCTACAAAGGAGTCGGCGGCAGTTTGGTCCGAGTAACTTGACCGAGAGCGAGGAGCTAGAAGACGATGAGGAGGGTGCGGACAGTGTCGAGGGCCAAAGACACGATAGAGACGAGGGCTCGCAACGGGGCCGAGAGCACGCGACCACAATCTCAACATGGAGGGACCAGAGTATGCCCGAGTCTGCAGCGAGCGCACCGAGTTCCAAGGGCAAGGGTCGGTTGGTAGATGTAAATCTGGCCAGCACCATCAACGAAGAGCCTCCCGAATCTCTCGCGAATCTGGCGTCCGAGCTCGATCCAGACGAACCACCCCCGCCTCACCAGACATTCCGGCTATCCGCCAAAGACCCCCGACAAAGCTCCTTTCTCATGCCCCTCGAGACCGACTCGGAGACGAATCTCTTGAATCCGCGCCCAAGCTCACCGGGTGCGGAGAGTGTACCTCCTACCGTCATCCTTCCCACCCACGAACCACCGCGACACGATGCTTTCTGGGCTACCTTGTTCGAAATCAGCCTCTTCGCCATGTTCGCCTCCTTCACTCTCATCTGGTTCCACACTTCCTCGCCGAAGACCCCGCTGGGCGACTCGATCTACAGTGCCTTGCGAGGGAGCACCGACATGCTGCTCTGGGATACCGTCATCTCCATCGTCGTGGCGCTGATTTGGCTGGCCCTGCTCCGACACCACGTACGAAACCTGGTCTACCTCATGCTTTTGGCTGTCCCGGTCATCCTCTTCGCCTTCTCCCTCTACCCCCTCATCAATAGCTTTCGCGGCACATACAACGGCGCCTCTGTACAGGATAGAGTGATGCGCTGGCTTTCGCCGCTGCCATTCATCTTCGCCTGCATCTGGACTTGGAGCATCATCACTCATCGCCACAGTCTCAGCCGCTCCATCAAAATCCTCGAGTTCAGCACCAAAATCCTCTCTGCCAGTCCGTACCTCATCATGTTGGGCTTCGTCACGCTCGGCGTGGTCGTGAGCTTCACCTGGATCTGGATGCTCATGTTCGAGCGCATCTTCCTTTCCGGCCATTTCGCGCAGTCCGGAACAGGGAAGTGGATTCTTTACGCCAACAGCTGGTGGCTCGGCGTCTTCTTCATCCTCCAATACCTATGGAGTCTAGGGGTGATTGCCGGCATCCAGCGGGCCACCACCGCGGCGACTGTGAGTCAGTGGTACTTCCATCGCCTCGCTGTCCCCCAGCCTAGCAGCCAGCAAGTGGTGCGAGCTAGCTTCAACCACGCCGTCGGCGCCTTATTCGGGACGGTGTGCCTGAGCACTTTTCTCAGCCTGTTGGTTCGCCTGCCCTTAATCATCCTCCCGGGACGCATCAGCGGAATCCTCAACATGTGCGCCTACTGGGTGATGCCCACCAGCCTAGCGACCACAACCAACCCTCTTACCTTGACCTACGCCGCCATCCACTCCCAACCCCTCGGCATCGCATCCCGCGGCCTGGGACAGCTGAGCTTCGTCAGCCGCACCAATCCCTCCAACACCCTAGGTCCGCGCAACCTCAACCCCCGCGACCCACAAAGCAGCGCCCTCATCCCTTACCGTCTCGCCAAACTCCTCCTCCAGGCTACGAAATGGATCATGTCCGCCGCTCTAGGTTTCGGCGGCTGGGTTCGCACGGCGCGCAATTTGCGCATCGACGGCGCGAGCGGGGGCATCAAGGGCAGTGTGTATGCGTATGTGGTCGGGTTGATTGCTGGTACGATTGGTTTTGCTGTTCTCGGCGCTGTGGAGAATGTGGTTGGAGCGGTGCTGGATGCCGCGGTAATTTGCTGGGCTAGTGAGACGGGCGGTCGGGCAGAGGCGAGGTTTTGCAGGGAAGCGGGCGAGTTGTTTGGAGGGGAGGATGAGAGGCCTGGGTTGGGTAGAGAGGGGAGAGTGGGATTATAGATGGGACGACCTCGAGTAGATGTTTTTCATGCGTTGTACAGCGATGACTTGGGTGGGATTGGCATGGTGCCTCTAGGGATTGGGACATGGTCACGATTAGGATTGGCTTAGCGACGTTCATTGCAATGCAGTTATGATCGAACTCTCATCATCTGTTCACATGAATGCCTGAGGCGGATGTGGTTGGCTGCCTTGCACGAGCTTTCCCCACGTCACTCCTTCAAACTTCACGCGAGTCATCGCTTCAAAGTACCGACTCTCGTGCATCAACAATGCAGACACAAGCATGCCTCCCTCCCCGACCGCAACGGTGACATACAGGAAGAAAGATGGCACTCTCACCATCTCCGCCGATCACAAATACCTCTTCTTCACTCCCGCCGCGCCGCCAGCGGCCTCGCCCGCCGTGACGATCCCCGTCGCCGACATCACCAATCTCCAACAGACGCCTGAGAAGAGTGCGAAGGTTGCGTTGAAGGTTCTCGTCAAGAACGATGATTATACCTTCTACTTCACGAGCAAAGATGCCGCGAGGAAAGAGCAGGAGACGGTGACGGATACGTTGCGGAATCAAATCGCCGCCAACAAAGCGAGTAGTGCCGCTCAATTCATCCCTCCCACTCCTGAGGCGCGGCAGCAGCAAGATGCCGGGGACACGGGCCAGTCGGCTGCCATGGCTATCGCCAAAGCCGTTTCGTCAAAGACTGCCGACGACGAGTGGTACGACGACAACAAGCTCATCCACGACATCCAGCTCCAACGCTCCCTCCTCGACGCAAATAAGTCTCTGGCCGCCCGCTTCAACCAAGCGCTCAAAGAACGCCCCGAAAGCGTCTCCGTCTCGCAATTCACATCTCAATTCTGGTCTGCACGGTTACATCTCCTCCGCGCCCATGCTATCGAAAAGACGCAGCAGCATGGACAATACAATGTATTACCTGAAATCCGCTTCACACGGATCGCGGGCGAGAAGGAGGGCGATCCGGATATCAAGCAGCTCAACATTACCAAAGAACAGATCAACCTGCTCTTCAAACAATACCCCGTGGTGAAAGAGGCGTACAACGAAAATGTCCCCCCGCTCGACTCCAAACAATTCTGGACGCGATTCTTCAGCAGTCGCCTGTTGAAGAAATTGAAGGGCGAGAAGATCACCTCCCACGACCCTCCGGATTCCGTGCTGGACAAGTACGTCGATCGGAGGGAGGGTGCTGCAGGCCCGGCTGGCATCAGCCATATCCCGCATTTCATGGATTTGGAGGGCAACGAGCAGAATCACAGTCAGCGAAAGGGGAATCGGCCGGATCAAGATATGCGGCCGAGCTCATACGACAAAGTGCCGATTTTGCGCGTGCTCAATAATCTTTCGGAGAAGATGTTGGCGCAGGTCGCGCCGGAGGATGGCGAGGCGCATCAGCCGGTCGGGATGGATGAGGAGACGTTTGAGCAGTTGCGGTTGAGGGATTTGGCCATGGATGATGGGGATTATCGTGTTCGGTTGAATGTGAGGGAGCAGGCGAGGTTGGGAGGGAGTGGAGCGGAAGAGGATCTGAGTGCTGAAGCCAAGATGTATGCTCGACTTGATTCGGTGAAAGTACTGGATGGGTTGAGGATGGATCTCGACCCATCGCATTTGGGCGGCGACGGGAAAGCAAACCTGAAACTCGATCAAGCGATCGGGTATCACTCCGACGACGACTCGGACTCAGAAGAAGAAGACGACGAGACCTCACAACCCAACGGCCACCATACAACGAAGAAACGCCCCCAAATTGGCTCCCACCCCGCCCTCAAAGCAGCCACAACATCCATCCTCACCTCAATCCACCACCGCCGCCTCGCCGCCTCCTCCGACCCCACTGCCCTCCTAGGCCTAAGCCAAACAACCTTCGACCAGCTCACCATCACCCACAACACCACCACCGAATTCCTGCACTACTTCTGGTCCCTCTTCCTCTCCGGGGACGCGACTCGCACTTCCGAGCTGGCGCAGCTCGTAGCTACGCTTGACCGCTGTTTGGATCGCTTTGAGGCTGTGGCGGTCGCGGCGGAGGAGGAGAGGGGGAAGAAGGTGGAGGGGCTCAAGAGGCAGGTTGCGGAGTATGAGCGGCGGACGGGGAAGCGGAGACGGCTGGATTTGGAGGGGGTTGGTGGGGGGCAGGAGGTGGTGGAGAGGATGGTGAAGCCTACTGTTGAGGCGCTGAGATTGGCGGGTCGGGCGTATAAGAAGGCTTTGGAGGAGCAGATGGGGGAGGTTGGGCCTGTGGCTGCGGTGGGGTGATTGATTGTCAACCTCGACGAACTGCACCGGTGCTCTCCACATTAAGGGATGGAGCGAAACTAGACGCTCTATCGTCTACTACTTCTAGACATCTATCAAATCACGAGATTACGTTCGAACTCGATCAAACTGTAGCAAAGTCGTCGGAATCGCAGGCTCCATCGCAATGCCAATGCCCTCCACTTCTCCCTCCGCATTCATCCGACTCTGAGCGCGCGTGGCCTGTTTGGTGACATTCCCGGTGCCATACATCGTCACGAGGAAGCAATTCTCCGAAGTCCCGGTGAGAGGGTGCATCTCGTAAGTGCTGCTCGACGTACGGGTCTCGACTTCAAACAGCAAGCATCGTCGCCCGTGGCCATCTTCGCCAGGGCGTACGACGATGCGGCCATAAGCGGCATTGAAGTACTGGCCAGCATGGCGCTCCAGGTATCGTGGATCTGGCAGCTCCGTGTCGATAGCGGCCGCACCGGGGAAGAGTCGCGGCAACGCAGTGGCATAGCTCTCTTCTGCGTCCTGCAAGCCTTCTAGATAGCAAGCTTCGACTTTGGAATAAGCGTACCGCTCCTGCTCGGGGACGTCGAGACGAATGTCGACTAATTCGAACGCAAGGCCCTTCAGCGAAGCGCTCACATCGTGTGCATTGGCGAAGTACGTGACTCCCCACTGCAGGTTGGGAAGGATGACCACGAGGCTCCCAGCGCCTGCGAGGCCGCCGGAGTGCCAGCGCACCTCCTGCCCTCTATACATGGCGATGAACCAGCCCAGGCCATAACCCACGAGGCCCTCGCACGGCGGTTTGCGCGCCTGCTCGTGCACGAGTGTGCGCGCGGTCCAGAGGCTGTGCACTATGTCGTCGGTTAGTGGACTATCTATTATCCCGAGCAGGCCCTGCATCCACTTGATGTAGTCGCGCACGGTGGAGATTGCGTAGCCCGCGCCGGAGGTTACGGAGAGGTCGGGGTGCGGTTGCTCCTCGAGCTCTGCGGCTACGTCTGCGCCTGCATCTCGCGGTTTGCTCCACGCATAGCCCGTTGCTAGCGTATTTCCATCTGCAGTCCACGCTGCTTCGCTGTCGCCTGCGTACGTCGAGTCCATGCCCATAGGGTCCCAGAGCCATTCGCGCAGCACGGTGGCAAGAGGCTTGCCCGTCACGGTTTCGAGGGCGTGCGAAGCGGCGACGAACATGACGTTGCAATACTCGAACCGCGTTCTCAGGCTGTTTTGGAAGGGCAGATTGCGCAGGTTGCGCGTCAGCGCTTTTGTGGTCTTGATGTCGAAGCGTTCGCGGGATTGGTCGTGTCGCGGCAAGCCGGTGCGGTGGGATAGTGCGTCTTCCAGTGTGACTTCGTTGGTTCGCGCTGGGTCTGAGAGCTGGAAGTCGTCGGGGATTATGTGGGCTAGTGGAGTTCTCCATGTGATACGCTCGCGTTCTGGCTTTGCCTGGTTGGCGGCGGAGGAGATGTACAGTGCCCAGGCTGCGGAGAGGTGTGCTTTGGTGAGGGATGCGATATAATGTAAAGTCTTGTCGTCGACTGGGGTGCTTGAATCGACGTCCGCTAATCCGTAGCATTTGGTGTGAGTCGATGAGCGATCCGTGATGGCGAAGGAGATACTTAGGACGTGCCATTGCTTGAGCGTCTTGTCGACCAGCGCATCAAAGCGGTGGTCGAAGTATTGCGACTGCTCCGTCTTCGAGGCCATGGTTCTTGTTGAACAATAGATGCACCACCTTTCTTGTCGGCCCTCTTTTATTTGCGAGCAGCCGCGCCTTTATAGCGCACTACATCTCTCGCTTTATCATGCCTGCTGCCTTATGTCTGCTCGAATGGGCCGAGATCGGCAGCGAGTGACATTCCACTCCGTGGAAGGTTACATTGCGCCATGGCGTAGTCTTCTACAAGCAATCGTAGGGCGTTCGATCAAGGGCTATTTCCAGTGGGGCAATGGAGTCTTTCGTGTATGTCTTTGCGAGAAGGATGAAGTGTAGTTGCACAAACGGACAGAAGCACGTGGCGCTGTGCCGGCCTGAGGCCAACATTGCCAAGCCACAATTAACCTCACTTATCGCGACTTTCCCGCCTCCTTCCGACCCATTTAGCTTCCCATTCTGCCTGTTAATGCCTACTAATGTGCTCATACCATCTATCAAGAAGACGAACCGCGGCAGACCTAAGCACCAGACGGACGGAACGAGGCTTTGACGGTGTCAATGGACGACTCATGTAGCCGCCGACGTTCTGCTTGATCCGCACCTTTGCCAGAGCATTGCGTGCATCGTCAACAACATCACAACGCCAGCAGCATCCAGAATATCTACTCTCCTTCCCGGTCTTGGATGAACAGGATGGCCAACCACGCTTTGTCACCAGGGCTCGATTCTGCCAGTCCTAATCAGACTGGTGCTTTTACTCCGATGGACAGATCTCTACCGTCGAGGAAAGTCACATCAGAGACTCTTACGGACGCCTATGTCGCGTTCATCCTCTACTGCAACCCTAGCTTTGCTCTAGACGTCGACACCGAAACTCTGAGGAACAATTTCGAGAGCCCTCCGAGGAGCGACAACAAAGACTTCGAGACCTTCCGTCTGTACGAGTTGATTCGCCAGTTCGACGCCAAAGAAATCAAGACATGGGCCCAACTCGCGTTGGATCTAGGTGTTGAGGCTCCCGACACTGCCAAGGGTCAGTCCGTCCAGAAGGTCCAGCAATATACCGTGCGACTCAAACGCTGGATGCGAGCCATGCATGTCGATGCCTTCTTCGAGTACCTCCTCGGGAAAGAGCACTCTTACTTCACCGACGTGCCACCTCCAGCTGATCCGCATCCCCCGAATGGCCGAGATGGCGTGGTCGCGGAGGAAGATCTGGCAATCAGAGCATTGGATCCCTCGTTCCGCCCGAAACGAGGGCGACGACGTAATTCGGATGTTGAGCAGGATGGCGCGGCAGGGTCAGCGGTAGGGCATAAGCAAGCCCGGCTGATGGACCACGACTCCAACGCCCTCGTGGCCTCGCCACATCCAATGAACATGGGCCCGTACAGTGCACATCCAAGTAATTCGCACGATCCGTGGGCCGTGGCATCCGCCGTTACACCTCAGACTTTTGCACCTTGGGCGAACAGAAGCGCTGTGCCACACTCTGCTGCTACTTCATCGCAGTTTCGATGGCATGTCAACGATGCCTCTCAGAATCCACTGACGCCTCACCCAATGACTGCGCATCCCACCACCTACACGTCAGAGCGTTTCGATACCTCTCTGGAGAACGAGCCGAAGACTGCCATCACCCTCTCCACCCGCAAACGCAAAAAGCACGGACCGGCCGTCTCGAGCGCATGGCCCTCTGCTAACGGCCCCGGCGCGAAGCCTCGCGGGCGACCACCAGCGAGCCGGAATGTGCAAGATGGCCCATTCACAACCTTCCCGGCCGATCCGGTCAACGACAGGACGTTGGAGCCAGCGTTTACTGCGCCGGTAGCCTCGATGGACCCATGTCCTGCCTTTGATGAGCGGAGTCCCATGTCTGCAAATCGCCCAGTCTCCGCAACAGGGGAGACACTGAGCCGGCCTGGCCGACTCTCTCTTCAAGTCCCGCCCCACACGGGCGGGCCAGTGAGACTGGCAACACCACCACGTGTGCTGGTGAATGGGGAGACGAACGAGGTGAATGCAAACACCGGACGAGCAGCAGTTTCAAAGGAACGGAGAGAAGCCCCTACCGTCATCGATCGGGCGATTCCAGGCTTCTCGTATGAAGTGCTTAGACGCACCCTCACCAGCGTCTTGCTAAGGGCAGACCTGACGGGTCGACGAGCACGCCTAAGTGGTGACGAGGCTAAGCGCCTTGCGGACTCGGTGCTCGAACGCTTCAACATCCCTCGCACAGATACAGACGTCTCGCGAGACGACATCGCTCGGCTTACCGCCGCGTCGTGGTTAGGCATGGGCGAGCACCTCAATGTCCCTCTTGGACCAGCCGCTGGCCACAATCAGAAGATCACAGTGGCCCGCTTCCGCACGGACGACGAAGGTTACGAGCAACTCGTCTCCGCCGACGAAGATGACGCGACTGAGATCCGCAGCGTCTTCGACTTCTCCTGGACCGCTACTACAGGCGGATGCACGGGGACTTTCGAGCTCCGCGGCCTTTCACTAAGCCCTCCTGCCGCCCCACAAGGTCTAGACATCCACGACCAAGTGCTAGAGACATTTTCCGAGACGGCTAGGCGCATTGGAATGGACTCCTCCGCTGCGCAGCGCATGAGGTCACGGATGGAAGAGTCGGGAGTGTCGAAGCTGTCGGACCCTTCATCTATTGGCGCGGACGGCATTGATTGGAAGATTCGGGCGAAAGCGCTGGAGTTTGGGGCCAATATAGCAAAGGGCGAGTTCGAGAGGTTTAGGGATCGAGTGATTGAGCGATTACTGGATGATTTGTTGGGATTTAGTAACGACCGAATGTCTTGATATGAGGCATGCGGGGAATGAAGCTCGGCAACCCAAGCTTCACCTCGACCTCCATATGACACAATCACTCTTTCCGATCTCGCAAGACTTCAATGGCATCTCACTCCGCAGAACATGAATAAATCATCAATATTGGAAACACCCTGTAGCGCATCATCAACCAATCTTCCCACTCAAAAACTCCATCAAAATGTCCAGCTCTGCACTCCTCGCCCTCCCCCTCGAACTCCGCGACCTCATCTTCACCCACGCAACAAGCGAAGACCCCTACAACGCCCACGCCGTCCGCGACTCCACCGCCTACAGAATCAAACGCATCCCAATCGGCACCAGCGCCCGCTGGCAATGGCAAGCACACCACACCGCGCACCCCGCGATCCCCGAATACCTGTGCCTAAGCCTAACGAGTCGCCAACTGCAAGGCGAAATCGCGCGCTTCTTGACCCGCCCGGATCGCGTGCCGGACGAAGACGACTCCGCGAAACTGTCCATTTTGCTCGAGTACCCTAAACTCTTCACGACGTGGACGCGCTTGCCTCTGCCCCCGGATAAGACCACGACAATCGAAATCACGCTACGGGTAAACCACATCTTCCACCCAGCGTACATGTCCCACGGCGCGCAAAACGCCCTCCTCTCCGCCGTCTCCGACACCCTGAAAAAATACATCTACCACGGCCCGCACCTCTCCCGGCCCTCTGCTCTCCGCTCCCCCCTCCACCTCGAACTCGTGCGCATCACCGTCACCCCTCTGGGCGGCGAGCTGGACGAGAACTACGGGCACAGATTCGTGGAGCAGCAGATTGAGACGCTGTTTGTGAATTTCGTCGCGGTGTTGAAACGTTTTTGTCGCAGTGGGTTGCCTTGGGGGTGGATTGATGCTTTTGAGGTGAGGATGGAGGGGGGGAAGGAGGGGGGGTGGGAGAGGGTGCCGGTTACGTCGAATTTGTGGGACGAGGAGGATTTCATGCTGTTTCAGCATGGGGGGTATAATTGTGAGTGCATTCTCTTTCATTTTGTTCTGCTGATTTTGAGAGAGAAAGCTGACGTGCTGGATAGGGGATTCGGGGGATACGACGGTCGCTCAGCCTGATATGGTTGCTTGGTAGTCCCATGCACCAGAGGCATGATGTCCAGCTTTTCGACTGGTTGCAAAACGCTTTTGACGCCATCGAATACTAGCACAAACTATCCGTCCCAGGTAGACGCCTTATGAGTCCCCATACCGCTCCCAAAATCGCCGAATCTGCAACAGTCGACTGCGCCAAGAGCTCGGATATTCGCCCGGCTCCTCGCGATGCGCCCACATCAAAGACAAAATGCACTCGTTCAGCGCCAAGTTGCGCACGTAGTCCGGCAGCGAACTCCCACTGATAATCTTCTCTTCCGCCGCGGACGACACAGTCGGGTATCCCGCGCGCGTGAGCACCTGCACGGCGTAGAAACGATCCTTGCGATCCGTCTCCGTGCTTTGCGTGCGGGTTTGGATGAAGCGCGTGCGGGCCGAGGGGGTGATGACGATGTAGACGTAGTTGAATTGCGAGGGGAAGGTGTCCATAGCGAAGGGGGAGCCGGAATTATTGAACACGATGTTGACGTAGTCGTTGCCGATGTGCTTCTTCTTGTTAGCCGTGTTGAGGTGGACATCCTCGTTGTTCGGCATGAAGGTCGGCAGGTGGAAGACGAGCTCCGTCAGCGTGTTGTGCCAGACTATGGTGTGCTCGCCGTCGGCGTTGTCCATGCGGTCCAAGCCTTGGGTGTTGAAGGCGGCGTCTTTGAGGCGTGTAAGTGTTCCGAGGGAGAGGACGAATTCGTGGTAGTCTGGCGAGCCCATGCAGTTTTGCAGAATTTCGTCCTCTGTGCTTTGTCCTTCGCCAATGTAGATGACGCCTGCTTTGTGGGAGTCAAGAGCAGATGTGCGATCGAAGATCTGTATCGCTCTTTGGACTGCCGGATCTTCTGGTAGCGTGGCAGCGTGCGGAGATCCTAAGAGGGAAGTCGGAGCTGGCACCAGAATCTTGCCATACGTGCGTCCGTTGATGTCGTCCGGAAAGATGGAGATGAAGTTGTCTTCTGAGCCCTCCATCGTAGCTCTGACACTGGCCGAACGCCCGCTTGCTTCAATGACACGGCGCATCGTTCCCGTGGCACGGCGGACAGTCAGAATGGTCTTGCCAGTCCGCAATGCGGTCTCGGTCGTCAAAAGAAACAAACCAGAAAGGCGATCCAACACGGTAATCCTACCGTCAAGGTCTTCAAAGCGTGCTTGATCAGCATCACTGGCGACCCCTGACTCAGCAGCATCGACGCCGTCCATGAGATCGATGGTCACTAATCCTTGATCCTCAACGATTTCCTGCCCGCTCGCAGTCGTATACCGAAGACAGCTCGTAATGTACTCTTTGAGGACGCGATCGTGAGGCTTCAAAGCCAGGTACCAAAAGGCAATGGTATGATGTGCGAGCGCATACACGTACTGCGGCAGAGTGTCAGAGGACTCGGCACTCATGCTGCTCGTCTGATCGCTTGGGAGTGAAGACGGCCGCTCATCCAGAGCGCTCGTCCCTCGGATTGACTGCAGATAGCTTCCGCACACCCCGAAGATCTTTTTGAAGTCGTGCGTTTGGAAGTTGTGGAAGAGCTTGGATTGCCGGGACAGGCCAACCAAGAACAGCAACACGTGGATCGCAAGGTAGCGTTGCGTCACCAGTTTCGACATCTTATCAATGACATCGTCCATGTAGCTTGTCATGAGGTCCGGCAGCTCGTAGCAGCAAATGGTCAAAGCATGAATGCAAGACGTGCTGACGACGTAGTCCCGCGATCCGGCAATGTTGAGGAAGATTGACACCATCTCCAGAGTGTCATTCTTTGAGAGGAATTGATGATAGCTGAGGGCTGCTGTCAGGATGTGCAGCAAAGCTACGGTAACGTGCGACTTGGTGAGTCCGCTTTCTGGCGGAGGTTCGGGATAAGCGCCGGACTCGAGCAAGTTGCATGCCTTTCGCCGTACACTCAGGATAAAGTCTATCCTGGGATCGAACATGGTATGGTTGCCGAGGTGAGAAGGGAGCTTCTCTAGAAAGCAACGGTACACGTTCCATTCTACTTGGCCATCTAGAACGGTCAAGATGGCATCGTGCCAGGCGTGTAACGGAAGTGCGGACGCATCGTGCATCACTGCAGACACCGAAGTCGATTCGCTGTGCGCCGGGAACAATTTCGACAACAAGCCCGACTCCACATAAACAGAGCCTTCAACATCGGCACGAATTGAGAACATGGCTTCCGCTGCAGAGACGCAGCGGAGTGATGTCTTGCATAGAGCCTGGAAGAGCGTTTCGAGATCTTGCTGCAGTCCCGGGAAGCGCACTGTGTGTCTGAACATCATGACGAGCGCTTGGGCCAGCACGTCTGCAGCATCTTGCGTCGTCGCTGGATCGATCACCAAGTTCTGGACGGTCTGAACGAAGGTGGCAAAGTATCGATTTCCGGGACCACGCAGGAATATGTCCACAGCACTTCTGTCGATCAGTGTGCTGAGTTCCGAGGTGTACTGGCTGGATCGGCAAAGTTTTGTGAGTAGCCGTGAGAAGGCGTTTGGAGTATCTCTCGTTGGCAAGACCTCTTCCCACAACGGAAGCATTGCATCCGAAAGAGATGCCGGGAGCGGTAAGTTGAGGTCTATGGCCAAATTTGCCACTATCGGAAGATTCCTTTCTTCGAAGTGCGCCGCCCTTGACACTAAAGTCTTGACCAAAGTTTTCGCACCGGGGTCGTCCGGGGTCAGCGTGATGCAAGGCTCCAGCACCTCCAATAGAAGATCCCAGCTGCAGTGCGCGTCGAGATCCACGACGGCGCTTTCATGTAGAAGCAAAGTCTGCATCGTCTCCATGATCGCCACTCTGACGCTGTCGGTACCATTGACAACGGCGGGCCAAAGAGTATCCAGGAGCTGTGTCAAGGTGACAGATGGAATGGTAGAATGCTCGCTGTCATTGACCCCTTCGAAAAGGTTCTCGGAGACGATGAGAAGCGCGCCAGCGAGCTGAGCATAACCGATCCGGGACTCGAGTTGGGTTTCGTCTGCAGATTCGAAGATGTCGAGAAGGGCGACGACTACTTGATCGCCGAGGTGGGATTCAAGCAGGTGTAGCAACACGGTCCATGTCGTTTGAGCGAGCTTGTTTGTCTTGTGAGCCCGTGTAGCGGCATAGTAGACTTGCGATAAGAACTTCACTACATCTTTGAGACATTGCGAAGGCAGTAGTGAATACACTGTCACAGTGTCGACGAGGTTAACGGCGGCAGAGAGCTCTGCGGAGGTGGATGTTGTCGCGGCAGCATCAATGGTGCACTGCAAGAGCGCGACGATTTCTGATTCGGCAAGCCATTTTGCATTGTAGCGCACAATCACAGCTGCCTGCGTCAGCGCATCTTCCAGGTTGGAGAAGCCGTGCGACTTCTCGGTGGTGGGCTGCACTCCGGAGAATCTTCGAATAGCGGCCGTCAAGGTCTGGCCGATATCAACATCTAGTGGCTCGGGGCGTTGGATAATCTGTATGCTATCCGAATTCGCATTGGAGATGGCTATGCGATCATTGCTCGCGGCGGAAGAGGGCGACTTGCTGTGTAGCACAAGCGGCACAGAGTGCACGACGCTATCCGAACCGTCAACAGACGCAGATGAGGATAGGTAAAGCATGGCATGACGCCGCACATACCTTGACGTGTCGGTGGCACTCGAGGGGCGCGAGGCCGGTGCTTTTTCAGGCGACGTGTGTGGAGCATCTTTGGCATCCATCACCTGCAGCCTCCAAGCGGCGTTTCGATGACATACTGTGGCGGGAACCCAAGTGTATTGCGTCAAGAGTCGTCAGGCTTCGATGAAAGCAGAGGCAGGTGGATGTTTCTGGTCGCTTGAATTTGACGATGACGTTTCATCCGGCTCCGCACGTTCTGGGAGGTGACGAGGTGGAGGAGTGGAGAATCTGCGAGAATTCACGAGGTGTGGTTGATTCTACGGCGGGGCGTGCGCCACAAAGCATGGGAGGAACGCCACACAAGGCCCCGAACAGAACAGTCCTGGGTGCCTGGATAGAACGCAGCAAAGATTGATGCATGATGGTGCCTCCATCGAATGTCACGTTACTATATGCCCTTACTGCATTCTAATTCGATGCAACAATTGAAAGACCCAGGCCCCCGTGCCTCGAACAACGACTTCGCGTGGCGCAGCAATGATGCTCAAACGTCCATCAACGGATCTCCTCGGCCGTGCCTACGGGGAAACGGTAATTCCCACCGAGGCCTCGTTGGAGTATGGTCCAGAATTGGCTCCGTTAATGAGGCCATATCCACCGCCTGGTGCGAGCGCGTCGATTCCCAGAACACCCTGAGCCACAGGACCATCTGTAGCAGTTTTTTCAAAACTTCGCAGCATGTGGCACACCGACGCCTGGTCCGTACGTAAAGGGCGGTCCTGGATCGCTGATTCCTGCCGTCACGGAAGCAGTACCCGCGGACACGGTGGCAGAAGCGTTGCTGTACTGCGCTGTCCCATTGGCCTGGCCTCTGTGTGATCCGCCGTGGTTGCCGTGGGTGTAGTTTCCTAGTGGGCTGGAGATGCTGGTCACATATGACCAGTATGTGGCGTAATCGCCTTGAGCGTCTTCGGCGGTGCTGTGCGACTCAGCCTGGTAACGACATCGTGTCAGTTATCATCAAAGGGAGAGACTGCGTGTAAGGTCTTACGTAGGAGATCGTCACCGTGCCTAGCGGGCTCTTGAACGTGGTCGAGTTGGTGAAAGATGTCGATGTCAGTCTCACATTCGTGGCATTCGGGTTGACAATTGCTGCCGCCGAAGCCGCAATAGCGATGGCAGTGTTGTACCCAGAGCCACTAGCTGATCCCGCCGCCGAAGCAATCGAGCCCGGTCCGGAGTAGTTGCCCGTGCTACCCGCACCAGATATTGCTACGTTGCCGTTCGCGGAGCCATTGTTGGCCATCCCTTGCCCGTTTCCGCTGACCGAAAGCGGCGCTACAACAGCGCCGACAACGACTTGCGCGCCGCTGAGATCAGAGGGTGTGGTCCGAGCTGATGAAACAGCGGTGGTCGTTGACTCTTTGGCAGCGCGACGCTCGATGGCCAGTCCGTCATGCTCCTGCAGAGTCATGGCGGAGACGGTAATTGCGGATATGAAGACGAAGTAAAACGTGGAGAGCTTCATGGTGATGCGAGTTTCGGGGAAATGGAAGAAACGGAAGAAATGCAGTGGAACAAAAGTCAGAGGTATGAAGAGAAAGATACAGCGAGGGCGACTGTGAGAAGGGGAAATACGTGAAAATCGAGAGAAACACTGCTCAGCAAATAGTAGACTTACTGTGGTATGCTACGGCCGTACAGTCGGGAGGTCAGCCTCTGGAATCGTAGGAGTAATGGTGTGATGCTTGTGACAAGAGCCTAGATGCGAAGAAATTGAGCTTGTCCGCTGCCGTTCCCTGGAAGCTTCACGCGCTTAGGTCCACCGAAGCCGCGACTTGCCCTGTTTAGCATCAAGGGCGGCGGATGGTCATCAATCGCCTTTCAGAGAGTCTCGACACCACGACGCAAAGCAGTGGCACCGGCAGTGATGGTGGAAGCGATGAGGATTGAAAGCGTGTCGATAAGTTTCATCATTCCGAGAGGTAGCAATGAAGGAGACCAGGCAGGAACATATGCAGAAGGGGGAAATTGAAGAAAGACGGCACGAACCGGAGAGACTGCCGTAGCGCGGGAAGATGGACGCACTTACATACTCTAGACCTGCGAGCTTCGCGTTCTCGATGCTGCGATAAGAGAGGGTTGAGAGGGGAAGGAAAGCTTCATCGCGGTAAGCTAGAAAGCTCCGCGGAGGCCACATGCACAAGCTTGCTCAAAGCGGACACGGGCGAGCTTGGCGCATCAGGGTGCAATAATAATGCATACCTTAGGTACATGCTAAGTCGTCGGCGTCGATTGGTCTGCACGACACGCGTGGCAACCCCCGCATTTCGAGGGCCGCACTCTAGCTGCGGTTTAGAATTTCAAGATTGTTTATACTGCGTGCTAACTAGCTGTAGCCTTTCCAGGGAGGCATAAGTAGGGCTATCCTGTTACGCTATTTTCAATATCAATATTGTTCGGTGTAAAGGTCGCGTTGGTTAAGACGGGGCCCGGGCCGTACCCAAAGGCGACGCCGAAGCCGGTGTAATGGCTCGGGACGCCTACGCCGCTAGCAAGGCTGATTTCGACTCCATCGTCGTTGGGTGTCGCATCGAGGGCGACTGGCGGGTTGGGCTGTGGCGGGAGGGAGCTGGTGACATACGGCGGTCCTGGATCAGTAGCGGAGAGGTACACGGAAGCATTCCCAGCGGCCGCCTCTGCCGAAAACTTGCCGTACTCGGCACTCCCATATGCCTGGCCCTTGTGCCACCCACCGTGGTCGCCGTGTATCCAATTGTCACCGGCCCACGGCCCCGAGGAACTCGTCACATGTGCCCAGTATTCCGCGTGGTCGCCTTGAAGAGACGTGGCGATGCTCCGGCTTTCTGCGTAGGCAACTGTCACCAGCCCATGCGGCCCTTCGAATGTGGTCGCGTTGGCGTGAGAGATCGATGTAAGGGTGACATTGGTGGCGTTTGGGTTGGTGATTGCTGCCGCCGAGGCCGCATTAGCGCTGGCGTTGTAGAATCCCCACTGCCACTCCCCATGTTTGGTGTGGTTTCCAGCAGCAGCAGCAGACCCTGCTCCCGACGCTGCTGAGCCAGGCCCAGCGAAGTTCCCAGAGCCGCCGAAGCCATGCAGAGTCAGGTTGGACGCTGCACTGTTGTTGCCGCTGGAAGGGAAGCTGGTGGACCCGTCAACGTGCATCGGCGCTACGATAGCACCAACAGCACCTGCCGCGGCACTGAGCGGAGTTGTTTCGGCGGGGTGATAAGGGGCGGTCCGAGTGGAAGGCCAGGCGTGGCCGCCCGGATGGTTTGGGCGCGATCCCTCGCCATGATGGATGTGGTGCTCGCCGTGACGACGATCGATGCCCAACCCGTCCGCACCGCGCAGAGACACGGCACAGACGGTAGCCGCGGAAGCGACAAGAACAGAAAGAGTGGTGGTGAGCTTCATCTTGCTGAAGAGTGTCAAGATGAGAAAGGAGTGGAAGACGGGAAAGAGACAGCGGCAGAGATGAGGAAAGAGGAAGACGGCGCACACGCGCGAGACTGACCGTGGCACGAAAAGGGGGAGGCTTGATGATGCACATACTTAGCCTCCGCGGAGTAAAATGACCATCATGTTCACAATAATGTCGGGAGGGCTGGGTAGGTTCAACGGTGAGATGAGGTGAGGCCGCCCGAATGCATGCAACGATGTGGAGAAGCTCCCGGACGGACCTTCCCGCCACGCCTGCCCCGAAGCGGACACGCGTGCTCCCCGCGGTGAAGCTTGGGCAGCGAAGCATCAACGGGCGATCCATTGCCAACATCTTCCGCACCTCCATCTACGGCCCGGCGACCAGGCGGTGATGCGAAGGGAGGAGAGGAAGATGGGCAATGGCAGCAGACCGCTTCTCGCCCCTCGCGCCAGCTCACATTCGCGTGCTAGTCCTACCCATCGGACAGCTGCCACGCTCGAGATTCCTCGCCTTTGTACACCGGCTTCAGCACGAAGCAGCCGTTGTACCGTTGTCTGCTCTGCAGGACTATGTCAAGGACAATGAGCTGTTGCTCTCTCCGAACGCTTTCCCCCGCGGCTCCTTACTGTTCAACTACACGACATCCCTCCCCGGTCAGCAGCAGTTACAACTGTCTCCCTTCGAGCTCTACCGTGAGCCCTTGCTGGTGCTCGGCGTAAAAGATGGGCTGTTTGCTGGGCAAGATGGTGCTGAGGAAGAGCTGCGAGCGGTCACAGGGCAATTGCGAGAGCGACACCCGCGTGTCGTCCACAGGCAGATACTTGTCTGCCACGATGGCGACAATCTTCCTTCCACACCGCACCCTGATGTGATCTATATTCGCAATGAAGACGAGCAGCTGGGCACATCGCTGCAAATTGCAGCACGCGATTTCTCTGCGCGCTTCTTGGTCGAACTGAGCACGTATGCTCGTGCCTTGTCCGCTTCGCCAGGAGTGCAGACCCCCGGCCAGACCGCTCGCAGCCTTCAACGATCTTCTCTACAGAGGGAGCATGAGACGCCAACGCCCCCCATAAATGGTGCCAGTCCACCCCAAATCATTGAGCCCTCGAGCCCGGTCAAGTCTGTGGAAGACCTGCGTCCAAAGTCACCACCTCTCAACAGTGACATCCGAGCAACGACATCATTTGAGATTCTTGGGAACGGAGCTACAGCAACTCGACCCTCATTGCCAGAGAGCCGGCCGAGCTACAACAAGTCATCACACTCACGCCAATCCAGCCAAGACCGAGCTTCTATGCAGGGGTTTGGCTCGGTAGCATCCCAGGAAAAGCTCAAGAGTCGAGGCAAAGCTCGGGTGGGTCTCGTTATGGCCTCCATCCAGTTGCTGGCCGGTCAGTGGAATGAGGCTTTGCACATGTTCGTCGAACACACCACCAGAGCGCGCGCGCTATCCGATTCGCTATGGCATGCCAAAGGTCTGGAAGGAATCGTGGTTTGCTTGCTGCTTCATGTTTGGACTGGGCTGGATTTTACTATTCCTTCCATCTGCTATGCCCCCGAAAAGTCCACCTCTGGTCATGCTCAGCGTCCTTCGGTAAACTTGGCGGCAGATTTTCGAGTCTCTTCAGACGGACAGCCATCTTCATCGGCTCGGCTCGCTGCAACCCTGCCAGATCTACTCCGTTTGATTCTGGGCATGTACAGCTCTGGCGAAGGATCGCTCGAACTGCCCTATGTGTCGGTTGCTGAAGCCACCATTCGCTTCTCGAAGCTGCTCGCCATTCTGCACAATACCGGAGGTGTCTTCGCGCAAGAGACCTTTAGCAACAGTCTCCTTCCGTCAGATTCCGCACCTCACTCACCCCGGCAACCTCGTACTGCCAAGCTAGCCGGAGATGTTTTCAAAAGCACATTGTCCGACCTACTTTCCAACCTTCACCCTCAGAACGAGGAGAATCTCTCCGTGGCGGAGCAAGCGGGACTACTCTCGGGAATTTCCTCGGTGTATGCCATGGTCCACATGAATCGCAGAGAAGCAGTCGCAATCAAAGACATGTTGGCCAAGCTGACCGGGGCTCTAACGTCGGCGCGGAAACGAGGCGCTGCAGAGATGGGTATCCACCCTGCCGCCAGTCTATCAGTCGATGCTGGCGCCCACAGTCTATTTTCAGGCTCAGAAGGAAGCGACGGGCTTGAGCAGATGATGTCCGATTTTGCCGCGATATACGGAGTGTCGATGGACTCTACGCGTGTGTCTGAGCCAACAGTGTACGATGCGTTATATTTCGGCAACGAAGCGCTCAAATTGGACATCATGCGAGCGCTGGCGGCCTTTTGCGAAGCAGCCCCTTACCCACATGCTGTGCTACGAGTGAATGCATCGATGCTGAGAGTGTTTGGGCCCAATGGCGCCGTCGATGCTGATCCAGCCGGAAAACCCACCATTCTGAGCAAGGACGAACAAGCCAGATGCATCACTGCCATCACCCGGACGGTCGGCATGTCGAGAAGTCTGGGCATCAAGGATCTCGAAGCGGATTATTGGGATGATTTTCTCATTCGCGATGTCGAATTCCTGCCAGCAGCGCCCGATCAGGGGGTCGTCGATCTAACTAAGGTAAAGATTGGCGGAGCTATCGCAGGCTCTGCCACCAACCCTCTTCTGTACGACCCAAATGCGAGCCGTCCCACCACCGCGGACAAGGCGCGCACAACGCAGATCCTTGTTCGGGAGGAGATGTCGGTCTGTCGTATCACCCTTCAGAATCCCTACGATGTGTCCGTGGATGTGGAATCGATCGAGCTCATCACCGACGGCGTGGAGCTGCAGACAACTCATGCGCGCTTCACGTTGAGCCCCATGGGCATCCAGCGCATCAATCTGTCTGTCTCGCCAGCCCATACTGGGCTATGCAAGATTACCGGCTGTCAAGTCAAAATACAAGCGTGCCGCAAGCGGGCCTTTTCGATCATCAGTAAGCCCTGGAAAGCGTCGGCTCCGGCACTGAACAAAGAGTTTGGCGCGCTCAGCGTTTCGAAGGACAGACAGAAGACCAGTGCAGCCGAGCCTGTCGAGGTTCTGCTTCATGTGATTGAACCGCAGCCAACGATAATTCTCGACACGTCTTCCATTCACGACTCCCGCCTCATGCTCCTCAATGGCGAGGTTTGCGAAGTGCACCTTACCCTGCGCAACACTTCGGACGTCCCCGCGAACATCTTCAAGATAGTAAGCAGCCACGATGCCGTCCAACTGCAAGAGATAGCCATCGAAGAGGACTCCAGCCAGACTTCGGAATCAACAGAGACCACCCTCATCCCGCCCGGGGAAACGGTCACCTTCACCTTCGACGCCACAGGCGTAGACAACGTGTCCCAAGTCCAACTCCTCTTCTCCTACACCAGCACTACGAGCACCGCCACCACCGACCCCGAACCACCCACCCAATACGCCCGCCTCCTCACAATCCCCATCCACCTAACCGTCAACTCCGCCCTGCAGGTCCAACGCCTCGACGCCCTGCCCCTCGACATCGCCGAAAACGGCGAGTACTCCTTCGTCCTCGCCTTCGACGTCACCAACATCTGGGCCAAAGCCCTCTTCTACAGCTGCTTCGTCGCCGACCTCAAGCTCAAATCCGCCGAGCCCCGCCGCTGCCACAACCACGAAGGCGTGCTGGCGCCGGGCCAGATTCAGCGGGTTTTCATGCCTGTTGCGCGCTCCATGTTCCTTACGCAGGAGGATTTGGAGCCTGTCAGTGTGCGTGCTGCGTTGCTTAAACGGCTGCAGGTGTATTGGGAGGTGGAAGGGGAGGAGCGCACGGGGTGGGTGAACCTGTCGAATCTAACCATGGGCGACGAAGTCCGCGACGTCGTAATCGGAGCAGCAATAAGTCTCAGCCTCGAACTCCTCCCCTCTACCAACGAGCCCGCCGACAACAACGACGACGATGCCAAAAGCGAAGCAACAGACGCCACAACATCAACCATCACCCCCACGACGTCCAAAGCCCGCGCAAAAACAGGCACCTTCATCACCCTGCGCGCCCACCTGTACAACCGCGCCCCGCGCAGCACAGCCCTCATCGTCCACCTTATCCCGCACTCCCTTCTCTCCTCCGACGCGCAGCACATGCAGCGCCGCATTGCCGTCGCCGGCGCGCAACATCGTCTCGTCCCGCCTGTGGCCGAGGGCACAGAGCACCATGTGGATTTCGATTTTTGCCCGCTGCTGAGTGGGGTTGTGGAGTTGGAGGTTGTGGTTAAGGGGGCGGTGGGGAGGGGGAAGGAGGCGGAGTTGGGGCAGTTGTGGACTGCGCATAAGAAGTTGAGGTTGAGGGTTGTTTAGACGAGCGTATGTGCTGCTGGTTCATGATGAGTGATCTTGGAGATGGCGCGATGAGATGAGTATGATACGACGGACATGAATTGGGCACCTTGCATCCTTCCATGCGTGCGTGCGTGCCGACAAAAGGGGGTATATAGCCTATAGAATCATTCAAATAAGACACGAAACATCCACTCCGTCTCCCCGAACAAGGCGACAAGTCTTGCGCACTATTAGTTCCCCAGCCCAGCAGCATGAGGCCCAACCAGCCTCCTCTGCCTTCCAATCCAACTCTTAGGCTCCTGCCTCCTCCGCCCCAGCGAAACGCCATTATCCTGAATGCGCGCAGACAAATCAAACCACGCCGTAGCCATGAGATGGTTCTCGCGTCGCAGCGCAGCGAGATCTTGCGGGAGTGCCGGTGCCGCAGGAGCCTCTGCAGCCGCCGTCATCTGCTTGGCTGCTGTCGACGCCTCGAGCTCTTTTCGCAGTTGGGCGATCGTCCGCTCGTGTTCTTCGACTTGCGCCGAGGCTGTTCGTTGGTCTTCGAGGCTTTTGGAGGAGTCGAGGCGTTGTTGGTCTTCGAGCGTAGCGGCGCGGTCGGACGCTTGTTTGAGGCGGAGATCGGCAGTTTCGAGTTGTTGTTGGAGGAGGGTCACTTTCTCTGCTAAGTGTTTTGTGTTTTCATTGTTCGCCGTGGTTGGAGTCGCAGCGGCAGAGTCCGACGACGGGGGCTTGTCGTTGGATTCCACGTCTGCAATCGTCTGCTCGTCGGAATCGGGGTCTTTCAGCTTGCCTCTCAGCCCCTGGATGGTCTCGTGATCGCGTTCGTGCCGCTCGCGTGCTTCCTGCAGTTTCTGCGCCAACATCCTCGCGTCATACTCTGCGTGTCTGCGGATGGTGGTGAGCTCATTGATCTGATACTCCTGATTCCTGATCAGCCCCTGCTTCTCAATAATCTCCTTTTCCAACGCCGCTTGAATCTCCTTCAGCCGATCCACGCCCTCCACCCGCTCATTGGCGTGCTTGATCTCGTCTCGCAGCGATGCATTCGCCGTCTCCTGTTCCTGCAGCGTCTGGATCTTCTTCTTGAGATTTTCATTCGCTTTGATGCGCTGCGTCAAATCGGCGTTGTCGGCTTTGAGAAGCTGCACTTCGTCCCGCAGCGTCTGCGTGCCTTCACCGTCGTCTCTGTACCGTTGGATATCGCGCTCAAAGTTCTCCATTGTGGATTTCGAGGACTGCAGTTGGTCTTCGAGGTCCTCGATGTATGCGCGATCGTTGTCTGCTTGCCGCTGGAGCTTTTTGAATGCGTCATCGCCTGCGGTTTTCCGGCCTTTGCTCTCGATTTCGTCGCGGTAGGCGTTGAATGCTTCTTGTAGACTCTCCTTCTCGCCGCGTAGTTCTTGCAGCTGGCGGAGTACCTCGCCATGCGTAGCCTCCATCTTGTCAATGGTAGCCTGCGCTTTGAGTAATTCCTCCTCTCGCTGTAGCAGTGGATCCTGGTATGCGGGTGCAATCTTCGACGCACCGTTCGTCTTCGGCTGGGCTTGCGCACCCTCGGCGTCAATCCGGTCCCTCACATCCCCACGACTCGAAGGCCGAGACTCCAAATCATCCTCCTCTTCCCCCTCCTCCCCATCACTCTCCTCCATAGCCCGCAACTCGTGCGCGATAACCATAGCAGTCCCCCTCCCCAACCCCATCAACCTCTGCGCCATCCTCTGATTCGACTCCGGCTCCGCCATCGCGGCGCGAATAATCCCCAGAATCAACTTCTCCAAATCCCCCACCGAGCCCTCCGCCGCAATAGCCTGCACATCCGGGACCGCGACCGCAGCCACCCCGCCCACATGTTCTCCCAACTCATTGCATACGTCCCGGTAGTAGAGCGCCACGGCCTTCTCGATGTGCTTCAGGTTCTGCCATTTGCGCGTCCAGTCGCTGGAGGGGGTGACGTGGGGTTCGGGCAGGGAGCCGGTGAAGTAGGACGGGTCGATGGATTGCAGGATGGACCAGAGGGTGAGGCCGTCGGAGAGGGCTGCTAGGTTGTGTGCGGGTGGGATGTTGGGGAAGGATTGCACCCATTGCAGGAGGCAGGTGGAGAGTGAGGCGGCGTCGTCGTCTTTGTCTTCCATTTTTGCCCGTTGTTGGCTTGCGCATGGGAGGGGCGTGGTTCGCGACGATCCTCCCTGCGAGTATGGGGGTGTTTCATCTCGTTTGATTCATGTTTATGGCCGTAATAGTATCGCGTTCATGGCAGGCATTGGCTTTCCCGACATCGTGTCGTTCGCGCGTCGTGACAGAAGTGCTGTGCGTCAAGTCAAAAGTCGAGGTATCGATATATCTACCACCATGTCTTCGAAGAGATGCAGACGCAAGGCACGCCGCTGAGCCGTCTTTCTACGCCACAGAATAGATCATCTGATGCTGCTATTGAGCCATACAGTCTGCTCAAGCCCACTGGAGCATTCCCAGAAGCTTCAAGGCAAGGCGCAATCAACATCGCAGGCTCCATCAATTCAACATCTGTATATATCTCCCTCTCACCGCAATCATGCCACCTCGGCCCAAAAAGAATCGTCACAATCGTACCCGCGTCACAAATGCTATGCTACAATCAAAGAACTTTCCGTCCCCTCATTCACTCATGCTCGCTTCCAATGAAGGTCATGTCTCATCCACACGTCTCATGTCAAAAAGCAAAATGCGCGTAAGAAGCAAGAAGCAACGAATGAATAGCAATGCCAGTAATATCAAATCAAAAGAGCGCTGTGTTTCTTCGTCCCCTCCTTCTCCCATCGCAACTCACCTCCTCGCACCCTCAGGCAACGTAACAACCGGCGGCAACGTAATCCTCCCTCCCTCCCGCTGCGCCGACAAAGGCGGCGGAGGCGAAGACGAATGCGGCCCCGCCAAATCGCCCAGAGGAGGCAGCGTCGCGCGACTGCTAGGTCGAGGCGGAGGCGCGTGCGCATAAGAAGGATGATGGCTAACCATCGACACCGACGGCACCGAGCGCGCGCTGTCCGCGCGCCGCCGCGGATGTTGCGAGTAAGGGGGCGATGAGCCGTCTCCGCTTCCTGCGCTCATGAGCATGCCGTTTGGCATTCCGCTGCCGGCGCTGCTGCGGGAGTCGACGGGCGAGATGGGCTGGGAGGCGTGCATGATGGGAATGTGCGGGAGACTGTGGCTGTGGGAGTGGCTCGAGACGCGCTGCATGCCGTGCATGGGAGGGTAGGAGATGTGGGGTTGGTGGTGCTGGTGGTGCTGCTGCTGCTGCTGCGCGAGGCGGGCCGCGGCGGCCGTCATGGAGGTCGGGGAGATGCTTTCGGCGCGTTCGGAGGAGGGGTCGCTGTGCTCGCCGCGCCCACCTATGCTGCCGTCGATGGAGGGCGCGCTGCCGTGGCCGCCTCCGCCGCCGCCGCCGAGGTGGAAGACGGGCACGTTGGCGCGCTGCGCCATTTCGATGTCGCCGATTTGCCAGTGCATGGCTTCCGCTGCGCGCCACGGGATTTGCATCTCCTTTGCAATCTTCTCCCACATGTCTTTTTTGAATCTATCGGACGCGTTAGCAGGTGCGGAAACGATAAGAGTCATTTGGAAGGCGCAAAGACGCGTCGTACCTTTCATACAGCCGCGCCAACTTGTTCTTCTTCTCCTCGTCCCATTCCGATCGTCGTTCGAGGTAGTTCTGGAATCGCAGACGACAACTAATCGCGCTTCGACCGGGCAGTTGATGGGAGATGTCTTCCCACTTATTCCCCTCGAGTCGGAGGCGAATAATCTCGGCGTCTTCCCCGGCCGTCCATTTCGATTGCTTCTTCTTGGCAGGCGGCTCCGATGGGTGAGGTTGTGCGGGTGCAAGTCGTTTGTTGCTTGCCCCTCCCACTGCTAACGGGTACTGGACGGGGTGGGAATGCCTGGGATCCGAGGTGGCGTGGCCGGGGAATGGAGGGTATCCGTTGACGAGCGGGTAGTGAGAGTGCATCACCGCGTACGGGGGCGGATATGCTGCCGTCGGCATCTTTGCGTGACTGCGAGGGACGTGCTGTTGCTGTGACGCCTCCGGTGCGGCTGGTGCAGACGTTGAAACCGTCGTTCCGGACGATGTACGGATCGAGCGCGTGGTGCCGTCGCCGCCTCTGCTGCTGGTCGATGTCCTCGATGCGACGCTGACATTGCCGGGTGACCTTGGTCGCGGTGGTCGCTCGACCAGCGAGTTGATATCCACCTTGACGGTTGTGCTGGCACTGCGACCAGCCGACCGTGTTGGAAGGGCCAGATGGATATGCAATGTACTCGGGATCGTTATGCGGCCGTGTGCTACTCCAACGAGTCGTTGAAAATATGCAACTTGTCGACGAACGCCTCCGTCTGTTGGAAATCCTCTGCAGACGTCGTTGATCGACGGTAAAGTTGGAAGAGAGCAGTCGACGTCGAGATCATCGAACGGATTTTACACCCGCCACGCCCGGCGCTCGCAGTCTCGATGCAAGAGAGTCTCCACCCAAGATATGCAATGCAATGCAGGCTTCGTCAATCGTTTAGCCTCGTGATGTAAACCCCACCCCCGAGGGATCTACCATGCAGCAGTGGGCAATGCAGGCGCCTCCGTCACACGGGTGGTGTGTCAAGAATGCTGGGACCGCGGCCGGGGCGCGGGGACTATGCGGCGGCGGTGCTGCGTCGGCAGACAATAACCACGCCTCTCGAGTGGCGGTGGAGCGACGAATGCATGTGCCTTGACGTAACACGGGCAGCGCCAAGCGAGATGTGCACTGCGGATGGGAAGATCTCTCCGCCGCGAGAGCCGAGACACGACGGCAGGAAAGTGAGGGAAGGATTGCGAGATCAACAAGTATGGGAGCCGGGGCTGCAGCGGCGAGGTGTATCCAACGGTACGCTGGGGAAGAACATGCATGCATGCAAGTGAAGGATCAGGCGGGCGATGCAGGACATGCGGCAGGGCACGCACACGCGCCCTTCCCGAAGAGCGTTCACGGCTTGCTCGACGGACCAATGACACGGGGCAAAGGGGGGAAGAGAGATAGTCGAGGGGCGGCGAATTAGTGCTGGCCAAGCAAGGGAGGCGGCTGGGGGTGGGGAGCAGTAGAGGGATTGGAAGCGCGCCGCTGGGCAGGCTATATGTGACGGGCAGATTAGTCCAATGGAACAGCAGGAGGCGATGGCGCCAACGATGGTGGAGGGGGGCGGAAGCTTCGGACGATGGGTGGATGATGGGGTGCCTAGCTTGGACGGCGAGATGGTGGGTGGGTGGGTGAGATGTCGAATGGAGGAATCGCACAAACCACTGGCCAAGCATGGTTCGCAGGGATGCCTTGCGCGCATGGCCCGGCCCATTTAGCCCGATGGCAAACAGGCGCGAGGAGGATGGAGGGGGACGGGAGGCTGATAAGATGACGAGTGATGGTTCGTGATGCAGGCTAGAGCGCGCGCCCGGCGTGGCAACGGGAGGTGCAGCAGGTCGAGCTTGGGAAGGGTCGGTAGGTACATGCACGCGCGGAGAGGCGAGGAGAGAACGAGTGGAGGGAGAGTGGGCGGGAGTGGAGCAGAGATGTCGAGGTTCTTGGAGAGCAATCATCGCGCGGCGCGGGCCATGCTGCAGGTGTGTGGAGCAGAGGGGCACACCCCGACAAGCACACGATGGTCGCTCATCGAATCGACCAATTGGAGAGGGGAGAGGCGAGGCGGTGAACGAGAGCTGCGTTGGCACCGTCCGTCGCCGTCCTGCTCTGCACGCACCTTCCATTCAAGTCCGTTCGGGCGTACACATTGTCCATCTCGTAACACCCGTGTCAGAGAGGGCGCAGAAGAATGGTTGCCTGGCGAGTCGTGCGCCGCCCTCGCGTGAGAACTACCGGGCGCAGTAAGCAGCGAAGATGCGTGATCGAGCGGAACGATGGCTGACGGTGGCTCGCTTTTGATAGCTGCATGGAATGTTCATGCACAGGCGTTCGCTTGTCAGCCAACTGCCCGGCCCTTCCTTTCCAGAACAAGGCCGCGCGCACAGATCGGGAGTTCGCTTGGGAGCGAAGCATTGCATGCATTTGCATGGCATGCTGGCCCGTTGCGTGCATTAGTGACGCCCCGCCCTACCAACCTTCAACCTCCGCCCAAACGACAGCACAGTCAATCGGGGGCTGGGGCTGGGGCTGGGATGTGCAGAGTATGGATCGTTGACCTGTTCATTATTATGATTTCCTCTGTGCCGTCCCGTCGGCATCATCCCGTTCCAGGCGGTGAAGGGGGTACACGTTGTCGATCTGGCGACCGCTAGACTGACGTCTTGCTCACGTGCCGCCCCATGTGGTTGACATGCATGTGAAATGTCTCTCACCTTCGTCCATCAATCTTGTGAACACAGATCTGTGCGACGAATGACATTCCAATTCGGCCAATTCGCATCCTCATTCGTCGCCACTAGAAATCTCTCTCGTAACCCTTCGCACGTGCAAAGTTTCCAATTCCCACTCACCACTCGCCTGCCAAACCAGGCAATTACAAACCCTAAAATCATCCACATCCATTCATCACATCATCAGCCCAGGGACCTTCCTCATCCGGTCCCAAACATCACCACCTGCAATCCTTCCCACCGAACCCCAAGCCCAAATAATGGCCGCTACCGCCGCCGACATCCCCCTCCAAATCTCCTCGGACAACTCCTCCTCCGAGCGCCGCATCTCGCCCGCATGGTCCATCTCGCAGTTCAAGGCTCGTCTGGAGCCCATCACTGGCGTTCCCGCCAGCTGTCAGCGATTGAGTCTCAAGCTTGCTTCGCAGCGCCCCTTGCCCATCGAGGCGGCGGATGAGGATGCCACGCTCCTGGCACGCTGGCCTCTGCAGGCTTATGCGGAAGTCGTGGTAGGTTGACGATGAATTTCATTCCATTTCTATCGCAATGGGCCATGGCCTTGTTATCTCACCACGGCAAAGCTAGCCAGCCTACCAGCCGTGCCCACCAAAAGCATTTTCTTTCCATTACCATATCTCATTCAGAGAAATTCCAAACCACCAAGCACCCGGAACCTGAACTTTTCTAACCCACCCCCAGGTAACAGACACCCGCCCCCCCGGCCTCCGACCAAACTACACCGACGTCTCCGCAGTCCCCAAATACGAACTCCCTCCAGACGCCTACGAAGCCCGCACCGACAGCGTACTCGCATGGAAAAAAGCAAACCACCTAGGCCGCTTCGACCCCGCCGCGCCCAGCATCGAAGAGCAAAAAGCCGCCGCCTCCTACCGCGAAGTGGCGGAGCGACATATCACACTCAACGCGCGCTGTCGTTTACTCCCGGACTCCGATTCGCGACGCGGGACGGTGAGGTTTGTGGGTGATGTGGATGAGATTCCTGGGGTGGGGGCGTGGATTGGGGTGGAGCTTGATGAGCCTACGGGGAAGAACGATGGGAGTGTCAAGGGGACGAGGTATTTTGAGTGTAGGGGGAATTGCGGGGTGTTTGTCCGGCCGGAGAGGGTGGAGGTGGGGGAGTTTGAGGTCTTGGATGAGTTGGGCGAGGATGAGGAGTTTTGAAGAAGGGAGCACGCCGATCGTGCACGAACAGTCAAGAAAGAAGAAAGGTCAATTTCTCACGGGTATCCCGCAAACGCCTTTTCGTTTTCCAAAAATCAACCCTTCGTCAACGTACACAGGCCGACGACGCCGTTCAGCACACTCATCCAAATCAAGCGCTTACTACTGCGCCGCGCCAGCAAACGCCTCCAACTCGCATCCCTGCGCAAAGAAGACCTTTGCAGTCGTCGTCTTCGACTCATTCGTAATGGCGTAATTGTTGCCTGCCACAGAAATCTCTCGTCAGCAACAAGGACAATACAAAGTAACACCAAAAAACACAAAGAAAAGCACACAAGCCGCCATATCCAGATCCAGCTCGGCCCTGGCCTGCAAGTGTGGTGACACGGCGTTGGCACATGCCAGAGAAAGGTCCCGATTGTTCCGTCCGGAGTCACGGGTTTGGTGCTTTCCGGCCCCGGATGAGGTGGTTGGCGCGTTACACGGTGCGACCTTCCCCCTGCTGCTTTTGCTTTGCAGCAGGTGGACGGGTGCGCGCGTGGATGCGTTTATTCGAACGCCTGGTCGCACAATGACACTGCTCGCACACCACTTCGCGCTGACCGCCGAGGCGCTTCCGTCATCCACTCGTCGGATGCAAGTGCTGCAGAAATGGGCATCGATCGAGGCAGAGGCAGAGCTAGTCCAGAGGGGCCAGAAACGCAAGAAGAAGCAAAAGAAGCAAAAAGCACTCACCTCTAGGCACCACCCAAACCCCGCCCTTGGCAATGGCAAACTGCGTCACGTCCTTGACGCCCGCCGCGCCAATCTCCACCATCACCTTGCCCGCGTGCACGAAGAAGCACATGTGCATCTTGCGGCTGTTCTTGACGCGCTTCGTCGCTTCGGGCGGCAGCTCCACCAGCCCCGCGCCGAAGAAGGGCAGCGTCATGATTTTCGCGTAGCGGAAGTCCGAGTTGGCCACGTCGCGCGTGACAATGGAGGAGGAGGCGAAGGCGAGGTCTGTGAGGGTTAGCAAAAGCATTGGTGGGGCGATAGTAGGCGACACATTACCTTCTCGTATCAGATCTTCCGCATTGCCCATTTGAGTCTCCGTATCCCAGTTTGCAACGAAGCCTGCGATGACGCCCACTTCGTCCTCCCATTCATCAGCCATCACCGACTCCGCATCGCTGTTCTCCTCCTCGATATCGTCCAGTTTGCCTGCCCGCTTCTTCTTCTTCTTCGGTACTTTTCGCTTGGGTTTCGACACCTCTTCTGCACGCACGATGCCTTCAATCGTCCCGCGGTTCCAGATGCGCGTTTCGTTCGCCCAGTACTTCAACGGCTGGATCAAGTTTCGGCCGAAGCGTGACACGCGCTCACCTGCGTCTTCGAAGGGAGTGGTGGCGCGCAGGTGGAAGTTGTTAACGGGTCCAGTGCTGCCCTGCCGGCTGCCTGCGCGGAGTTTCGAGGGAGACTCGTGGATTCTGACTGACTGACTTTGAGCTCGCACACCGCGGTTGGCGTCTTTATCTTTGAGGATCTTGCCCTTCTTTCCTTTGCCTTTGGTGCCCTTCGCGAGAGCGGCTTCGAGGGTGGGGGCAGGTTCGTACATGTCGCCGCCGGCGAGCAGTGCTGGATCTATCGTCTCGTCTTCGCCGTTTCGGTGGTGAATGGTGACTTGCTTCGCCTGCTTGCCACGCTGCTTCTTGCTCGCCGGTGCCGAGTCGTCCAACCGCGAGTCAAAAGCACTTTGCTCATGTTCTACTTCGTCATTCTCTAGCACAGATCGATCTCGTTTCCCACTCGAGCCTGATCGGGGCATGCTTGGGCTGTCCATGTGTTGATCGTGGTCAATGGACTCATCTTGCATCGGAGCTTCCGTCGGAGGTTCTAGCGCCGCTCCAGCCTGTGCTTCATCGAGTTCAACGTCCTGCTCATCGGGCAGCGCGACGTAGTGATCATCCTCATCCAGTGGCATCGGCGCATCGTCCACCAATTGTACATCGTTCTCCTCGGCCACATCGTCTTCAACCTCAACAATCGATTGCGCAGCAGGCCGCGAAGGTGAGGAGGGTAGATCTTGCGGCGCAGTGGATCGCCTCAACGCATGCCTCGGCTTGAACGGACTCGGTTTCTCGATACTCTGATGCACGTTATCCGCGCTGAAATCAAGCATGCGATTCGTGGGAGGTTGAGTGCGCGGTCGCGTAGGGCTGTCCTCCCGCTCCTCGCGCTCCGCGGGTCGTTGGGTGTATGGTCTGCCGGTAGACATGCGCTTGGGCGATCCAATGTTCGTGTGTTTGGGAGTAGAGGCTCGTGGAGGTGGTAGACGCGGCGTTTTCCGCGCTATGAGGGTCATGTCGACTTCGGGGCCGGAGCCTGGAGAATGTGGTGTTAGTGATGGGCGCATTGCGTCGTAGCCTGGTGATTCACGAGGCATCGCGCGCGATTTCACGCGTTTCACCCGATCGCACTCACTCTCTTGCATCAAAACATCACCATCGTCACTCCCCTCGTCCACTTTACGAACGGGCGAGGAGAAGATGTGCTCCATCGGCTCGAGCCCATTCTCATCGCGAATCCCCTTGTCTTCGAGCGTGATGCCGGTTTTTCTATGTTTCTCATCAGTCTCCTGTCTTGTACACTCGCGCATATCTCCAATCGCCTACCGTCCAACCTTGCCAATCTCGAAATACTGGTTCCCCTTCTTCTGCGGTCGCCCAGGCGTGCCGCCTCTCGTCTTCCTCTTCTCCGCCAGCGCCATTCCGCGCGGCGGGCGGTTCTCCTTGTCCAGCTCCAGTTTGGCGGTGTGTACGCGACGCCGATGGTGAGAAAGTGACGCAGCGATCGGCGTGGGACGTTTCGTGGAATTAATGCGACAGGAGTGGTGTGGTGGGAAGAGCAGTGAAGTGCATGTGTTGCTTGGTGGGGAGTCTTTGTTTACCCCCGATCGAGCTAGTGCGACGCGGCCGATCCCGACCTTGAACCCCAGCCCGCTGACATAAGTCGTGAACTGCATCTCATTGGCGGGTGCTATTTACTCCCGATGCCATTCCGCCCTCTTCCACATCACCCTCTTGCAATCGATCACACGACACCAGGATGTCTGACTACGACAAGCCCGGCGCGCTGCGCATGGGCCACATCTCCCAGCTTCTACTCTGTCTGTACGGCGCCCGTTTCTCCTACGTTGCAATCCGGAACCTGCGCATGTATGAGGAGAGCACGAAAAAGGCCGCGAAATGGTCAAAGGTGGTTGAGGATCACTTGTTCTTGACACGGACAACTCAAGCGACTGCAGCTCTCACTGTACGTCTTGTACCCTTCTCTCTGCCTTCTGTACACCTAGCTAACCTATGACCCTCCAGCTCATCGCATCCGGCGTCTCGGCGATAGTCATGATCGCCATACCTCAATACATCCCACTCGGGCTCCAGCTTTCCATCTCGCCCCTCATGCTTGTCGGCATACTCTTCGCCCGCAACCATGTCCGAAAGTACTGGGCGCCGTACAAGAACAGCAAAGGGAAAGATGTGTCGACCCGCGTCCCGCTGCCGCTGATGGAGGAGTATAACGAGGCGGAAGAGATGACGGAGCGGCTGTTGGAGGTGCTGTCGTATTTGGAGTATAGCTGGTTGGCGACGAGTGTCTGCTTGGGCATCGGATTCAGATATTGATTGGCGATGCATGCGTGGTGGAGGCCGTTGCGGGTCTTGCGGCGGGGGGTTCTTCGTGGTATGGCCTGTTCCCGACCAGAGACGTGAATGTCCGGTTCGAAGCGCACCTGTCAGGCTCAACCTCAAAACACTGTCTCGTCCACCCGTCTGCCAAACCACGTCACCAGCTCATCCTCTTTCTCTTCCTCGGCCCCAAACATGAATCCCGTCAACTTCATGTTATCCCCCGCATCGTGTTCCTCCGGCCAATCAACCCTACACGGCGCCCCCTTAACCTCCAGCATCTCCTTCGCCGTGCCCCAGCTGAACCGACACTCATTCCCCCACCCAAAAACCGGATTTATATTCTCCTTCAGCCAATTCGTCGTCCGCGCATCGGAAGGATAGCCCGAACCCCAGGCCACCTCTCCACTCTCCTCCGCAGCACTGTACGCGGTGTACAGCACATCCAGCGCCGCATCCCTCGTCACCTTCGCACACACCGAAGCAGCAGAGACACAAGGGTACAAACTATCCGCCTTTTTCGCGACCGTAATCGCCTGCGCGGGGAAAATCCTCTCCAGCCGTTTCTGGTACACTTCCGGGCGTCCAATAGTATCAATGTAAATCTCCCGCACATTAACACCGGAATCCAGGACTTCCTGAATGAGCGCAATGGTGGCATCCATAGCTTGCGCATTCAGATTGTACGTGCCGTTAGGCCGCAGCTGGCCAGCGGAGATGTCGCGCGCGGACATGAGGCGGGTGGCCCAGCCGCCGTTGGCGAACAGGTCGGTGCCGGGAGTGCTGATTTTCTCCATGAGGTCGGAGCGCACAGCGGGCGTGAGGACTTTGGAGTCGTCGAAGTGGTGGGTTTCGGCCAGGAGCGATTTGTGCAGGGGGATGGGGAGGTAGTAGAGGGCGTAGACCATGGGCCCAAGGACAGGTCCGCGCCCTGCTTCGTCCACTCCGAGCACGCATTCTGTCGTCATGTCTGCTGCGATGCATGGTGGGATGGCGGAGTGGTGCGTGTAGCTCGCTCCGGAGAGGACTTGCGATTTCACGATGGATGGTGGGATGAAGACATTTTCTGCGGGCGTCTCTTGAGCGACATCTTGAGAGTCTACTCGGTCTTCTTGGCTGTCTTCCATGTTGAAGCGTTGTTGATGTGATGAAGGAGTTCCGTGAGTGGATGCGACAAGTGCGGTCTTCGACGCGCGTGAGGGACGCGTTAAGTGGAGTGTCGCGGCGCGGCTTTCGGCAAGGGCATCCGAGCGCAAGGCTTGGGCCTCCAATGCTGTACATTCGCATTGTTTTAACACTATCACTTCTTGCTCATCTTTTGGCATGTAGATCATGTATCAGAGCTATGTCATCTTGTAAGCAGTCTACAGGTTACCAATTGAAAATCTATCAGATCTCTATTCAACTCCACAAGCCTGTACGCTCAAACCTGAAAGCATGCCATCGTACAGACACTCCATGCACATCTATCGCCCCAAAAACCTCTTGATGCCGCTCTTACCAAGCCTCCTCCAAGCCAGTAGCACCAACAATGCAACCATGCCCAGTCTCCCCACCAACGCCACACCCACCGCTTTGCGCACAATATCATAATATCTAGCCCGATTAGTGATGGTCGGCAGCGTACACGAAGCAACACGTTCCACGCACCCTTCGAGCATAGTCGCGACCGCGGCTTTCTTACTCCTCATCCCCGGCCCAACATGAATCCCCGTCCCCAACCCGTGGAAGCCCGTTTCGTCCGGTCGCTCCACGAGCACTGTGGAAGAGCTGATACTGCTGGGAGACGGAGTGTGCGCTGCGGATTCCGAGGCGTACCCGAAAGAGGGGTTGGAGAGGAACTCGGAGCCGGATTGGAGCTCTACTCGCTTGCGGAGTTTGAAGTTGTAGGTCATGAGCCAGACGACGAAGCGGACGTCGAGAGGGGTAAAGTTGGGATATGTCCAGAGTGTGAGGGCGTTGTGCGGGGGTATTATGTCGAGGAAGTCGGAGATCACGCCTAGTGTGAGGCCCCAGAGTAGTAGAGGGCCTTCAGGGGGATGTGCGGGTGGAAACTGGTTGAAAATATCGGCGTGCCATACTCTCAGAGCGGCTTTTCGAAGGCGGTCGTACGATGTTGCGTGAGCGAAGCGGTTGTCTTGAAGTTGTGTTTCTTGTATTGGCGTTTCGGCGGAATGTAGCGTTTCTGTTGGAAGGAGAGAGATAGCGGCAAACACCATCTTGCCCAGAATCATGCTGAGCATCCACTTCCTGACCCCAGTTTCTTGGCTGGCCAACCGACTGCTCACATCCTCGAACGCCACCGTCCTCGATCTGGGGTCTTGCAGACTGCGAATCGGCACCCAATGTGTTGATGCCACTTCTGTCGGTTGCAGCTTCAGCGGCGGAATGTCGTGTCTCGTCAAGAGGAAGACGTATGGACACAGCATGAGCAATGGCTTCTTCCCCCAATGAGTCGTCACTACCCTCTGAGGCAAATTCCCACACTCAATTCCATGCTCAAGAACATCTAAACCGACTTCCTCAAGAGCCTCTCGAATCGCAGCAGCCTGGTCATCGGCATCTGTAGGATCCCGCTTTCCGCCCGGAAGAGCAATATGCGAAGTCCACCGGTCGCCTTTCCGCGATGCACGCTTGATGAAGAGGACTTCGGGATCGCCGTGTTGCACCCATTCCTGCTCGAAGAATGAATCGAGATCATTCGCTTTGGACGTGGATGAAGGCCAATGAGCGTAAGACGGTTTGATTCGAATCACGAGCGCCACGGAGGCTCTCTTTTTCATGTCTTCCGGTGAAGCTAGCTCGGGATATGGCGCGGCGACGAGCGCGCGCAGCATGGTCGCGACATCGTGCACGCGACCTGATGCCTCTACCGCATCCATGTTCGCAGCTTTCGATTAGCACTCGTGTGGATGAGGGAAGTGATGGGTGAGATGGAGTCGAGATGCTGATGCTACGGCTGCGGGAAGGGGATCTAGCCGGATTGGGAAGTTGACAACCGCATCATCCTCCAGCACAACGGGGCATCCAATGGCAGGGGTACATTTTTGCATTCCAAGAAGGCTCAAAACTTGGAGCTACGAATCTATCAATCAGAAGTGTTGGACAATGAATTTCCATTCTACGTAACGCATTCACATCTCCATTATCCGGACCTCAATTCGTGCGGCGATCGTTAGTACAGGCAAACGCAAGGGTTCTCAGACTTCATATGTCAAAGCGCGTGCCATCCAAAGGCCGAGACACCAAATGTGAATGCGTGAATGCAAGCTGCGACCTCGCGCCAGCCACCGCGCCGTACCTGACGTGAGTGTTGCCCTTCGCAGCCGCCAAGTCAAGGCCGTTGGAATTCGAATTGCAGTCCGCGAACAAGGGCGATTGGAAAGCCTGACATTAGTTTGATTAGCCTCGTTCCAGGGAACAGATTGGTATGGATCCCACTAACCTTGGCCGTCTCGAGGGGTGAAAGGGACACCGGTCTTCCCAGCCTCGACCAACCCCAGTACGTGGGTAAGATGAAAGCAATGGATACAAGCACGGCCGACGCAGCTCCCCAGAAGTACCAGTAGTCGGTGCGGTACACAGTCACAGTTTCCTGCGTTTGTCCGACCGTGGTGCTGTTTACAGAAAGCCCGGGATCGAGGGTGGCGTGCAGATACGAAGCGTCGAGCGTCGTGGCGGCCTGGCTTCCGAGGTAGAACATCAACTTATTCAGGCTGCTCACCATGCCGTCGTACGGGTCCGGAAGGGATGCGCAGGTGCTGTTGCCTTGGTATTTCATCATTGGTTGGGATTGGTAAATTCCGATGGTGCCATACACTGTCTTCCCATCGGGGAAGGTTGGATAGAAGGCTTCGTACGAGTTCCATCTCGACATCATACTGTATACCACGCCGGCGAGTGTGGACCGGTATGTACCTCCATTGACAGTTGTGGGCGAGCGACTGATGCCCGAGTTATTTGCCAGTGCAACAAACGACGGGGCCGCCAAAGAGACCATGTCGACTTCGTCATTTTGGACGACGATCTCGTACTCGCCGATGCCAGGTTCAAAGGTACAAGTCTTGTACACAAACTCGCCTTCACAGCTCGAGTTGAGAGTGACGAAGCCAGTGATGAGGTTGATGCCTTCGGTGATTCTCGGTTCCTGGACCAGAAGGCTAGTTGTAGATATGTAACCTTCCGAGGCCAGAGGCGGCGCAAACTCGCCATTCGCGGCTGCTGCGTCGTACGGCGAATCCAATTGTGAAATGACGGTGCGCGTCTCACACGATGTCGGGAAGAGAGCAGGCGCTTGGATTTTCGCAGTACATGTACCGGCGCATCCGCGCACTACACCTTTTGCGGGTGCATTGTCCCACCATTGCGTTGGAGCATTGCCTAATTGTCCGTCTGGTGACCACCCGCCTTGTTGACATATGATATTGCTCTCAAGCCATCCGTCGGCGGAAGGATACGTAGCGTTGAAAGCAGGATTGGCATAGTAGTTTGGAAGCGGGTAATCCGAGGTGGTGAACCATACGCCGGACCAGCCAGTTGGGAGTTCGGGGGCCATTAGAACATCGAGTGAGATGGTCGTGGGACGCGAAAGGCCATGTGCAGTGGATGCACGCTGGAGAAGGGGACCACCGATTTCGACGGTGGTCGCGAAGATGCAGGCCAGTCCCAGCAAACCCATCGCTCGGCCAGCGGTGACGGCTCCACGAATCGAAGTGCCCGACCGCCAATCCGACTGAAGCTTCTGCAATGTGCTGCCCTCGGAAGCTCTCCTCCACCAGGCAATAATGACGCCCTGCATGGCTGCGTAACGCACTGACAAGTTGGCTACCGACGTGCAAAGAGCAAGGTAGGTTGACGGCGGAGCGAGCCAGCCTTCCACGTCTTGTCCATCGGCACCGACCAATAATCCGAGGGCGACGACCATCGAGGTGGCGGCAATTAGTAGGCTGAGGAGACCGGATAGCGGACCAAATCGAACCCATGACTGCTGCCAGCTTCGCGGTTCGTCGATTACAGCGTGCGGCCAAAGCTTCAGTGCGTAGCGTTTTAACGTTTTCCAGAGTATTATAAGTCCAGGAGGACGACGGGGTGTGGAAGACACATCGCCAACGATTCCGCCTATTGGCAGTACTCGTATAGCCGGGAGCTTCTCGAGTTCTTCGTCGAATTCCTGTGTAGTGGTGCTCACAGAATGCTTGTCATCCAGTGGGGATGGCATTGCCAACCTGTCATACAGGCCGAGCAGAACTTCCGAGGATCCTAGCTTCAATTTGAGAAGCGACTGGTCATGAGAAGAAGCGGCATGCTGGGAAAACGTGCATGGAAGAGAGGGAACGAGAATCAACACGAACTTACTTGAGAAATGAGTAAGCCGGCAGGGCTAGCTACCACGCAGCTGTGTGCCGCAGGACATAGGGCTCTTTGCATCCGCGGCTGACTCCGATAGACAGGTGGGCTAGGCGCATGGATGATCAAAGTATGTCCATGTCGGTTCTCGGTCTTCGTGAACTAGACTGCCTCCGCCGCGCACACTGAGGGCCGCAAGCCGTTGTCCGATGCGAGTTCCAACGGAGTCGCGACACGCCCAGTGATCGGGTGATCCGAGTCTTTGCGCAATTCATCTCTGTCCTGAGAGCACACCGAACTGCTCGACTTGTGGTATTGAACGACACAGATGAAGTGTTTGGTACGCCAAGTGCTCCACCGATCTTATGTAATGGTTAAAGTTTCGGCGGCTGAGGTGGAGGCTTGCATGGCTTGTAAAGGTACAGGCTACTGTAGCATGGGGTCTTTAGCGTCGTTGCGGCCGAGGTGCTGGCGACGGCAGGCCGGAAGGGCGGGTTCCGATGGCATCAGTCTTGTAAGCTGGCGGGCACGATTCATGGTGCAAAAGCTTCGCCGAAACCCCCGCCGGGTGTTCATGATTAGGGCCGCGAGTCCATGTCCCCGTCGCCAGAGTTGACCGAGTTCCCGGCGGCTCGTTCAGTCTTGTGCCGACCCCCGAAGCAGAATCCGGTGAGGAGTATTGACCGGGCAGGCAGAGATGGTGAAGATCTACCGCAGGGGGACAAGAGCCGACAGGTCTGTCGTGATCCTGCAATAGTCGCTAGATCGGTGTGTTGCGAGGCCGTAGATTGCGGAGCGAGAGGTGCAGAAACAGGTGCGGGATCGTGCAGTATATATACAAGGGCACCGAATCCCTTTGGACGCCGTTAATCATCCGCCACCTCATGACTGATGATACACGAATGCGGAAAGTAGATGAGAGTCCTCGCGAACAGCGAGGCGAGGCGGGAATGTGGAGATGTGGAGGTGGCGGTCTAAATAAAAGGCCAGCTTCATCCCTCCATCCAACTCGGCCGCTCCCCTTCAAGTGATCCATCAAACATCATCACAGGCTTGCCACCTGCACCGCTCGCCAGCCGTCGAGCCTATCCTCCGTGCTCATACCGCACGCGCTGGAGATGCCTTGCGAAGCACCAGAAGAGCCATCGAACGGGGCAGCGCTCGCTCTCGTAATCCGACATCTTGCAGCCTATACCTTCCGCTTCTGGCACCGGTCGACCAAGCAATGCCAAACTTCACCTGCAATCCGTCAGTCTTCATTGCCACGTCGTCCACGCCACACTATTGAAGAGTCTAATACTGACCAAGAAGCAATACAGACCTCCCCCCGTTCAGCCCCGGTCCTATCACGATGGGCTCACGCTTCGTACACTCCAAATGGAGTTTCGCTTAGCAGCAACGATGTCGATGTGCAGAAGCTGTTCAGACCTCACTCCGTTCGGCCCCGGTCCTATCACGACGTGTCCATATCCCGTACAACTCCCAATGGAGCTTCGCTTAGCCGCAACGATCTCGATGTGCATCTCCAAATCCTGCGTATTGCTACGCTGGTGCAGTGGTCCACGAGCTGGCAGTGGGCGTATGACGAGTCCATCAATCATGCTGGCATCGAAGGCCGCGCAACCGCCGTTGCATTCATGATGGGTGAGCATACCGAGTACGTAAACGGCTGCGCAGTCGAGGTAGCAGTGCCAGGTAAGTTGGATCCCACCCGCGCCGTGCGACTCCATGGGCGGTCACGGGTATAAGTTGCCTGCCTTTTCCACCTTAGAACTTGTCTTCTCCTTCATCGAGATATTCTCTTCGTCTCTCAGCGCATCCTACCTTCCATATTCTTTTGCACAACTCGACACGAGCAGTACAGCAATCATGAAGGCAACGCTGGCCTCCGTGCTCGTTTGCCTGCTCGCCCAATTGCATTGCGTCGTGAGCAAAGCCACGCCAAGCATCAACAAACCTCCCACCAAGGTGTTCGATCGCGATGTGGGCGACCGAACGTCCTTCAACGTTCCCATGGGCGGCACATGGACGCTCGAGGTGACGCTGCAGGAGGCGCATACCGATGCGTACGGGCAAGACGACGCTGACGAGCTGTTCGACACGTTCAAGGAAGACCTCGCAATGGCCCCCAACGATGGAAGGGAGGTGGAGACGGTACGGCCGTTCGGGGACTACGTCGCCGAAGTCGAGCTCAATCTCGAGGAGGGGTATCTGACGCTCAACGATCCCCCCAAGGAGAACTGGCAAAAGGCGGTGGAGGAGTTCCTGGAGTACTTGACGGACCTCGACTACCCGGCCTCGTACAAGGCCAACTGCATTGCTGACGGCAACACCATTGCCAAGCTCACCTTCTTCTTCGAGCTGCCGGATTAGCAGGGTTCGGAACGTGGGATTGGGAGACGCATGTTGGGGAGTGGGTGCGTGCGGGGCTACGTAGTCAGTTTTAGTGAAACACAAATTGATGTTCAACAAATCACCCATCGTTGACGAACGAGTGTCCAGTAGTTCAGAGCAGAGCCGTGTGAACTGCGACATATAAATACCCATTTAAGCTTCGATACTTTGCCGGATCGGGCCCTGCCACACGGCTGCGAGCACGCGCTCATCCTCGCACTGTCATTGGTCGGTTGGCGGGGTAAGAAACGCCCAGAGCTCGACAGCACAACCTCCCCACCTCATTTGCACAACCTGCCATTGGCAGAGGAAAAGCGGAAAAAACATCTCTATTCTATCCTTCATCACCCCCGGTGTACGCGCAGCCATGCGGTTCGGCAAGACGCTGCAAGTCTCCATCTACCCACCCTGGCGCGAGCAGTACCTCGACTACACCAAGCTCAAGAAGCTGCTGCGAGATGATGAATCCGCGCCCTCCTCGCCTTCAACTGCTTCCGCTTCCCGAGCCGATCCTTGGACGGAGGAAGATGAGGGAGCGTTTGTGGATGAGCTGGTGAATGTGCAGCTGGAGAAGGTGCATGCCTTTCATCGGGAGACGTTCGATAAGCTGCGTGAGCGGACGGCGAAGTGTGAGGCGGAGCTGGATACTGTTGCTGTGTCCGATGCTGGAGCAGCAGAGGCACCTGAGCTGCAGGGCAAAGAGCACGGCAAGGAGAATGGGAATGGCAATGGCAATGGCAACGGGAAGAAGCCCGTTCCGTCAGAGACGGAGAAGAGGAAGATTCTCGAGCACGTCCTGTCAGAACTGGACCAAATCACCAAAGAGACCAACGAGCTGGAGAAATACAGTCGGCTGAACTACACTGGCTTCCTGAAGGCGGCTAAGAAACACGACAGGAAGCGAGGCGGCAGTTATCGAGTCCGCCCTTTGTTGCAAGTCCGCTTGTCCGCTCTGCCCTTCAACAAGGAGGACTACAGCCCGCTGCTGTATCGCCTGAGTGCCATGTACTCATTTGTGCGGCAGCATCTCGAGGGCGTCGCTGTTCGCGGTCCGAGTATGAATGAGACGCACGAGGGCAAGGAGGAGTACACCAGTCACAAGTTCTGGGTGCACCCCGAGAATCTGCTGGAGGTGAAGACGATGATCCTTCGACGACTACCCGTTCTGGTGTATAACCCGCAAACCAGCAAGATTGCCGAGGGCAGCCGGCCGGACCCGAGCATCACCTCCATCTACTTCGACAACCCCGCCTTCTCTCTGTACACGCAAAAAGTGGATGCAGGAGCGGCGAACAGCCTTCGCTTACGATGGTACGGCCAGCTGGACAACAAGCCGCCGATCTGGGTGGAGAAGAAGCTCGTGACGGAAGACAACATGTCGCATGAGAGCCGCATCACCACCAAGGAAAAATACGTGCAGCAATTCATCAAGGGCGAGTACCACATGGAGAAGCAGATCAAGAAACTCGAAGCACGCGCAGGAGCCGAGAGCGAAGAAGCCAAGAACCTCCGATCTTCGGTCGAGGAGATCCAGGAGTTCATCAAGGAGAACGACCTGCAGCCCGTGCTCCGTGCAAACTACACCAGAACCGCATTCCAAATTCCCGGCGACGACCGAGTGCGGATCAGTCTTGACACCGATCTGGCCTTCATCCGTGAAGACGCCATCGACGCCGACCGGCCGTGTCGAGACCCCGAGTCCTGGCACCGAACCGACATCGACAACCAAGAGCTCGAGTACCCCTTCTCCTCCATCCGCAAAGGCGAAATCACCCGCTTCCCCTTCGCCCTCCTCGAAATCAAGCTGCGCACGGCCAACAAGAAGGCCGAATGGATCCAGGACATCATGCACTCGCATCTTGTCAAGGAAGCACCACGCTTCAGCAAATTCGTGCACGGTGTTGCGCAATTGTTCGAGGATTACGTCAACACCTTCCCCTTCTGGCTGAGCGAGATGGAAGTCGACATTCGTCGCGATCCGCAGCAGGCCTTTGCCGAGGAGCAGGAAAAGCGACGAAAGGCGGTGGAGGACGAAGTGGCCGTCGGCTCGCTGATGAACAAAAGCTCGAGCCCGTTGGCCAAAGCCAGCGCAAAGAAGGGCGTGATCAGCCCCGTCGGCAGTCCCAGCATCGCCTCCAAACTCCACCAGTCCCCCCGGACCGAAAGCGGTCGTCTCGGCCACCAAGCCACCGAAGCAGCCACCCAACAAAACGACACAGTCGAAGAGCCCGACGAAGACGAAACGGGCGCGCGCACATACGGCACCATGTCGCGCAGCAACGGCAACGAAGCGCACGGCTTCGTCGGCGGCCTCAAAAACCTCATCCCCTCCTTCTCCACCAGCAAATACGCGCAGCACAAACGCCACCACCAGAAACTGCCGCCCGGCGTCACCAAGCCCGACTTCTGGATCAAAGATCAAGGCGACATCAAAGTCGAGGCGAAGGTGTGGCTTGCGAACCAGCGCACGTTCGTCAAGTGGCAGCACGTCGCTGTCCTGCTTGGCTCGTTGAGTTTGGGACTGTACAATGCCGCTGGCGAGCACAATAACATTGCGCGCGCGCTGGCGGTGGCGTATATTGTTGTTGCCGTGTTTGCTGGCGCGTGGGGGTATGGCGTGTTTATTTGGCGGACGCATTTGATTGAGAGGCGCTCTGGCAAGGATTTCGATGCTGTGCTGGGGCCTTGTGTTGTTTGCATTGGGCTTGTTATTGCGCTTATTGCTAACTTTGCTTTCAAGGTGAGTTCGCGAGATATACGTTTGGAGAAGTGATTGCGCGACTAACTTGTCTCTAACAGTACCGACTCGTGCTCGAGGAAAGGGAGGGCAAGGCGGGCATGGGAGTGAACGGCACTCAGTGGCTGTTGAACGCTGGAGAGTTGTAGGTATTGTATAGTAGATTCCATCACTCTGGCACACCTCGCTGGTGGCTGTCATTAGAATTGAATACAGGCATCATTTCATCCCGACTTGCTGTACACCGTACATCGGCAATTGACGGGCATACCAAGCACTCGACGGTGCGTCCCAAAGAGGCAGTTCCCGCTCCGACTTCCACCTCCACTCCGTCATCGGAATAACTTCAATGCACCAACATCCATTGATCATTTGATACTCATCTGTCGCTGTTCATATGTAGTTGTGTCCCTTCACCTGCCTCAACTCCTCCCACCCCCACAATCTCCTCATCCGCCATGCCAAAAACATACACCTACACCGAAGTGCAACAGCACCGCTCCGCCGACAGCTGCTGGGTGGTGCTGTACGGCCACGTCTACGACGTCACCTCCTTCCTCCCCTCCCATCCCGGCGGCAGCAAAGTCGTGCTCCAATTAGCAGGCACCGATGCGACGGAGGAATACGATCCCATCCACCCCCCCGGCACATTGGAGGAGAACCTCCCGCCTTCGGCCAAGCTAGGCGCATTCGATGCGAGTACGCTTCCGACGCAAGAGAAAGCCCCCGCTGGAGAGGAAGAGAAGACGCAAGCAGTAGCGCCTACGCAGCAGCAGACAGCAGTAGTCCCCACGGCGGGAAAACAACAGCACCCCATCACCAGTCTGGCGCAATGCCTCAACCTCGACGACATAGAGAAACTCGCTACCGCCAAACTGCGCCCCAAAGCCTGGGCATACTACTATTCCGCCGGCGACGACCTGCTGTCCAAAACGCTCAACAACACCGTCTACCAACGCATCCTCATGCGGCCGCGCGTCTTCGTCGACTGCACCAAATGCGACACCTCCACCTCTTTCCTCGGCCACAAAGTCGCGCTCCCCTTCTTCGTCTCCCCCGCTGCTATGGCGCGTTTGGGACACCCGGACGGCGAGGCCGGGATTGCGCGCGCGTGTGCGGCTTTTGGCGCGATGCAGATTATTTCGTATAATGCTTCGCAAACGCCCGAGCAGATTGTAGCCGATGCGCAGCCCGGGCAGATCTTCGGATGGCAGATTTACGTGCTGACGGATCGGAAAGCGAGCGAAGCGAGAATCGCGCGGATTAACAAGTTACCTGCGATCAAATTTATCGTTCTCACGCTCGACGCGCCCGTACCGGGGAAGAGGGAAGACGACGAACGCACAGGTCTTGTAGCCGCTAATCTGCGCGCTACAAGTGCAGTGAAGAACACCTCCTCAGCATCAAGCCGCTTCCCCGACGACCGCGAACAGCAGCAAGCGCGCGACGTCGAGAGCAGCGACAGCGGGAGCGTAGGCAAGGCGCTCTTCCAAGGCACCGCGCCCGATCTGACGTGGAAAGCGACGCTCTCCTGGCTGCGACAGCACACTCACCTCCCCATTATGCTGAAGGGCGTGCAGACGCACGAAGACGCCTATCGCGCTTCGCTGTACCCGCAAGTCCAAGGTATCATCTTGTCGAACCACGGTGGCCGCGCGATGGATACTGCGCCGCCTTCTATTCACACTCTCCTCGAAATTAGAAAGTACTGCCCCGAAGTTCTAACCAGGCTAGAAGTCTGGGTCGACGGCGGCGTGAAGCGCGGAACGGACGTAGTGAAGGCGCTGGCTTTGGGAGCGAAGGGCGTGGGCATTGGCCGGGCGCCGTTGTTCGGTCTCGGAGCTGGAGGCACGCAGGGGGTGGAGAAGGTGCTGGAGATTTTGAAGGGCGAGGTGGAGACTGCGATGAGGCTGTTGGGTTGCGAGAGGGTGAGCGAGCTCGGGCCGTATTGTGTGAATTCGCGGGCGGTGGAGACGGAGGTGTTTGATGATGTGCCGGCGCCGAGGATGCAGAAGTTGGGGCTGTGGTTGAGGAGTAGATTATAGATGTACATATATGTATACATTGAGACATGATTGACGGCGATGATGAGGATACCGAACCAGCTTTTGGGAAGATCGTTCCACGCAGTACCGGAAGTGTGCAGAGGCGAAGGAAGTCACGACAGTGTGGATGAGATGAGATGAAGAAGGCACAACAAGATGGATGAAACGAAGTCCATTTGACGCAGGACCACCGCAACATCCCTATCTACCCAGCCCAGCCCAGCCCAGCCGACCCTGCAAAGCGGACAATCTGATGAGGTATGCCCGCAATGCCCATCCAAGCCCCTCGGTCACAACCCGCCAAACCCCAACCGACCATGCAAAGCAGACAATTTGATGTGGTATGCCTGCAGTGCCCATCCAAGCCCCTCGGTCGCCAGCCACCATCACTCATCCTCCGCCGCATCCGACAAGATGCCCAAGCCCAAGTCCAACCGACCATGCACAGCAGACAATCTGATGTGGTATGCCTGCAGTGCCCATCCACCCCCTCGGTCGCCAGCTGCAATTCGCCGCCGTCCGCCGTGTCCGATTGCGAGTTTCCGCCGTATCCGATCGCGAGTCTCCGCCGTGTCCGATCGTCCAGTCTCCGCCGTATTCGATCGTCCGTCCACCTCCAAGCCGGCGTGGCTTGATCGAACGAGTGTGGATCTGGCGGGATGGTCAGTCTCAAGATTGCAACGGCGAGGTGGGGAGGCGGGAAAGACTCACTGGGTGCCCTCGAGGGACTTCGCCTGTTTCGAGAGGGTGAAAGAGCGGGCTGGAAGGCCGACCGGGCAGAGCGTCTGTCTGTCGTCGGTGCCTTGATCGGCCTCCGAGCGAGTGGATGGTGCACACGTGTCGACCGGGCAGAGCCGCTGAATGACGAGGTTGCCTTGATCGAGCGAGTGTGATGAGCGAGTGTGGTGATGTTTTCTGTTGGGGGCGGTCAGTCAAGAGATGCACAATGGCGCAGCAGGTGACGGAAGACTCACTGGTGTGCTGTAAGGACCGTGTTGTTGCAAAAGAGTGGAAGGCTCATTGGCCTGGGTTGCCGGGAGTAGCGAGTGGAAGGCTCATTGGCCTTGGTTTTTGGGAGCAGCGAGTGAAAGGCTCATTGGCCTTGATGGTTCGGAGCAGCGAGTGAAAGGCACATTGGCCTTGATTGTCGGGAGTAGCGAGTGGAAGGCTCATTGGCCTTGATTGTTGGGAGCAGCGAGTGGATGGCGCACCTGCGCGACCGGGCAGAGCCGCTGTATGTCGTGGATGCCTTGGTCGGAGCGAGTGTGGCTGTGAAACGGTCAGTCTCGAAAGCGCTGTGAGGATGTCGATGGCACGGAAGACTCACTGGTGGGCTGCAGGGAGCGTGCTGTTGCAAAAGAATGGAAGCTCGACCAGCTTTGATTGCCGGGAGCAGCGAGTGGAAGAGTCGCCGGCGTTGACTGCCGGGATCAGAGCGAGTGGAAGCTCGAACAGCCTTGATTGCCGGGAGCAGCGAGTGGAAGTGTCGCCGGCTTTGGCTGACGAGACCAAAGCGAGTGGTGGTGGATGCGACCGGCAATGAGTGCCAGGATCAAGCGAGGGTGGTGTCGCGATGCGGCCGGCAATGAGTGCCAGGATCAAGCGAGGGTGGTGTCGCGAT